TACTGATCAAAATCACTATTATAGCAGCCCTTCAATTCCTCAACCCCGCCGGACGCCAACGGCAACCCAGTCTCGTTCCAGAATTTCGGATAGTCGCAAGTCTTGTTGTACTCATTGCTGAACTTGAAATCGGCATACCGACGATCCGTGATCCACTCGACCTCATATTCGTCAGGTCGGAAATCGGCTGAGGTGTTGAGGTGGCCTTTGAAACCAATCAGGTTGCTTAGACTGCATATCGATGTAAGCGTGCGGCCATACGACGTTGACTGGGGGTTATATATACACTTACGTTGCCAGCGTATTGTCCATGATCACATACATATCACGGTTGTGAATCTCGGTGATAGTCCGTCTCCAGTCCTCCAGTGTGCCATGGTGCATATCCAGCAGAGTTGTATCGACCGGCGAGTAGCCGTCGTAGGCCCAAGGGAGGTTCATCAAGCCTGTTCCAGCAAAGTAGATACCCTATATTGGTAAGTAACAGATCAGATACTGAAGCGGTTCCAAACCCACCTTGAAACCCATTCCCCTGATATAGTCCAGCGTATCAATCAACCCGACCAGATCCCCTCCATGACGCATCTGGTTGGAATTCAGGACATGCTCAAATGCGGTACCGTTGATATCGTCATTTGTTGGATCACCGTTCGCGATTCGGTCCAGAAAGATCGTGTAGACTGGAAAACGCCAGTTGTCCGGCGAAGGGTGGTATGTATGGTTCGGCCATTCTCCCCAGTAGTCAATCGGCGATTCCGCCGATCTGTTTTCGTTCAAGTTGTAATCAACGAGCGACTCGGTGTAGGGCCAACACAATGCACTGACGCTCAGCAATGACAGGATGAGAGCGACTGAGCGCTGCGTTTCCGTGAACATTTCTGAAGCGCCTTCAAGCTCTCGAGAGTCGTGAACAGGGTCAGTCGATCATGCTCTGAGATGCGGAAGAATCAAAGAAAGGACGGTAACAAAAACGAAAGACGAAAGAACGAGTGGCCTGTCGACTCAGAGGGAAAGTTGACAACTGGGAGTTAGAACACCAGCAGATCAGGAACAGCGGGGAGAAAGTCATCCAGCGCTGAGCAGGCTGCGTCCAGACTTATCCACTGTATGCAGGTGGCCATTGTCTCACTAAAACTCTTCGCAGTCTCCAGATAATGACGACAGACCGGTGTCTCAATAATCAACCGACATGAGACATCTGGGACAGTTCCACAGCGATGGGGTGGCAGTGGGCTGCCAGCCGCGCACCACGCCATCACTTTGACGGTTTCCCGTGGCTATTCTGAAAAGTATATTGTATTGAAAGGGAGCCTTTGGTTGGCCACATTAAGTCGTATCTGTAGGTGTGGAGACTCTTCTGGACTTGTCTGGAGGGTTCAGTGAGATTCTGTCCGAAGCCACTGCACGGCACGATTGCCAAAGACACTCTAAGGGTGTACTACATCCTTGTCATGTGGCGTAGGCATAGGCAGCAAGAACTTTTCTATACTGGGTAGTGTATCTTGTTCCTCGAGAACAACATCGACTATCATGTTACCCATCATTCGGAATACATAGGATCACCTCTCATGCATCGTCGACTTAACTCACTCGACTGATAGTATGAGCCAGACTACTGGTACACATTGTGAGAGGGCCCGATCGCGATACCGTATCGCTGGTGGGACTTGAACATCAAGCCCAGGACTGTACGGAGTATAGTACGTAGCAACTACGGGATACGGGCTAAAGCAACCCGATCGACCCGCCATTTACCTTAGTGAAGGAGCAGAAAATTCTAGCTGAGGTCCGAGGTTTCGCCTATCGACTTATCAAGTTCTGACAAAACAAGCACCGGCTCCGTTGTGGACCCCCCACTCACCATGTGCATCCGTGCCGCGGTTTATATATATCTCAGGGTCCCGTAAGTGGCGTCCTCCTCCAACACCTAGCCAACGATCTTTCAAGCTAGTACGGTCTCCCTGGCCAGGACTTATTGTACCGCCGAATTGCAGGTTACAAATAAATAATGACTGTTCCTTCCGACGGCTCCGACCCGAGGTGGCCGGGCACGGGTACGTCTAAGAAGATAGCCCTGGAACACCAATGGATAACAGTTACGCTTATTACGTTCGACATAGGTATTTTTAAGTAGTAATATAAACTTCTCACCGGATTGGAATTCTATAGTAGACTGTATATGCATTAAGAGTACGGTACAGTAAGAAGCTTGATTACCATCCCTTCAAGCGGGCCCATTCTGACCAGGACCAGAGATCGCACAGAAAGCCACAGACATCAACCTGGCAGGATATACAGAATCGACTAATTATAGATGTTACTAGATCGTACCATGACTCAATCTACTGACCCACAGAAACTTCTTAGGGTTCTTGTACTATTCGAACCGATATCGTCCTTTATATTTATTACATTCATATTGGGTCAGATCGACAGCTTACTAGGATTAGATCTCCATCCTTATCTGTTTAATTAATCTGCATGTTATAAGGTCGGATGACGGACCATAGAACAAGCCTCGATTGTTAAGGGTCCTTTATCACCACCAAAATAGCTATCTATATACAGTATACTCTTGCATTTCCCCTGGCTTTATCTATTCCTTTATCCAGTATACGCGTGGTTTTTTCTTTCTTTCCTTTTCTTTCTCTCCCCACTGTTGTCTCACCTTCCATGGTTCTAACATGCTGAGGTTAGAGAGGTCACAGATTGTCTCACCTCGACTGCGACGCTTATTGGTCTGTCTTACTTTCCAAACGTTGAAAAGAAGTTAGTGGAACTTATTCGCCTCGTAAACCATGGCACGTAAAACATTTTAAAGCATTTGTTGGCTCGGACGGAGCCCAGGTTCCATGGCATCTTGCGGGTCCCCGATCCAGAACCCTATATCGGTTAATAGGCTATTTGTGGACAAACAGTACCGGCGACGCCACAGCAGATCTCTACATTATGGAGCCAACAAGTTACCGGCCATACTATTCAAACCATCCTCTCATGCACCCTCCCTCCAGGTTTGGAGCATTTTCATGCGATCGGATTGATGATGTTGGACGGTTCACATTCTGGCGACGCTATTACGAGCACCCGCTTGCAGCCAATCAATACGTCGTACTAATTGATAATCTTCTCCTAGACGACAGTCAACAAGCAACAGCATTCATAATATGCCTCCACTGGGTCGCACGGGGCTGTGCCTTACGCAGGCACTGCCGGCATTCTCCGGGGCTGGTGGATTGAGACCGCAGACCCTGGTAGTGGGTAATCCGTGTTGGCAATTGCCATACACACCGGTGCGGTGGTCCTACGAGGTCGGCAACTGCCCTTTCCTACCTTTCTCACTAGCATTATAGGACTTTGAGCCTTTATGCCTATCATAGGGTTCATTACCGTGGGGAGGGGATGTTTATTTCTGAAGCTGGTTGGGTAGGTGATCCCCTAAGATCTGCCCGAGGGCATATCGAAAGCAATGTCTTCTGTCAAAAGTGAAGGGAAGCAAACGACGTTATAACCGTAGGAATGAGCAATAAGCAAAGTATATCTAGAAGCAGAAATGGGAGGAACGGAGCATATACATAATAATATAGCGTTATCTAAGTAAGCATAGGCTTACTTCCCTCATATTTACAACGACAACTCGTATATGTTGTGCCGGTTAGCGGGGCGCCGGAAACCGCGCTCATTAAACCGCCGCTCTGCCGCCCGCCACCGCCTGTCCTATGCGGGAATCCTACTGCCTCTTCCGGTTTAGCGTATCCGTTTCGGGCATTGCGTTTATATCTCGCCGCTTTTACACTTGCTGTCTGCCGTCTAATACCTACTGTATAATCTATATAATTCTCTCTATCCTTCCTCGAAAGACAATATACTTTCTCTTCTATTTTTTCCTCTACTAACTACTACTTCTAATTAGAGTGGGCAATGGCCAGGTGAGGGGAGGTTAAGGACCTCCAGCATAACCTAACCGCAGGTTAACGGTAAGATTAAGTATCTTATTTTTATCTAACCACGGTATAAAAAAAAAAGATTAGATTAATCTGATTAACCGTTCTTAGCGCTAAAAATAATATATCTTATCTATTTAGATTTAGTCCGGTTAAAATTCCGGTTAGATTAACTGTATTAACCTTACTGTTTCTAACTAATCTTTTAAAAATCTATAATAGAAGCGTTATTTAATTTTTAAAAAAATATTAAAAATAAATAACTATATCTTTTATTTAAATTATCTTTATAAAAATATTTAGACTCTAGTATAGCTAGTAGAATTCTTATTTTTCTATAAAAGTTAGTATTATTTAGAGATACGGCATGGAAATATATATTAATATATATCTTATTTCCTATTACTAGTATTAATAGTAGATTTTAGAGATAATCTCTATTATAGCTATTATATTAATTATTTAAAGTAATAGTATCTTTATCTATATTTTTATTATTAATAGAAATACTATATTTCTTATAAAATATTTCTTATTTCTAATATTTTTATAGTAATAGACACTGATAGTAGCTAGATTATTATAGATTCTATTCTAACTACTACTAATCTTTATTAAATTTATTATATTTTAGTAGTAATACGACGTGTTCTCTTTATTAATCTACTAATATTATATCTTCTAAAAATTTCTCTTTTCTATCTTCTAGTGTCTATACTAGGGATGTCAACCCGCACCGCAACCCGCAGCGGGCCACCGCACCACACCGCAGCGGTGCGGTGCGGGTTGTAAAAGCTACAGTCCGCGCGGGCTGCGGGTTCTAATACTAGGACCCGCGCGGGTTTGCGGGCCACCGCGCGGGTTCTACTATTAGGAATATAGATATTCCGTGTATAATACAAACTAATTACATTTATTCTATACAGAGTATAGAACCTAGCTGCCAGCATTATAGAATAGCTATAATATCTTATTCTGTCTACTTAGTATAGTATCTATCCATGGGTAATTTTATCAGACTGAATATAGCATCCATTAACACTAAAACTAATATTGTATCTATGCGCCATTATGCAAATCCCGATAATAACCAGCAGGTAGCTGATGTCTCTTGTTGCGCGTGCTGTAGGCGGCAGTATGTTCCAGCTCAATATCTTGAGGATAAGAGATCGGAACTGTAACTGATACCTGAGGCTGACTCGCAACTGGGGGTGAGGGAGGTGTCAAACTTCGTGCAACTGTAGTAGGTTGAGAAGGGAAAGATAATTCCGGATCAAGTGTTGATCTGAAATAATCTTCTTCAACATCTTCATCGTCTCCAACCACATCTTCTTCATCGCTAATATATCCGGCCTCTGGCAGAGTATCTAGATCTTTATCATCATCATAAGATAATAGTTGATCGTCTATCCCATCTATCTCTTCACGGAGTTGCTGATACTCTTCATCAATCACAGAACGATCCGCACATAATTGAACCATAATTGCCTCAATTGTGTGGTCACTTAAGCGATTGCGACGATAATGGCACACATCCCGCGCGACCGAGAAGAGGTTTTCAGGACCCACCCCACTCACAGGCACGGAAAGAAAATCAAGTGCCATTCGAGAAAGAATAGGGTACTGAAGAGAATGATCTTTCCAGAAAGCCAATATGTCAGGGCATCGCCGAGCATGTAGAACCGCTAAAAAGATACCCATGGTTAGATTGTATACTTAGGAAATGATCGCGGAATAAACTCACGAGTATCGAGATAATTATCAAGTTCAGCGAAACGACTCTGTGCTGATTCTGCTCCAGAAGATCGACTTGAATAAGAGAATAGCCGACGGCGCTTCGTAGCACGATCAATAAGACGATCTAGTCCCTGGAGAGTAGAAGCCTCTTCCTCTGCTGGAACATTGGTGTCGGGATATTTCGAGGAGTAGTAGACGAATACTCTCTTCAGATAATCACGATAAATGTCCACCCACTGATCATCATTTTCCTCCCATGCTGGACCTCTGAAAGCCTGTAACTTCCGACAAGGGTTTAAGATAATTGCAATACCGTAGATAATGCCGTGAGACCCGTAGGTATCAGCATAATATTTCCGGAGTTTTGAATGTGCTTCTTGGAGACCGCGATAGATTTGTTTCTTCCATATTCTTCGCTTTTGTTCAATCTTGGTCATGTGTTCTTCGAGATGGTTGAATAGAATATCGTAAACATCATAAACCTGATGGACTGTAACCCCAGTATGTGTTGAAAGACCAGTGGTATACAATGAAAACTCATAGAGTATCTCAAGTAGATACTCTACATGTCGCCATTCGTACTTCTGGAAAGTCAAGGCGGATTTGATTTTCTCATTCGTTTGCTGCTTGATAAACCATTCAATAGCGCTTTTGAATTGGTAAACACGGAGCAACATTTTGTAGGTTGAGTTCCATCGTGTCCGGCAATCGATTGAAAGACTTAGAATCTTTCCATGAAATCGCTCCTGTTCCTTGCGAAATGCTTGTAGGCGCTGAGGACTGGCATTGATGTAACGCGTGATTCTTCGTACCTTAGATAATATTACAATAATGTTAGCCAATCTACCCATGGTTTGAATTAGTATTAAGAAAACTTACCTTTTCCAGAGTCCGAAGGATCCCCTGCTCGGTAAACTCCACGTCTTTCTCATCCCAGACATGACTTGGATCATCGTTTTTCGGGGTAATCTTGAGTTGTTTTAGAAACGCCGTAACCGATAGTTGGATAACATGGGTGAGACAGGGGAAATGATGCAAGCTATTCATTAACACCCGTGCGAAATCATCGTCAAATGCCTCATCAAGAAGTAACGGCTCATCTAACCCTGACTTTAAGCGAGCAGTCATCGCGTCAAACATAGTTCCGTTATTGCTTGCGTTGTCCGTGGTAAGACCTAAAATACGGTGGGATAATCCATATTTTTGAAGTAGCTCTTGGACAACTAACGCGAGCTGAGAACCAGTATGAGACCCAGGAAGTGGAGGGAAACCAAGTAAGACCTCATGATAACGGAAATCGTCATCGATAAAATAACCCAAAATAGCCATAAATGGCTTCTGATCCGGACTAGTCCAACAATCCAATGCAATAGATACCTTTCGATTCTGGGGAATCATCTGAAGAATTCTCTCGTATGCTTCCCCAGCTTTCTCGAATAAGAGCGATGTAATTGTATTTCGCGAAGGTATTTGCAGATGATAGGCAGGGCTAGCGATCATATGAAGAAGACGGCGAAAGTGGTGATGCTCAACAGTTCGAAAAGGAAGGCGACCAGCAATAATAAATCGAAGGATTTGTTCTTGGAAAGCTTTCGGAGAGTACTCGAGAGTATTATTCCCAATCTATTATACTGATAATTAGATCCAAATCTAACTTTGGATAGAAATAAAAACACTCACTCGTCCTGTATCTAGCCAATTTTTGATTGATTGCTTCGGAGTTGGTGTCTGTTCTGTAGATAAAGCTCCACATTTTTGTGAACGTAGATGGGCTGATAACGTTGATGTTCCTGTTCGTCTATGCCTTGGATGGCCTAGACATCGATGACAATGGCGGCATCGAACCTGTGGTTGTCCTGAGATTAATGCAACCTCATCACAATACTGCCATATCTCTGAAGAAGTTTCCTTGCGATCCCAAAGACGTAAAGAGACTTTGTTGGCAGGATTTTGAGCCCATTCAGTATTCTTCCACCATGAGTAGAAACGCTCAATTATTGGCTTTAAATCACCAGCATATTGAGGAAAATCCGCAGTAACTGGAAATTTTACCACTTCTTTTCGTGTATCTGAAAGCAGAATAACAAGCTCAGATGGAATCGAATTGTTGATATGATCCTCCTGCAGTAAAGCAGGTTCGATTATGGGAGAAGAAGGATAAACAGAAGATGAAGGTAGAGACTGTTGTGACTCTGGTAGGGTACTAGAACCCCGTTCACAAGATGACATCTTAATATTTACCTGTAAAGGAGTAAGAGTAAGGAGAAGAAGTAATAATATCCTACTAAAGGGGGAGAAAAATTAAGAAGTTAGAGTAATAAGAAAATCAGAATACTCTACAGGGGTATCGTACACAAAAATATTTTACACACACAAAAGCAATCAACCCATGGTTAGAAAATCCCGCTGGAATAGCCAGAAATTAGTCTCCACCATTCTCACCATCTCCACCATTCTCACCATCTCCACTATTCTCTCCATTCCCACCTTCGGTTTCTTCTTCGTCTTCGTCGGATCCCTCTCCTGAATCAGAATAGTCATCCAAAATCTCAGCGGACAATTCATCAGAGCAAGACACGTTAAAAGCATTATGAGCCTGCCTGTATTCCTTGCGCCATTCCCTGAGTTGAGTAATGTCTTCTGCATCCAAAATTTCTCGAAGCTTGATATGGAGTTTTCGGATTATCGAACGGTATTTATGATAGTCATCCCCTTTAAGAGCGGTACCATCAGTACGGAGAATTTGCTCAGCCGGCTGTGCCTCTAGAGGAGTCTCCAGATCAACTAATTCATAATACTTATTAGTATTAATGGAGATCTACCCGCGGACAGAAACTTACCTTTAGATAAAGTCTTTTTCAGACGACGTAAAGTTTTGGCTGGTAAAGGCCGTTCAAGCCGATTCTTCACGATGCTTGTCTGGAGAGCTTTAACCATCGCCTTGGCCTCATCCTCCAGACTGTTGTACGCCGGGGGTCTCGCTTTAAGAAAGCCATATTTGGGGGTTAGACCTTCGGGGCGGGTAATTTCCTCTGAGCGATCGATGGTGAAGGACGGGAGATGCTCATTCCAATCGTCAATGTCAGGTTTGTAACCGAACTTGGTCAGAAGCGCGCTGAGTTCCTGCAAAACTTCCACCGCTGTCTCGTATTCTTCCTAATTCTGGGTTAGAATCTGCCCATAGGTAGATTACTTGGCTAGGGTGAAAACGTACAGGAGAGGCGATTAAAACCAATGGTCTGGATGGATTCCTCTTGGCGGGTTTTTTCCAGCCCCATTCGCAGGTCAGGATCATCTGCTGTTTCAGATGGCGGTAGTGGACGATAGCGCCAAGAACATCTCCTTGTAAAGCAATGTTACTTCGAATCACCATCGAGTTGAGACATGGCGTCTTCTGCAACATTTTGTTCTGCGCGAAATTCATTTTGCTGAAAATGTCCCCCCAAGGAGTGTATGGCTCATAAGCGGCGGTCTATACAGAAATAATATGTTAGATAATGCACCAGTGATCTACCCATAGGCAGATTATTAGAACAAGGAATCACCTACCAAGCGGTCGATATCATTAAATTCGCTCATGAAGCCCTGCAGACAGCCTGGTCGCGCTTCAATGACCAACTTCACAACCTGGATCCAATGGATATATTGGAAACGACGAAGATATTCATGGCGTCTTTCATCGCTCTCCCATGTCTTTCGACCTTTCTTAGGGGTATTCTCTTCATCTTCCTCAAGATCGTCACTCAAGGTGGATTCGGGTACAGTTAGCTATTTTAGTTATAGTTAGTATGCGGTGGTATCGGGCAAAATAAGACGCTAAAGAATCTTCACATACGAAGGACTGGAGACTTGAATCCTGCCACAAGTTTTCATTGCGGACAAGTTCCCACAGACTCTGAAGAAATTCCCATGCGTTCTGTTTTGATGTTTCTGATGGAGACGCCGAGTCATCTTCTTCCGGGAATACAAACGCTTCAATCTGTTCAAGCCAGCTGAATGATATCCACTCATGACTTGACTTTGATGGGAGTTTCCAGGAAGGCTCGATCCACATCATTATATGATGTAAGATCTTCGACACAACGGACGAGACATTTTTCTCCAGATCAACCCAATTATTCCTATAATCGGTCAGAGGTTTCTAACCATAGGCAGATTTAAGACCTTACCATGTGGGGCAGTAGAGGTTCTGATGGGTATGGAGATTTCTGAAAACATCCTTGTATGACGCGTCAGAGAGATTGACCAGAAAATCAGGCCGTCTGTTGGAGAACTCCTGATTCTGGATAACAATGGGGGAATCCAGTTTGGGAAGTTCCAATTTGCTAGAGTAGTCATTCGAGATTGGGAACGGTGTCTTGCGTTTTCCCGGGGGAGCATCAGTATACTCCACCCAGTAATCTTCGCGTTTAGGGAAAAAAAGAAGTCTCAGTTGGCCAAGTGGACGGCCCTGGTCCAGAGCAAGAATTAGCTTCCAGTCGCTGTACGCGATAAGGTTCTGATGTTTGACCCCAAAAATGGTGGAGCAAAAGTTCTGGAACTTTTTGAATTCCAGTTTCCACATCTACCCATAGTCAGACTTTCCAATCAAATAGTATATAGGGGCTTACTTACCTCTGTCTGCTTTCCCGCTTGGATGCGAGACATTAAGGACCAATTGAAAACGTTCTCTCCATATCTCGTACCACAATAGTAGCGGATCATCTTAGACAGGTGTTTATCCTTCAGGATAGAGATCATGCGCGTTGTGTATGTGAGGTTTACCCCGAAGACGTTGTTCAGCCACCGCTTAAAGTTGGTGGCCTTTAGGCGCTCAGCTCTCTCTTTACCATCCAACTGTTCGATGTATGTGATGATGTTGAGCGCGTTATAGCCTTCGGAGTTATTCTTTCGAACAACATCGCGGTTGGAAATCAACGCATCAAGGGTCTCAGTCTGGAGTTGGCTGTTGTCGTAAACGTCCACAGCCCACAGATAATCCTAATATGACAGGTTAGTGGAGTTCAGATTCTAGCCATAGGTAGATTAAGGGCTTGCTCACGTCGTTGACTGGTTCGCCAATAGGGTTGCCAGACTCGTCAAAGGCACCGGCCGCCGCAAGCTCCTTCTGTTCATCACAAAGTTCAACGAGTGCCTGCACCCGATGTTGGCCGTTTCGCAGGGTAAGTGGGGTGTCGGGTGGCACTGTTGTCACATGAAGCATAGTGTCCTTTTAAATCAGGTTAGTCCAGATTTAACCCATGGGTAGAAATAACTCATACCTTAAGACTAGAATGGGTCGCTGCGCGAGTGCGAAGATGGGCAAGATCAGCATCTCTCCGTTCTTCGTTGAGAGGAAAGTTGAGTTCAAGGAGACGATCAAATTCAGCTTCGGTAGTAGTCGCCTTCAGGTGATCCTCAATAGCATATCTCTTGATCCCATTCTTGAATGCCTCTTTAAGGCGGGCGACTAAACTGGGCTGGAGCTCTCTGTTTCTCTTTTGGTTCTCCCATTGGACACTGAGGTACCGAACATCCACCAATATAGTTCCTAAAAAGGCTTTTTCCAGGGCCTGGTTGATTGTATCTTCTACAATCACGCCAGCTGTAGGAGCGGTTTCAGTAGGCTCTCCTACTTTCTTGCCTTTACCGCGTGCCTGCTTGGGTTTCTTAGAACTGGGAGGGGCGGAGTTGGAACCCGACGCTTGTCGTTTTCGTGCCATCACGGCGTCATGTACGTGCTGGATTGGCTGACAAGAAAGGGGCTAAGTGGGTAGAGAGATCGAGAGTGGATACTCTGAAATTAACCCACGGGTAGAATTGGGGGCTTAAACGCCAGTAAACAGACCAGGGTGAGCGATTTTAGAGAAAGGGGGTAGATGACGAATAACCTCGATTTTCAAGGATGGGGTGCAAGAATGAAAAACCGGGATGAGGAGAGAAGATGGATTAAACCATGGAGGAATTAATGGGAGGTAATAGATAAAGCCGTTGGAGGTCGCATTTCATTATGTCGTCTACCCATGGTGAATCAATGGAATTTGCCGCGATCTTTGAACCATTAAGTGAATGGGAGAATAAAGAGGTAGTGAATAAAGATATTGATGTTATTTTAGGAAAGAGATCTAATTGGTTGGACGTTTGATTACGTAATCTGAATGTAATTACCCGTGGGTAGATTTCCAATTAAGCTGATTCACTTCGTTTGGCGAGGGTAGCGACCGACGCAGCCCACAATAAAATTAAAAAAAAAAATTTTTTTCTGTTTGGCGAGGTAGCGACCGACGCAGCCCACAGTAAATTTTCTGTTTGCCTCAGCTTCACCCCAGCCGGTTTCGATCTATCAGTCAAGAGTTAGAAAAAAAAATTAGATATATACTACTGGACTACTTAGGAGTATAACAGTATTTCTAAAACAGTTCTAAGGAATAAATGGACACCCTACTATCTGGTTACCAACGTAGTCTGTTAAACGAATTTAAGGATCTTAAATAACCTGTTGCTTCTTGTACCTGTTTTTAGTCGTAGGCTATAGTTACAACTTTAATATATTAGACGAAGAATATCTAATTTTCAGTAAATTCCAATGTTATGGAAGAATCTGATCTCTCCAACGGCTGTAGCCCTAATCTGCAACCATAATATATATATCTACCTATGTAACAGATCCGTATTCTTGATTGTTCATAAGATTACGCTACACCATTGATTTTTCTTAATAATACTGTATGTCGCCCTATTATTTTAGATATCTAGATTCAGTTCCACCACTCTAAATAATAAAATATCTAAAACTGATAGTGTTATACGCGATTTCGTTTACGATGAAAATTTTGAGAGTGCGGGTTGCCCACGATGCGGACAATCCGCACTGCATAAAGGATAGATCTAACCATAGTTAGTTTAGTGGCCGATGTAATATAACTCTATTAGGTATAGTATTATAGAATGCGGATTGCGCGGTGCGGACTATTCCAAACGTTGCGGGTTGTGGTGCGGTGCGGGTTAATATCCTTAGAACCCGCAAACCCGCGCGGGTTGAATTCTGACCCTGCGGGTTGTACCCAACCCGCACCGAGTGCATCCCTAGTCTATACTATTAATAAAGCCTTACTATTTATTATAGCATACTAATTCTACTCTTTTAATCTATATTTACAGGATACTATTATACTATTCTTCTTTATCTTCTAAGTCTTTACTAATAGTAATAATTAGATAGAAGTTAATATCTATTTTATTTTCTCTCTACTCTCTAAGCTTAATTTTTTATATCTTTCTAAAGGCTGTAAAATTATTTAGTATCTAACTAAGTAAGAAAAGATTTATATCTTTAAAGAATAGTAGAATACTACTATCTAAGTCTAGAAATAAAGAGAAACTAAAAAGCTATTAGTTTAATTTAATTCTAAAAGATACTTATCTATATAGAATAAATTCTATAAAGACGTCTAATTTCCGAATAAAACCCTTTATATTTTTTATATTTTATATTCTTATCTGCTCTAATATCCGTTAATAAAGTATACTAGAAGTAGTTTAATAGCCTATTATATTCGAAAAGACTGCTCTAAGAAGTTGTCTTTAGTATCTTCTAAATAAATAGTAGCTTAGATACTAAGTGAAAAACCGGTAGAGTATCTGTCCTTCTTCTATTTATCTTATACTAAAAGCTTTGATTTCTTAGAGCCTAATAATTATCTACACTAAATAAAAATTCCTTAACTAAATTCTGTAATTTATCGTTGTCTACTATCTATCTTTTTAAACTGTTAAATATATCTAATTTAAATAAATAATTAATCTCGTCGCTGCTGGATTATCTTATAGACTATATATTCCGAATTAAAAGTAAATTTAAAAATAATTAATTAAGTTATCGGATAAAATTTATATATAGCTATTTTTACGGTTCCCAGCGACCGGCAGAATATTAATTATATTTAACTATTAGATAAACTTAGATTAAAAAGTATTTTTTATATTTACTAGCTATTTCTTAACAGATAATTTTAATTATTATAAGATTATTTTAGACTTCTAACTAGTATCTAGTTTATATATAAGTAAAATCTTTACTACTATTATTCTGTCGGTTCTTTATAAGTATAATCTATACTATTATCTACTAAGGATAACAACCGATAATATAAGTAATAATAATACTATATTCTTCTCTTTTATAGAGCAACTTCGTAATAAACTTAATATAAATATCTAGATTTAGAATACTATCGCTGACCCGGAGCTTTCTAAAATTTTTTAGAATTAATATTATATTCTATATCTTATTTATGTTATCTAACTCTATATTATCTTCTTTATAAATAAATTACGGATTACAGCGGAGAATAATACTATCTTTTATATATAGAAGAACAGCGATAAAACACTTAAAGCGTCTAATAGTATTTTATAAGCTATTAAAAAGGTATATATACTAGTTAGCCGAGATTTTAATTATAACTAAGAAGATTACTTAGATCTAGCTATTTAGAAGAATGCTAAGGAAGGCTTCCTTAGCTTTCTTTTAGTTATAACCGAAAAGATTGCTTAAATCTAGCTATCTAAGAGAATGCTAAGGAAGGCTTTCTTAGCTTTCTTTTAGTTATAACCGAAAAGATTGCTTAGATCTAGCTATCTAGAAGAATACTAAGGAAGCCTTTTTTAACCTTCTTCTAAATAGCTTAAATAAATATCTAATATTTACTAATATTTATTATATTCTTAGATTCGAAAAATTACTAAATTTATAAATATTAGCTCTTAATATTGTAAAAAATTTTAACTTATTTAATATCTAGAATTTAGATCTGTATACTATTTTCTTTTTAACTATAAAATCCACTAGAACTTTTTCTACTTAATAATTTAACGCGCACTAAAGCTCTACTAACTAATTAAGAGCTTTATCCAGTACTAGGATAGTTAGAAACTTAACTATCTGCGGCCTATACTAGTAAAATAGAAATAGTTAGAATATCTTTTAGAGCTTCTATATCTATTTTATATTTTTATATTCTGTCTTTTAGAGAATACCGGCCCTACTGTCTATAGGATATATAATATCTATAATAATCTATTTAACTATCTAGATCTTACTATTAATTGTCTTCGGAATAAATAAGTCTTATAGAAATAATAGATTCTTAAAGGCTTAGAAAAAGCCTATAAGAAACTCCGGAAATACTATCGGCGAATATACTAAGTAAAAAATTATATCTATATTATTGTAACGATTTTTAATCCTATCTCTAAGCTTAAGAAATTTAAAACAGCTACGTAGCTAGACAATAATATTAATTAATATTAAAAATATCGCACTATTTTTAAGAAGGTATTCTATTTTTACCGCAGTTAGAATCTAAGTATTAATATATTATTAACTATTTTAGACCTATTATCTAGACTGAATAAAATATTTTACTATTTTTTAAAACGATAAAGACTTATTACTTTATTAGAGATTTTTAAAGAGCTTAAGGCCTATTTTAATATAGAAGATAAGTCGTATTTTAAATAGGCCTATACTTTACTTACTGTTAATAAGATACTACTAGTTAAACTGATATTATTACCTACTAGAAATCTTATTGTAATTAGTTTCTAATCCTCTACTCTATAGCAAGAAACTTTCTTATAGTTATAACTAACAGTATTAGTGTTAAACGCTTCTTTAACAGCTTCTAAAATATCTAGAGTGGGCATTCTTAACCGTTCAGGTTAATTACCGAGCTTTTATAATATGTATTTAACCTACTAACATTACATAATATAGTGTTATAATATTGAAATTAGATATTACGTGCTATAGGATATTTGATTACGTAATAAAATACTACTATTACACTATATTGGTAAATAATACATGACTAATCAATTTTAGACCCTTTTTTATAGTGTATTTTTTAACCGTTAAGTATTATACGGTATTATAGATGTATTACGTAATATACTTCTATATATATTATGTAATAATTTTATATATATATAAATTTCAATTTTAAATTTAATTATATCTAATATATAAGCTATAATCTTTATACCTGAGGCGGTATTTTTTAACCGTTTTAGCTAAAACGGTTAATAAAACGGTTAACCATGCCCACTCTAAAAATATCTATTACTATCGCCGGAGTCGGTTATATCTTAATATTATTAAGGCGATTATACTGTAGATATATACTAATCGCTTTACTATTAATAAAGAATATCAGCAGATTCTTAATAAAATTAATCTTAACTTTATTATCTTTATATATAAGAAAGAAGATAATAATACAACTGAAGCGCCTTTGTATATTAGTAATAATAAGAATATAGATAATATAGATAAGGATCTAAAGAATAGATTATTACTAGAATCTTTATATACTACCCGGACTATTAAAGAGATATAATCTTTTTAATATTATAAATAACGCCTGAGACAGTATAAAGAATAAAGAGTAAATAATAGATATTTTTTTTAACGTATTCTTAAAGCAGAATATTTCGATTAGTTTATTTTAAATAGTAAATTATATTACGGGATTATAAGAGTATTAATACCGAAATAAAAAAATATAGTAAATTATAAAGGTAATTAAAATATATTAATTACTATTTAACCTGCGGTTAGTACCCTTACTAGATTAATCTTCCCTATTTTATTGGCTAGTTAATTTGATAAGGTAGAATCTTTATCTTTAACCTAATTGTACCGGTTTAGTTATTAAGTTCTTTATACCTTAACCTAACCTAGCCGGTTATAGTCAGGTTATAGTGAGGTACAACGGTAAGGTTAACCCACTCTACTTCTAATATACTGTGACCTAGACTACAATTACTTCGATAAAAATTTTTTACTTTTATTATTTTATTCTTACTTTATATCTGTATTAGTTAGTATATAATTATAATTTTTTTCTTAGCTATTCGAAGGTATACTATCACATTACCTATTCTAATCTAATTTAAAGGTATTTAAACGCGTAGTATCGCCAGCACATTATTTAGTTTAGTTAACTAATTCTACAGAGAATTTTATAGGTGCTTCTGTAAGGATATACTGTATTTATCTAAAGAGCGGAATCTTCTCTTAAAATTAAAAAAAGATAAAAAAAATAATCTTAGTCTAAAATAATAAAGTTATTTTTAAAGCAGTTTCTGGGCTGGAGCTCTGGTGCTATTTAAGTTTTCTAGAGTATAACTATTAAGAATATATTATATTAATATAGTATAATTTCTGGCTTTTATACTGTATATAATTATACATTAGTAGTTATTAAATTTTTAGCACGACGCGTAGGAAGTAGCAGGCAAACAGAGAGCGGAGCTTATTAAGGCGCGTTATTACTTGTTAAAAAAAAACTAAAACCCCGACGTATTTCCGAAATCCGAATAAGGAACTTCTTACCATATTAGGTGAACTTCGCTTCTTCCAGATACTGTTGCCATCGTCCAAGGTGAACTTCTAACCTTCCCTTGGGAATTGCTGAGCGGCCTGGGGTGGTGCCACCCAACGCTAAAATGCTCTTACGAAGACTGACTTCTTTATCTAGACACATTCCACGTCCGAGGATAGCTCCCATAACAGGCAGTTGAAGCCTACATACTAAGTTATCACATCAATTATGAATCCTTCAGTCTCCGCAATGCATGGCGAACGTGAAAGTAGAGTTTCTAGAGTGAGAGGTCGTCCATCCATTCCCATGGATCGCAGCTACTTCGCTGTTTATACTTGGGAGACCTGTGGTTCTCTTGACGTCTGTTACCCCAGCTCTCCTAGTTTAATTCAGCCGCGCTTGGGTCGCAGCAGCAAAAAGAAAAAAGAGTATTGACGTTGGAGACGTGTTTTTGAAGTCTCGCCAGCACGCCTATTCATTAATTCCAAGGAAATTGTTTGCCCTTCAACTTCAGCTGGGGCTGTAGAAAAAAGACCAACGCCCATGTTTCCACGACGAGTGTAACGTTTGCTCCTAAGCATATCGGCATATACGTCGCACCTTGTTCTTTCTCCCTCTCCTTTCCTTTTGTTGGGTACAGTTCTTTCACCTCTGTATAGCTTCCGGCCTTACGGGTTCACCTGGAAATACACGCTATAAAACAGCTACTATATAACAAGGTGTACTGTAGCCAACGCTGAAGTGGCCAAAATTCAATTGTTGCTTGTTTGATCCATTTTCTGCAATGACTCACTTGACATATGTGCAGTTCGAACAAGCCGGATGATTACATACATTGCACTGTGGCTGAGAGTTATACACCACTGGGCCATTGTGACACTGGCACTAAAGAGGACATCCCCATATTTAGCTTCGATTGTCCCCATGAACCCGACATGCTTGGTGGACTTACACATATGTACATGTATGTGGCCGACATTAAGGATTCATCTGGGTTCGAAAAGGGGTAGCAGCTGGCGAATCTTTCGATGTAGCCGCAAAGGCTTCTCTGGTTTTGTTAATAAGTCAATTACTTACCACTACTTCCGAAATGAGCGCACGCCATCATTACAACTTACTTGATCCACCATGATCCTAGCCTCTGTAAGGCGTATATTACCGCATTGTGGCACTTTGCAACTAATCCTGTAGGGCGTCAGGGAAGTGCCATTTGAGACACACCTTTTCGGCTCCCGAAGAAAACGCATAGTGTATGCCAAGATGGAACTTGGAAACGAAGAGTATAACCCCTTGGGCTCGGTGGTCTCCAGAATCAATATGTTCTATCCCAGGGAACTAGGCTAGTTGGAGGTGTATGGACTGACTGCGGGGCATTGCAAACGTGACTGCATTCTTGATTGGCTTGGACTCTCGCTTTCGGTCTTCTGTCCAAATTCGCCCACTGGCTACCACGTGGCACTAGTCTGTTAGCGATGCGCTCAATGCGCTCAACTAACTACGCCCTTACTCGCTCATGTTTGTAGGAAATGCCTGTTGGCTGTCCAGCCGGGGTGTTCTGCCTCCAAAAGGGCTTCTTTCCTAGGATACCTACCACTATCGCAAAGTAACATTTGCGTAGAGCAAAATCCATATAATCGAACAGGCAAGCAGTGTGAGTGGATTACCAGCGTTGAACAACAACAGTTACTTGACACAAAGTCCGAGCTCAAGTACAGAATTCTATAAGAGAGACAACTCCAGACGTGTGCCCCAGGGCAACTGTACGCTCTTTCACTGCTGAACAGGATGGCCGACGCGTCGGTGGCAACCATAGAACCTTCCTGCCACGGAGCGATATCCAACTGTCTTCTATCGATAACTCGGTAGTAGGCAGCGTAGGAACGAACGTGTAATTGCTCGGAGAGGATTCAATACTCAGCTGCCCGAGGCTTGTTTCTAGGGTGGCGCCGTCAATTGAAAATTTCATGTCGGTGACAACGCCTTTGACTGAGAGGTCTTGTTTCAATGTCCCATCGGCAGAGTTCCAAACCTTGACTGTGTTATCGGTGGAGCCTGACGCCAGCAGCTGACAGCCCGGTGAAAATGCCACAGCTCGAATTGCCCCTGAATGGCCATCCAAGGTGTGTTGCAGGGCCCCATTATATGTGTCCCAGAGCTTAATCGCACCGTCATTGGATCCCGATGCAAGAAGGCGTCCATCTGGCGAGAATTCAACGGCCCAAATGAGATCCAAATGACCCTCTAGTGTATATAGAAGGCTTCCAGTAATGACGTCCCAGAGTTTGACTGTTTTATCAATGGAGCCAGATGCCAGAATCTTTTTGTCGAATGAGAATGCAACAATACCGACTGTGCCCGAATGACCATCTATAACCTCCGGGGGAGTCTCTTCGATTAAACTGCTTTGCAAGGCCTCGGTGGAGATGTCCCAAAGCTTAGCTGTGCTGTCGAAAGAGCCGGATGCCAGCAACTGACTGTCTGGTGAGAAAGCAAGCGCCCCAACCGAAAATATGTGGCCCGCTAGAGTTGTTCTCAAGGCACCGGTGGTGATATCCCATAGACTAATAGTACTATCGTGGGTGCCGCATGCCAGAAGCCGGCCGTCCGGGGAAAATGCCACAGCCCCGACTGAAGCCTGATGTCCAACCACGGTATTTCTCAGATGTCCTTGAACAGTAAAAGCTTGCTTTACGGCGCCAGCGCCGGCATCCCAGACCCTTACAGTACCATCGTGAGATCCTGAGGCTATGAGGCGACCGCATGACGAGAATGCAATAGCCCGAACCCAGTCTGAATGGCCTTCCAAAGTCTGCTCTAGTGATCCAGGTGTAGTAGCCCATAGTTTAATGGTCTTATCCTGGGAACCAGATACCAACACTTCACCGTTCGGTGAAAAGGCCACAGCCTGGACGGGTTGCGTATGGCCATTGAGCGTACGTTTCAAAGACCCAGTGGTGACATCCCAAAGCCTAAGGGTGCAATCAACTGAGCCAGATACCACGAGGTCGCCACTAGGTGAGAAATCCACAGAGCAGATTGGTCCAGAATGGCCACAAAAATCGTTTAGTGGGGCTCCAGTAACAGCGTCCCAGAGCTTCACGGTACTATCCTGAGAGCCTGACGCTAGTAACCGACCACTTGACGAGAATGCAATCGCTCGAACCCAATCCGAATGACCTGATAAGCTCTGTCGTAGTGAACCAGTTGTTGTATCCCAAAACTTAATGGTCTTATCATGGGAACAAGTTGCGAGTACTTGGTCGATTGGTGAGAAAGCCACTGCTCCGATTGGGCCTGTATGGCCCTCTAGAGTTTGTAACTCGGTGCCCCATAGGTTTTCGACCTTCGGCAGCCTTCTTATTAAGCTAGGGGGCTCTCTGCAGAACAGCGTTCTTGTTATGGACATTTCCGGTGCGAATATGAGACAGGAAGAGTAGAGTTGGAGCGGCGCGATATCAGCAATATGTCTATTCCGAAGTATGAATCGTCGGAGGTCGAGTATCAGATGGGCCGTTTCAGAATCCTGAATACTCCAAGTCAGGTATTTCGCTTCATTATGGGCCGAAACAAAGACTCTCACAGCTACAACTCACATGAACAACTGACTGTAACAGATGCATCATCGGCAAGGCTTCGGTTAGTATTCCTAGAAGACTCATGGCCTCTAGCCAGTGGAGAAAATGCACCTTAAGGAATGAAATAGCCGTCAAGGCCCCGGTGACAGGCTCTTCGCTTTGTACCAAATGATACACCCAGTAACGAACGGAATATTGCAATTCCAAGGGTAGATGATGATCAATGGAACTGCCGTGGACTTCAGTGCGCAGTGTACCATCACCGTCCAGATTGCACATATTCTTCTTCAGCTTCTGCCCCATGACATTTACGCATCGTGTTATGAGGACTTGATGCACCTTTCTCCCATCTATCCAGAATTGGCTGCTGTCTTTTGTTTGGGGATTCAACAGGAAGTCTCTAAAGGACAGATGGAAAAGCCTGACAGGTGTCTCCGTATCGTCGGGCACTCTGAGGACGGAGTGAAAGGGCCTTAATCGATTTTGAACGTCGTCCTTCCCAATTCCCAGGAGGCTAGAGATGGCACCAACGGAGAGCGGAGTGAAAAGCAGGATAATAACTCCGACAACCTCCTGGAATTCTTCGATCAGCCGCCGCAACTCCCATGCATCCTGGCCAACAAGGAGTTGGTTCAGCACAGGGAAATACGTGTTGTCCATCTTTGAAACATAGATAGCCTGGTCCTCAAGGATCGCATTCAGACGTTGCTGGGGACTCCAGTTCGCGTCACCAACGAATCGGCATAGAGTGGCAGCAGATATGAATAACGGGACAGATTTCTCAATCAAGATTTTGGTAGACTGTTCTCCAGGCCAGTCGAGCGGGAGTGATCGCTCTTGCCTTAGTTTGGAGAATCGATCCCTGATATACAAGGATATGTCATGTTGAATCACTTGAGTTGGAACCTCATGGAGAATCAGATCTTGATAGTCATCTGGAATCCGCTCAAAGCCTGATTTGATTGGCAATACAGGCCTGCTCGTTATTAGGAATCGTAGCCGCATTGAAGTTGACTGTTGGACTCGAGGTAAGAGATGGAGAATAACCTGGATATCATCTGTCCGGTCGCATTCATCCAAAGCATCGATCACGACCACCATAATTGTATTTGGACAGTGCTTGGCTGCAGAGAGTGGCTGTAGAATAAGTTTCTCAAATTGTTCCCTAAGCACCCGGTCGGATATATCCGGATCATCCTCGATTGCGTTTTGAATATCGAGGCTCAGCTGAGGCATGGAGCTTCCTAATTGCTTCGCAATCGTCGAAAAGAGTAGTTTGGCATTTCCTCGGTCCTGTTCGCCTCTTTTGAAGAAAAAGCTTGCTGCAAGGCGGTCTTGTCGTTTTAATCGGCCTGCGACAGTTCGGGAAATCGTCGACTTTCCAGTGCCGGCCATGCCGTTTAACCAAAAGATACATTTTCCATAGGCCATACTAGCCCAGTTGTCGATGTCGCGAAGCACCTCAACCCGGGTTCCGGTAAGGCACTCAGTATGTTGGTTCTCATAGTCATTGAATGCTGCCCCTTTGGCGACACGTAACCGGCCAATATCTATCTTTCGGTGCAAAACATCGGCGAGTCTCCTTGATATTAACCTTTAGTTGGCTAGTGTCTGAGTGGTAGGGCTCTATTTCCTCACGTTTGGTCAACAAGCAATGATAGGCCAAATAATCTTTTGTACCTCTCGATTTCGCTAATGGCCTTGTCCACCTCCGCACGATGTAGAGGCCACTTGAAAGCCCGAAAGCCCCATTTCCTCATCTGTGTTTGAGCCTTTTTTGGGTCGATTTTCTCCTTCAACATCGTGAGAGTCGATGAACATTTCGCAAGATTGTCGGTCAGGTCATTGGGAGCAGCAATTTTCGTACGGTTCGTGCTCTGAAGAAGGCTGTTGAGCGATTCGAGTACCCGGGAAAGGGCGTGGATCTCCTCCTGAAGGTGGAGGATGTCTTGTCTTGCTTCGCCAACTTTTCTGATATAACTAGCACATATATGCGTGATAGCTCCTGTAAGCTGGATCACTGCGATAACGCTTGCAGCACCAGAAAGTTCCATCTTCACGATGTTGGGGTTATTTCGCAGCTGAACGTAGAGCCATGTGCTCTATCGACTGATGATTGTGGATACTCTTTGGGAAATTGGCATACTGTGGGTCAAAGGGGTGGGAAAGAGGGCCTGGCGCTTAGAATGAGGCTGAGCCTGTGGCTGAGGATGGTGGGTTGTACGGACATGCCACCTCGATGGAGACGCAATCATCCTAGTGCTCTAGCTCCCATGGAACCGTAAAATAACTGGTGTACATAGAATGGTTCGACGGCAACCCAGATATAGGAACAGGACTCGACCCCGGTATCATCAACCCCGACCGGCCATCATGATACCTTCGGATCCACCACCTCTCCAGCAATGAAGCAAGAAACAAGGAAGCGCAACCAGGGTGTCGATGTGATCCTCCCGAGTTCCCCAGTCCCACCAGTCCAGAATAATTTCATTAGACGGGCCGCCAGGGTCCTCCGACATTTAGGATAATGCTCCCATCTTTCCTTCAACGACGCTAGCAAGTATAGAAGACAAGTGGGCTTGTCGGCGAACCCCAAGATGGGCAAAGTAGCCCCTGAAGATTTGGGCACATATAGTACTCGATATCACGAGAGAAACGTTCATAACAATCGCCGTAGAAGTACTTGGGAGGCGCGTAATTCTCTCATTATATCTGTTACCCAGGCCTCCCCGGTTCACTAAAGTCGCGCAGCCGTAAGTGTCATGTATTGCCACTAAAGGGTAGTTTTTGAATCTTCGGAAGCACGCCTAGTTATCACTTTCAAAAGGTTCAACCATAATACCAATAGAACGGAGCACCATAGTAAGATGGGTAGTCCGTTAGTGTAGCTGGTCAGGGCCACCCCCGACAATCTCTGATCTCTTGTTGAATTCTCTATGACATCTTGTACAGAAAAAGCACACGGTTTCTTATGTAAGGGATGTTCTACAACATAACTGATCTCACCAGCTTGATATTGTGAACCTCCAGTCTCACTGGGTTGTTGTGAATGGCCTGAGTGGCCGTACGTGATTCCATCGTTTCCCCCGAGTTGGGCGCGCAGGCCAATTCTATCATCATCGGCGATGGTCTTGTTCTATTGAGCTCGGCTCCCAATCCCACCGTGATCTATGTTGGCGAGTGCTCGTGCCATAATGGGACAGACCAGTTTGGTTCTGATGTCGACACTGAGATCATGACTGCACCGGAATTCTGGGAGATGTTGACCGATGGAGACTTCATCGTGCCTGCAGACGAAGTGAAGCTGATGTCCATACAGCCCCTAATGTGAGTCATGAGCCAAACTTACGGTAAGAGCTATCGATCTAGGAGTTAATTATGTTCTCTTAATCTTTTGTGCGTTTATATGTCCTTATTGTTAAGCGTGTTCGTGCGAAAGTAAAACATCTAAGTTATTATAAGAAGTCTAAAAAAAGCAAGTTAATTTTAGCCCTGTTATAGGTAGAGATCCTGCTGGACCGTCGACTATTTCCCTCGGACGGGTGGGGATGGCATCAAAAGCACGACTATCAACTCCTACATGAAATCTTAAGGCGTGCAATTCATGTGAGTGAAACATTAGCGGTGACAGTAGAGTCTGTGAAGAATCTATGTCTAATGTTGTTACGATGTGAAAAAGCACCCGAAAACATAATTGCCGATTTAGGTGACAGAAGCCGGTCCTCTACATTTCTTTGCGGTGCTTGAATGTTTTCTAATTTAGCAGGTTAATCTCTTAAGATATTGCCGTGGCTAAGTGAGGAACCGTGCTTAAATTAAATCTCTTTCATAGACTATTGATTGGTGGCCCGGTTTACACAAAGGTACTAGTTAAAACTCATGCTACTACAAGCTGAAATGACTTATATCAACATCTCAGGGCGTTGCATAGACTGTCAACCTGATCGGTGTTCATATTATGACCACTCCAAACTTCGAGCTCGTCCTCTATTATCGCCAAACCCGCAAGAATCGGTCCTCTCGCGGCCCGGGTACAAGAGCTCATCTAATCGAAGAGACTTTAAACGCGGAACAGGTCACCAAGGAGTACCTTATGTATGCGTCGTGGGAGCATGGTGATAGGCGGTACCAACAGCGTTCGTGACTTAGGGTGGGCTGATGTCTCTAACTAAACTGTCCAGACAAACTACTCATCTACAGTTTGCGCTCGGCAGCCCATTCGTGACTAGGTCGACACGGTAGTCTGGCCAAATATGAATCCCGAAGTCAGACTAACGGATCTAGACATTGAGCTGTCTCATACCTAGTTGGATGCAGACGACACAAGGCGGGCGGCGCTGGACTATAAAGATCACGTACACCTTGAGTTTTGGGGGCACTTTACTCTCAAAATTTGCACATGACCCATAAGCAGCTACCGCAGGACCAGTTAGTGTTGTTATTATGATGCGAGGATGGACACGATAATAGCCCATTCTTGGGGAGGAGGTTCTACATCAGATCAAACCGAGGATCTCGCGGTGACTTTCTGGGTACCAATAATATCTTTCATTGGTATGTACATTCTCCCCAGCACCATAATCTCCAGACAATCTAGCTGTCCATAAACTTGAATCTTTGCGATTCGCTGTCGCGCTCCAGCTGGGCTCTGTTAGTACTTATCGAATCAACCCTAAGAATTAGTAGGATTCTTACACCCACAAAAGCTGCTCCAGCTAATCTTCGAATAGCCTGTTCAAACGCTCAGCTTTAATGGCTTGGAATCTGGGCTCTCCACATACCGGTGCATAGACATTTACAGGATCGTTCTGATCGTCCTCAGGGTCAATATCAAGATCCAGATCTGCTTCCGTTAGAATTCGTATCAAATAGATTCTCGGCCTCCGTCATACAGGAAGTACAATGAAGGATGCCCTTCAAATCCGGGTCATTCTTCAGTTCCTTGATGAACGCCTTTGCGTCGTGATCATCGCCCACCCGGGAAATCTGAAAGAGCACGTCTATGTTCAAGGTCAGCTTGCGCATGGTGAAAGGTAGAAACTCCTCACGTTTGTCGCCAACTCGGGTCTTATCTCGATGGTTGAGAAGTGCTTTGCACTCTTTGATCTTTTTCTTGAATGTGTCCTTGAGTTCTCCTTGGGGCTATCGTGGAGGACAGTTAGCCCCGGTGTTGTCAATCTCATGGGTAAGCACAGACTGACCGCTCCGTCCGTGATGACGCTTATCAACACCGGTCGAAATGCATCCCCCCGTTTCAACTTTGGGTATACATAGTTGTTCAATACTTTAGCTTCCAGCTCAGTCCCAAGCGGCGTCTTGCCGAAGTCACGGATGCCATTGAGCAATTTCTCCATATCTTCTGGCTCCGAGGCGACTCCGCGAAAATGGCCGTTCAAGAATTCAACCCTCACGTCCTTGGTATTGTGAAATATTGTCTCGACTTTGACGATGGCGGCGCTGATCTCTCGCCGCTCTTTTTTCCTTTCTCCCCAGGTCATGGAAAGCGAATTATCTATTTGAGAGGTTCAATTGAGTCGCTTGCAGGGGAAGTTCGGTCACTCACCTAAGAAAAGAATGCAGTCAAATAATGCCAGTACCAGGAGATCGTCGATGAACTCATCATTCAGGCTCCTATCCTCGCTGATTGTCTTGCCCCACGCGTCTGCATTCCTTGCGATTTCTTTTAGTTTCTCTGCCTGGTAATATCCGGCCAGTTGTGTTTTGTTGTACTTTTCGAGAAAGTCATAGGCGTTCACCTACACCCCAAGTTAGTAGCCGAGTGTGGTGATCACCGTGAGATATGGGAACCGCATGCCTGTCTTTCAGTAGCTAAGCCAAGGGCTCTTGCCTGTTCCATCCACTTCTCTACGAACTTCGCAGGCTCGGGCCTGTGGTTCTCATAAACGAACGGCATAGGGCCCCCCTGAGCTTGTGGTTGACCTCGGAAGAGATCGCAAAGCGAGGATTTCCGAAGAGCTCTTGGTGGTCTCACGCTCACCATAGTGAAATTCTCCCTTTCGTCCTCGACCAGTTCCACGCTGCGAGCACCACTGGAGAAGTCAATCGTAACAAACCGTTGGACCTCCGATTGCACCACATCACCGGCCGTCAGACCTTCAGTGTCTGAGCAGATGCACATTGTCCCCGAGTGCGTGATCTCGTATGGCTTATCAGCAATATACCGCATCGCCGCAATGGGCACAACTTCGGACCTGCCCTCCTTGTGAAGGTTGATGGCTAGACCAACAACGAACTCCGTCCTCACGCTGGCTGGGGGCTGTTTTCCGCACCGAATAATGAAAGAACCCCTCCTTGAGAAGGTACCTGTCTCTTCGGATTGTTTAATTCGCATCCCGTTGTTCTCGAAATATACATCGATGGTCGGGCCGTTGTCATGCACAGTCCCGAAATTGACTGGGAGATGGTTGTTGCGCTCAATGGCAGGACGAGTCCCGGATCTTGTCAGTTTGCCCACGAAGGCAAAGTACTCGTGTTTGAAGCGGAACGTTTCAGTGTTTCCGATGGGAACAATGTCAAGATTGGAAAGGACAGGAGTCATCAGTTGGTTGGGGCCGACATCTGCGACATAGGGCGGCCGCGCGACAATGCAATAGTATCGATTGTCGACAGCATTGTTTTCGATCTTAATTCGGTATTCCATGGCTTATTTTGGTGCAAATGAAGATATTTCCTTCAGGAGATACTGGAAAGATCGAATCGCAGGATCTGGGAAGCATTCGTGAACAATTGCCGTTGGAAAAGCTTGATAAGAGATAGTGGGAAGAAGAAAGCAAAGAGGCACCTTTCTCTAGCATTCCACGGTCCTCCATACGTACACCTAGACAATAGAGGCGAGCCAATTATCATTTCTTCTATACGAAGTCAAGGTCTAGACAAACAGGTATCGGCCATTCCGATGCAGAACTCCTGGGGTATTGACAGGGTATACAACGGTTCAGCGCTATGGACACCAACCAGCGTGTGCCCTTTCAATTCCGAATCTCACCTGCAGTATTCCTGTCAAACATCAATCGTTAACGAATAGATTCTCCAGGGCTGCCACTTCAGATACCGCGATGCTGCATGGTTGGTGAAGGAGACCCCTCTCGTCATCCTGGAGCCTGGTCATGCGCACTTCCATCCATGATGTTGTGTTTGGCTGTGGCGGCTCCATGGAGATGAGTAGATTAATACAGCATCTATACCCGGGTACAGGGTTGTGGTGTGATAACGCAACGCTCCCTAGATAATCCAAAGCATCCCATTGTCCTCGCACCGATTGTGCGTCCGCATCTACAACTGAGACTCAATCCAGGTCCCATACGCTGCCCCCCTTTCCCGCTCAATCATTACCAACCCAACAAACATGACGTACACCATCGAACTTGTCAACAACTCCGGCTCTCCCGGAAAGTACTACAATATCTTCTCAGCCAAGGCCGGTGTCGAGGGAGGTGCAAACACCCCCGATACGGTCAAGTCCGTTGTTTGGTTCCGAAGCACCAAGCTAGGACCCGGACAGCGAGACTACTTTTCCTTCAGCGGCAATGTCTATGGGTTCCTTGGTACGAAGAGAGGAGGAACCAACGTCCAAACTCGGGATACCATGAAGGTCGTCGTGGGGTCACCCAGGGATAACGGCACGATCCTCCTTCTTGACAAGTCATATACGTTCTCTAGCATTGACCCGGACGATGACCTCGCGCTGCCGGACAACCAAGAATTCAAGATCGCGACCAACGCCGCCCTTGTGCCCAACAACAATGTCATCGGAGTGGCAAGGGAAAAGGAAACCCCCGAAGGAGCTATTGTCGTAGCTCCTACGAATGTTGTCGATCTGAAGGGCAACGTCACCTATACTTTCACGGTGAATAAGGCGGTTTATATCAAAGCTACCGGTGCTGCAGAGGGGACTATCCAAACTTGTCCGGACGATAATGACAAGAAGGCTGTTAAAGTCGAATTTTCCGGGCGGATGAAGAAGGCCGTGGTATTTGAGGATAGCAGTGGCAACTTTACCGTCACTTACTCATCTGGTGATGACTGATAAGGAAAAATGAAAGCATGTATGTCTAGACATATTAGTTTAGCACATGCTCATTGACGATATAATGATCGTCCAGTACGTTTACAGAATCTAGGATGGCTGTTCCACTGGCTTCCGCAGGGTCACCACATAAGGCCCCTCTGTGAGCAGCCTGTACGCTCCGTCCAGCTTAGCATTACGGATGTCTTATAAATTGCGATGGCATTCACCGTGGGAAGATCATGAACCCAATATGGTGTGCTATTTGAAGTCCATGCTTGCCATTTCCGGTGTTCTGTATACTTCAAGGAAGGATTCGGTTGAACAGGCTTGTCTTAACGACTGCTCTGTAAAATATAGATAATATATAAAGATATCGCCATTCTTCTATATTAAGCAAATTTCTTCAAATTAGGACCGTCTTGTCTGCTTTAACCCTCTTCCTCGAGGTATCTTCAACTGTTACATTCAATACCTAAATTCCTTCTGTGCATGATTCTCGTCTCTCTTCCGTAATACTGCTCTTTCCGGAGCTGCCGAGCTGCTGAAGAGACCCGACATCCGCTTACTAACAGAAGTATCTTTGATTATAGCTTTATTGGCATCACGTTCGGTTGGATAAGTATTTCAGAAGCGAACCGTTATCAGGACTGATCTGGTTACTAACTTGACGGATCGAGTCGGATGTTCAAGTAGACAGCCTTTAACTCCGCTATAATTGGGCTTTCTTCCATTAAGTCCGCTGCGGTAAACGTAATTGGTAGTGTTGCTCTGATGGAGCATACCAGCAATAAGCTTAATTGGTAGACTAAGACTCTTTATTCGCCGCGCCTGTCCAGGTTGTTGAGAGATAATCCAGTATAACCGGTCGTCCGGACTTACATCTGTTAAGTCCGTCCTAGCGTATCTCCAGGTGAAATATAAAATATCATGAAATAAGAATCAAGACGTTTCTCGCCTTCGTCTATAACCTGCAGTTTCTTTCATCTACGACAAGTCTATCACAATTCTCGCTGACCAGCACTACAATCTCCAGAAAAATGGAATACGCACGGTGGGTTCCTCCTTTGAAACTTATAAAGATTTTTCAAGACTAATTACTGACCTACAATAACAATAACAGTCTAGGGGACTCAGGCCTCAAGGTCTCAAAGATAATACTAGGGGCTATGACATTCGGCGCCCCCGAATGGCAGGGCTGGGTACTGAATGAAGAAGAATCCCTACCACTTCTTGAACACGCCTACAAGAAAGGCATCAGAACCTGGGATACGGTAAGAAGAAAGAAAGCAGGGGCAACACGCGAGTCCTAACCGCTCTTCAGGCCGACATGTACTCCCATGGCAAATCCGAAGAAATCGTGGGAAAGGCTCTGAAGAAATACAACATCCCCCGTTCCCGCGTGGTAATCATGACCAAATGTTACTTCGGTGTAGACGATCAGGGGAACTATCCTCCGCCTCTGACGACCGGGCGGCAGAACGAGGGTGACTTCTTGAACCGCGTCGGTCTTTCTCGCAGACACATCTTGGAGGCTGTTGATGCCAGTGTTGAGCGGCTGGGAACGTATATCGACGTGTTGCAGATCCACCGTCTGGATCGAGAGACACCACGCGAGGAGATTATGAGAGCGCTGAACGATGTCGTCGAAAGCGGCAAGGTTCGATATATCGGCGCGAGTTCGGTATGCTTCATCTCAACAATCTGAACCAACAAGCGCTAATCCCTTTCTTTCCTAAGATGGCCGCTTGGGAATTCCAGACCCTCCAAAACATCGCCATCCGCAACGGCTGGCACAAGTTTATCTCCATGCAGAACTACCACAACCTCATTGCCCGCGAGGAGGAACGAGAAATGATCCCGTACTGCCTGGACAGCGGCGTGTCTCTGATCCCCTGGTCGCCTGTCGCGCGTGGAGTCCTCGCCAGACCGTGGAATTCTCGCTCGACCGTGCGCGAACAAACTGATGTTGGGCTACGTATGTTTATTCGTGCGCGCGAGACCGAGGCCGACAAGGCTATTGTTGATCGCGTGGAAGAATTGGCGGGCAAGAAGGGCCTCAGCATGGCACAGGTTGCTATTGCATGGTTACTGAGTCACCCCAGCGAGTACCCTATCGTCGGGCTGAACACGAAGGATCGCATTGATGAGGCGGTTGCGAGTGTCCAGGTCAAACTGACGCCGGAAGAGATTCAGTATCTTGAAGAACCGTATGTCCCAAAGGCTATCCTTCCGGGGGAGCGATAATGTGGAGAGGTAGTCGTATGCCTGGTAGTTTACTAAATGTTTATATTTCATAAGTACTGTACTAGAGTATGCTCCTTAAGCAGGCCATCTCGACTTGCGAATAGGGTTGTATAGACCTGCAGTGCACCCTCTAGTAGTTATATAAGTATGAAGTGAAGATCTCTTGTATACTCCGAATATTTCCCGCGCGTGACGCCATCCGCCGCGGTGAATGGTTGGTCCCGCCAAGCTCTCGGCATCCTAAACATTTTATACGAAGTCGATCCCATCTCTTCTACTCTTCTTCTATTCTCCTGCATCATCTCTCGACAACATGCACCTCCCTCCCCCCTTCTCGCGCTACCTCTCCTCCCTCCGCGCCCTCAATCGCCGCCTGCAGGACCGCGCCGCCGAGGGCGAGCGCAAGAGCCTGGGCAGTCGCCTAGCCGAGGTCTTTCTGCGCACCTGGTACCTGGGCTTCACCTCGTTCGGAGGACCGCCCGTGCATTTTCAGATCTTCCACCAGAAATTCGTCGAGGGGAGACACGGTCCAAAATGGGTTGATGAGCAGACAGTAAGCCTGTGGCCATAAGATACTTGTCCAGTACTAACCCCCGCAGTACCAGGAACTCTTCGCCATCTGTCAAGGCCTCCCCGGCCCAGGGAGCACCAAAATGCTCTTTTGTCTGACCCTGTACCATGCCGGGTTTATTCCCGCGCTGTTCGTTTTTCTACTCTGGAGGTATGCTGTCGCTCCTGGTACTGCTGGCGGCGTAGCTAACGATGCAGTCTCCCCGGCGCAATTGGCATGTACGCCCTATCCATTGGCGTGCGGAATATCGGCGAGACGCTGCCGGCGCCCACGTACGCCCTTCTCTCTGGCCTCAACGCCTCCACCGTCGGCATCATCGCCCTCGCCGCAGTCCAGCTGGCCGACAAGGCCATCCGCGACCGGCTCACCCGCATCCTCGTGATTCTGGGTGCCTGTGCGGGCATCTGCTATAATGCCCTCTGGTATTTCCCCACGCTGATGGTCATCGGCGGGCTGGTCACCGTCGTCTGGGACGGGTATCTCAGCCAGGCGCTGCGGCGCGCAAAGAACCGCTGGCGGAGGAGGAACCTGCGGGCGGAAGATACTACCGAAGCCCAGCCGGGGTCTGAGATAGAACTCCAAGCGACCTCGCGGGAGACTGCCAGCGTGCGATCGCGCAAGACCGCCACCCAGGAGGCGCCTCCTTCCAGTACCCTCAGTCCGACACCCACCACCGACACCCCCGGCCAAGACCACATCATCCGTCTGCGGGTCGGCATCGCCACCTGCATTGTCTTTTTCGGTGTGTTACACCCTATCTTTATTCCCGTAGGCAAGCTAACCCCCTAGCCTCGTTTATTGCAATCCTCGTCACCCGCGGCCTCCTCGCCCACCCGCCGCTCCCCCTCGACCTCTTCGCCAACATGTACCTGGCCGGCACCATCATCTTCGGCGGCGGCCCCGTCGTCATCCCCCTGCTGCGCTCCTACGTCGTCGACCCAGGCTGGGTATCAAGCCGGGACTTCCTCATCGGCCTCGCCGTGATCCAGGCCTTTCCAGGCCCGAATTTCAACTTCGCCGTGTTTCTCGGGGCGCTCGCCGTGCGCGGGGCAAACGTGCCCTCCGTGCTAGGCGCATTGATGGGGTTTATCGGCATCTTCGTGCCGGGGATCACGCTCGCGGTCGCGGTGCAGAGCTTCTGGCGCGTGCTGCGACGCCGCAAGTGGGTGGGGGATCTGCTGCGCGGCATCAACGCGACCGCCGTCGGGCTGGTTTTTACGGCGGTGTATCGGCTGTGGGAGATTGGGTTTCTGACGCCGCGGGTGAGTACCGGGCAGAGTTTGGGAAAAGAGCCGTGGTGGGTTGTTGTTGCGGCGGTGACTTATGCGGAGAATGCGTGGTTCGGGGTGGCGCCGCCAGTGGCTATTGTTTTGGGGGGTGTTTTGGGGTTGTGTTGGTATGGGGTTGTGGGACGGTAAAATACTCCGTATACGGCCTTCATTGTGTAGCATGCTCCATGCCTAGCTATGTACTCCTCATACTAGTCCTACCTCGCTATATACTTCAGTTAGCGCAACTACCGCTTCAGCGTCAACAATCCCGGCCGATACGGCAGCAGATTATAATCCGGGTTCTGGCTCGGATCGCGGCCCTGGTACAGGAACTGCAGATTGCACGGATCCACGGGCATGGTCTCGTCCGCGGTACTCCGAATCAAATCCCCATGGCTAATATCGTTTGTCCACGTCGCACCGCTGTTCGCCTTACCCGCGAACGGGGCGGCCTCCGTCGTCGCCTGCGCCGTCCACGCGCCGCCCAGACTGGTCGCCGTGAACGAGCGGAAGTAGCGGCCGTTGGAGCCAATCGCCTCGACGATCATCAGGTACAGCTGCTGGCCCTGCACGCGGTAGACCTGGACCGCCTCGAAGAGCTTATACTGCGAGTCGGAGAGCACGACAGTAGCAGAGGAGCCGAAGTTGCCCGGGAAGTTGCCGATGGGCATGGAGGCGCGGTAGATGTTGCCGTTGTCGCCGGCGAAGAAGAGATACATGGTTGTGTCGTCGCCGATGAGGGTCAGGTCGATGGGGCCCGTGCTGGACGACGACAGGGTGCCCGAGTACAGCGGCTGCGCCGAGGACCAGCCATTAGCATTCGTCGGGTCTGACGAGGTCCGGTAGGAGAAAGCAGTGGCGCCCCATTGATAGGCGAGCACCCAGGTGCTTTTGGGGCGGAAGTAGAAGAGCTGCGGGGCGACGGTGCCGGAGGACATGGTGTTCTGGCTGGCGGAGGACATGGCGGACCAGTCGGCGAAGGGACCGATGCTCATCGAGCCGTAGCTGCCGGCGGAGTTGACGTCCGAGGCGTAGACGAGGTGCTGGCCGTTGTAGGGGACGTGGGTGAAGTCCTTGAGGGAGACATAGCCGGATTTGGGGTTGGCGAGGGGGCCGGTGGAGGTCCAGGTGTATTTGGACGGGAGGGCGCAGGTGCTTGAGGTAGCAGCCTTGGTCGTAGTGGTGGTTGAGCTTGCTTTGGAGGTGGTAGTGGTGGTCAGGGTAGTGCTACCGCTGCCACTGCAGGGCTGGCATTGCGAATACCACTCGTTCGAGTAGACGCAGCAGGAGCCGGACGCACAGGTGGTTGCGCCTGTCCAGCCAGTTCCGCCGCCTGCAGGTATTAGCATCGACATGTACATATGAAGTATACAGGGTAGATGGACGTACATTGGCCCCAGACGGGCGACTGCGCCGACACCAGGGGGAGCAGGACGAGAGCAGCAAGCCAGACCATACCGAGTAGTGCAGAAGGGATGAGATGATCTGCTCAGAGGGAACTTGCAACTGATCGACAGGGCTATTTATGCACTGGACGGAGCTGGAGATTTGCGGAGGTGGAGTCCGGGGCATCTTAGGCTGATTGAGCAGTGTATAGTGTCTGCAGGAGGAATTGGGCGTCACGTCCGTGATGAATCTGTCTTAGCAAAGTCAATTTGATTGCATTAGATGAAGATAGATGAAGAAAAGGGTGCCGTGCAGAAACACGGCAGATGCAGGAGCAGCAGGAGGCAGACAATGCCGATGCGGGGAGATCGACTAGGCTAGGCAGCGGCTAAATAGACGTCTTTTGTCCATTTGATTCCTATACTCCGTAGTATACTCCGTAGTATAGAGTAAGGGACTACTTACTCCACCGGAACACAGTAGAAAAGGAGATCTATACCGGCGCCCTCTGATTGGTGCCCACTCCGTGCTGAACAAGGCAGGCGGTGAATACATACCTACGTACAGCCATCTTCTGCCAGCGTCACCTACTCCATACTATACAACTTCTGTATACATCACAATGCTCTACAACGCCCTCATTCGCACCCACCACATTACCTCCCGCAAAAAAGTCTCTGCCCTCAAACGCGCCGCCGACGCCCACAACTGCTTCGTGCTGTTGCGCTCCGGCGGCTGTCCCGGCATCATGTACGTCGAGTCCAGCCAGAAGGAGGCGGTCGAGTCCTGGGTCAACGTCGTGCGCAACCTGCGCTACAAGGACTTTCAGCTGGTCACCCGGCCTGACGTGAAACAAGGCTCTCCTATGCAAGGACAGCAGTCTGCTGACAGCAAGGCTGGCCTCTCCGAAGTCGACACGGTCAAGGAGTTTGGCAGCGCCATGCAGCGCAGGGGGGTGTGGGAGTGGTGGCGGAAGGGAATGGGATATACAGCTGATTGAATGCATCAACTGCCATGAGCTATAAGCTATATACACCACCCATCTTGCATCCACTACTCCACCGGGTTATCCCCAGGCAACCGCTCCAACGGCCCATGCTGTCCAACCTCATCCCCCGGCGCCGCAACCTCCGGCTGATGCCTGACCGGCGCAATCACTTTTTGCGTCTTCATGATCGAGCACCGCGGATCGCTCAGCCCCTTCGGTCCTGTGCACGTCGCGGCCGCCTTCTCCAGCGCCGGCTGGTCCGTCCACCCGTGGATGAAATCCCCATGCAGCCCGAACCCCGTCGCATCCCCGTTCGAATACACCCAGTTCCTGTACTCCGGATACCGACTCGTGTCGTAGATGAACTCGAGGAAGATCGAGTAGATCGCGACGGGGTGCGACGGCGGACAGACCCCTTTGTTATAGTCCCCGATCGCCGGGTACGCCATCTTCACATCATCATCAGCTTGTGTCTTATTGTCAGTCGCGAGGTCACTCACATGGCTCACATGATCCGCACTGTCGAGACGCTTCCCGTCCCAGCACGACGGCATAAACACCTGCGACCGCAGCTTTGCACAGCGTCGCTGCGGGAACGCCTTCGTCTCGCTGGAGCCGCCGTCCGCGTGGATGCACATGTGGGATATGGCGCGCTGGTCGAATCTGCTCGCGTCGTATGTCCTGCATACGCCTTGTCAGCCTGTCTACCGCGATATGCAACGGGGGAAGCCAGCGAACCGTCTGCTCGAATCCCCAGCCACCATCCGCAAACCCGCCGGCGGCGCGATAGCCCGCTCCTTCGGACAGGCCGTCTCGTGCGCGGTGTAATTGCACGCCCGGTTGAAGTAGTAGATCGACTGGTCGTCAGCGGGCTCTGGCCTCTTTAAACGACAGGGTATGATATACACTACTCTCCATCGGAATCATCTCGTACCCCCGTCCTGTGCGATGGTACAGCTGCGGCGCCCAGTAATTACTCCGGTCAATAGCCACCCCGCAGGTCGTGTCTTTGGCGCTGCGCGCCGTGTCGGCCGTCATGCGTCGCTGGAATGCCGTGCCCCCGACCACGACGTGCGTGTGACTGGACAGCTGGCCGGGGGACATGATCGGGTCGGAGCGTTGGATTGTCAGGGGGAGGCAGCTGAAGGTGAATTCGTCGGTTGAGAGGGTTGTCTGGGGGTGTAGGGCGAGGGCTAGGAGGAAGAATGGGGGGCGCATTGTGGCTGAGGATGATGCTGTCAGGATTGACTGAGTTTAGGGCGCTGGCTTTATATTACTTATGGCATGTTTGTGCTATTCCATCAGAAGAATGTAGTGCTCAGACAGCACATCCCTTGCGACTCTTGCTGTCCTGTAAGTATAGCGGGAATGTAGGCAGTACATTCCATTCAACGCGATGTCTATTCTATAGAGTATGTCCAATAACGCCATGTACCATGCCCCAACGCCATATCATAATGCACTACGAACCCTCGCTGCCCTCGCCGCCCCCGGCTTGAGGCCGCTCAATCGGAGGCCAGTCCGGCGCAGGAAAACTCAACAACTTGCACACATCCTACTCCCATCAGCTACCATCATCACCATAAGACGAGAAACAAACTCACCTTCCTCCTCCGCCGGAAATCATCATACAACTTCCGCCACACGACCCGATCCCGACACCCGCTCTCCTGCGCCGTCCCAGGGTTACTCTTACACTTGGGCAACATCTCCGCCAGCAGCTTTTGCGGCCACATCACCCACGGCTTGGGCAGCGGCCAGTCGGAAAAATGCACGATCTTCGCCTCGGCCAGCACACGGTCCGGATCCCACTCCTCGTAGCGATTCCCCAGGAACGCCGTGTGATCGTCCGCCCGGAACTCGCCCGTCACCAGCCCGTACTGCCGGTGCGGCAGCACCAGCGCCGAGTCGCCGTACCGCTCGTTCAGCAGCTCCATGTCGTACTTGGCCGACGTGTTGACCGCCACCTGCCCGTGCAGCGCCGGCTGCGCCAGCTCCATCAGCGCCGAGTACTCGCGGTACGACGGCTCCACCACCACCAGCAGCGACGACAGCTGCCGCGTCCCGGGCAGCTGCCAGTACGCCCGGGGCATCGCCGCCGCTGCCGCCGGCAGGAAGAACAGCTCGTCCATGTTCTGCAGCACGCTCACGTCCGAGTCGAGGTGGATGATGCGGTCGAACTCGGTCTCGCCGAAGACGAGCAGTTTCGTGATGCTTTTGTCCCATGATTCGCCGGAGCCTGTCCATCCCCACCAATATCAATTAGCTCTTCTTTCTTCTTTCTTCTCCGTAGAAAGGGTGTTGTAAGGGGGCGCACCCAACCCAGCCTCCAGCATCTCCTCATCCACCGGAATCAACAACGCCCCGTACGTCTCCGCCGCCATCCGCAGCAGCTGGCTGTCGCGGTCGCGGCTGCTCTCGACGTCGACGTCCCACGTCTCCGGGTAGAAGAGCACGCGCTGCGCCCGGCTGCCCAGCCGCTCCAGCGCCTCAAACACCATCACCGCGTTGCACAGGTACGCGCTGCTCGTCGCATACTGGCTGTACGCGTACCGCGACCAGTCCACGCGGTTGTAGTCGATGTGTGTCACGCGGGCCGGCGGCGGGCGCTCGCGCCGGAGGTACAGTATGAGCAGGACGAAGACGGCGAAGATGATCCAGGTGCGGATGTGGCGGAGCTGGCGCTTGAGGATCGCGAGAACCGGCTCGTCGGGGATGTCGAAGAAGTCGTCTTCCGAGGCGGTCGAGCCTCGCCGGTGCGGGAGGCGAGGGACCTTTTTGATTCCCATGTTGGTTTATATCGGGGATCAATCCATTGGCGTGTATGGCAGTTGTGGTGGTGGTCGTGGTGATGACGCGCGTTGAGTGTTCTCCTGTCTGCACGTGATCTGCAACATCATACTTAGGTAGGCATGCACTTTCATGGAGTATCAATCTTACAATCTATTTACATCTATATACATAGACTACCGCACACTGTCCAGTCGAGCCTGTATCGTCTTCTCGTCAAACTGCCCGTTTTCCCCAACATAGTTGCGTAGCGCCTCCGCCGTCATCAGTCGACGCGGTGCCTTGCGGCCAGTCAACAGCTCAAACTGCGCAATCGCCTGCTCGCACACGTTGTCTAGACCATCGACCAACACCCACGGACGTCCCGTCTCACTGCGGAAGCGGCGCATCTGGCGCAGTAACGGCGTTTCCAAGGGTTTATACGCAAACTATATCTGTTAGCTCGGAAACGAAACGTGATTGAAACTGCTCACCTCCAGAACCACCCCACCAGTCGGACTCCCTAGCCACTGCTGGGGCATCTCGAAATTCGCCGGAGGCTCATCCCCATCTGGATCGGCAGGCACACATGATGCGATCAGACACGGCGGACAGGCGTCCGCTGGCCACTCATCCTCCACCGACTTGAGCACATGCACCACTTCTGGTGCCCCAACCTGCGATGCAGCCCAGGAATTAAAGTGACGCGCCACACTCTCCGCCCGGGATAACGTCCGGTTGTAGATGAAGATCTTGCGGCATCCGAGCCGCAGCATGGCGTAGATAGCCGCACGCCCCATACCACCAGCTCCAATCACCAAGCCGGTCGTCTTGAGCGGACTGATGGCATTGCGTGGAGAGAGATTGCGGTTGATACACGATACGATCCCAACCCAGTCGGTGTTCTCTCCGTACCAGCCCAAGACAGGCCCAGCCTGGTTCCGACGGCTGGCTTGCTCCTGGAGAGGGAACACCGTTCCATCGGCCCGCGCGCGCAAAGGCATGATGGTATTGATGGCCCCAATGGCCTCAACATGTCCGCTTTTCGAAGCGAGCTTCTGGGAAACCTGCACTCGCCACGGTTGAACAACACTGGTCCCGCCAAAGTGCGGATCCCGGCCCAGCCGGTCAAGCGCGGACAGTGTGGGAGACTCGGGAATGCTGTACGTATGGTTCATTCCACAGTGTTGGAACGCGGCATTGTACATCGCGGGCGACAGACTGTACGCCACGCTGCCTCCGAGGATGTAAAACTGAAGCGGATCTAGCACGTAGCTTTGGAACAGTGCCTGCACTGCATCTCGCGACGTGATGAGAGGATCCCTTTCGTTGTCGGTAGACCGCTTGATCGCGGGATGGGTCACAGGGGTCAAGATCGAGTTAAACACCTGCGACGTCCGTCCTAAACTGCCGATGTTGTAGGCGATGATGGGAATGTGCTTGCCCGGGAGTGACTGGATCTTGTTGGTGAATTTCGCAACGGCGGCGTTGTCTTCGCGTTCGGTGGCTACCCGCAGGATGCGGGCCAGTTGGCAAGCAAGCGTCTCGGCTTCGAGGTACATCGACATACATTCTTCGTCCTCCCACGACACATGAGCCGATGGTTCATATACATGCTGGCCGATGATTTTGGTCATCCCCCGATTCTGAACGGCCTCACCGAACAACGTGCGGTCCTGGCCAAGGTCGATGGCAAGATATTCAACGGCCAGTCGCAAGCCATGCTCTACAATCTCGAAATATACATCGCGGAGCTGCGTAGGGGAGAGATCCCGGCCAATACCAGAGGATGAAGCGTCGATCGAGAAGAGGATGGGAACTCGAGCACTCCGCCGCAGCAAGGACACCTGCTTGCTCACGGTACTCGCCATTCCGGGACCCCAACGGTCAATACAGAGCTCAATCGCATCACCGCCAGACTCGAGGCCGCAAAGATTGACAGCGCCTTCAATCATCTCGGAGGACCGCACAAAAATGGCATGGGTGAAGGACCGCAACTCCGGTGGTGTCTCCAGCAAGACGAACGGCGAATCGTACCCGGAGCTACCCACGTCTGTCCCAGTGATAAACTGAACGAATCGCGTAAAGTCCTCTTTAGCTTCCTTGAGCTTGAAGGAGTAATCGACGGATCGGCGGTCCGGCGCATCCTCGTCGGCGGTCACACTGGAACGATCCTCGACGTTATAGAACTCAAAATTAGAGCAGTTTCGATGTAGCGGATCACCGTCACACAGCCGTCTGACCGCCTGATCTTCCAGCCCCAACAGGCGTTGGATGCGGTCCATGTCACGCACCAAATACACAACAGGATTGGTAGTGGCATACTGACGCAGATGCTCCTGCACCGGACGGGTCAAACTACCCAGCCCGCATTCAATCACGCAGCGCGAACGGTGCTTGTCCAGCATCATCTTCAATACCTCGATGTCGCGATGTTGGAATTCTTGGCTGCCGAATTGTTTCAGATACTCATGACGCGTCAGGCCGGTGACTTCTTTAAAATAGTGGTCCTCGGTGATGAACCGGCGTTTCAATGCGGTGGCCGCGACGAAGCCCAACGAGCGCTTCCCACAGCCGCGAATCCCGACCAGCACCAGAGAGGCATCTGGGTCGATTTTGCGGTTGCTTCTCAGAGGACTGGACATGACGTGCAGAGATACGAGAGGCGTTTCGAAGCAATTTGTCAGGCATACATTAACGAGTCATGTTCAATTGAACAAGGATGGTGAATGCGAGGGTTCAACTGATGTCATGCAGACGTATGAACACGCCTATCTGCCAGGCACGCTGTGAAAAGAACCGGGGAAAGACTGACGGAGCTTCGAAACCATACACCAAGCTGTTCTGTGAGATGAACATGAGATGAAGGGGTGTAGGCACCTCCAGCTTTAGTCATAGAGAGTTGAAGCTACCCCAGCTCGGTCTAGTCGGATGCGGATGCGGGCAGCGGCAGAATGCCCCACGCTTCACCGCCCACAGAAATCTCTGGCGGGAGAGTCCTTATCCGGGTGGTCAACAGGGAGGTTCAAGAACAAAGAAACATTTGGCGTCCTATCAGCAATGTCATTGGCGTCCATCGAGACATCGGACACGGTTCCAACAATCCTGTCAATAGAGACGCCATAACAGTTGCATCGCTTGAATTTGGGTCATGTTCCCTCCAACTGGACTGAAGAGACACATAGCTTCATGGTCATCGTGATAGGTGAATACGAGGCTCCTCCGGACTCGTCGGCCAGTCGGCCGCGGATGTCGTCTCGAGCACAGAACGATTACCGAGTCGGGATGCCGTGGCCACCAGACACATCCATCAAGCGCAACCCAACGCCCGAAATGAGGGATTCCTGGATCGCAACCGGCCAAGAAACGGAGCCCAATTACAACCCCCGTGCGTGTCTAGTTCTTCGGACAGGTCCAATCGCACCCGTGGAAGGGATCGCGTATTTCCGGGTTCCCTCAACACTGAAGCCTTGCTTCGGTTGTGGAGAGTCTGGCGAGTGCTCGGTTGTCACCCGGTCTCTCCAGACGGGGTTGACTTCCGATTATCGGCACTTTCCCCTCCTCACGGTCGACTTTCCACGGGTGTTATTGGTGGGAAGCGATCTGCTGAGCAATAAACAGACGGAAGAATTGTTCCACTTTATCCTTGCGGACACCTCCGTATTGTCGGGAGTAGAGTCGTCCGTGGTGACGATTGAGCGAATTCGATTAGGAGAGAAGAACATCAGGTGGCTGGTGATTCGCTGGTGGAGTGGACCGTCCGGAGTAGTAGGCAGAGTAGTATCCGAGCTGGAGTTGATGGAGTCATCTGCTCACGATCATGTGATTGTTGCATGGTGAGATGTCTTGAACACTCTCTTCCCCTGTACGGAGTACACTAGAAGTCTCAAGTGAGACATTGTTATCGGAATTGACCAAGTATCCAAGCGGAATGAAAGAGAAGACTTGAGAGTGTTGTGGGTGTTGTGGGGTGTGGGGATATCCGCCTGCTGAGTCAGCACGGAAACGATCCCGCGGATCTTTTCGACTTCTCCATCTTTTTTCCTGCGCTTCTCCATCTTCACCACATCCACTGCCACATCCACTTCCCGATCTCGCCCCGACGCAACAGCCGTCCGCCTTTCCTTCGGAATGGGTCTGGGCCAAGTATTGTCTCTGGGAGGGTCCCTGCTGTGGCTGTACGCGATTTTTGGCCGTGGGCTTTTGCGTAATAATACTTCTCGTCCCAGCATTGCTGGCTTTGTTCTCTAGTGTAGTCTCTACCTACTTTCTACTACTACTTGAATTCATTTTCATTTTCTTTTCTTTTTTTTTTTTCCTTGGTCTAGTCTCCTACCCAGATCAATACTCCAGCTCTACGAGGTCGCGCCTCCCTCTACAGTCCCTGCATGACATGCTCTGTCCGCCCTAATCAACCCTCCTAATGGACGAGGGTCATGATAAAGCCCCTCGACGGAAGAGGGTGTCCCGGGCTTGCGACAGGTGTCGCAGCAAAAAGGTTCGTTCCACCTTCGCGACTCTCTATCTCAGGCTCTCTGACCACCACAGGACAAATGCGATGGCCTTCGTCCCGCGTGCTCCGCCTGTCAGGCATCGGGCCAAACCTGTTCTTACGACCCTCACGCAAAGAAACGTGGCTTACCGGAAGGCTATGTCCGCGGTCTAGAGAAGCTCTGGGCTCTCGCAATCTGCAACATCGACGGTTTTGAAGACACAATGTTGGGTCTGCTGGGTACCACCGCCGAATCCGCGGGCCGGCGAGGAAAGGTTCTGGGGCTCTGGACGGACGACGGCGCGTCGGAAACGCTACATGAATCCTGGAAAACCAGCCGGCTCTACGGGGCCCTCGAGAAGATGCTATCAAACTCTGATCCATCCTCACACACGGGCAAACGCTCCCGCGACGATCATGACGATTGGGGATTTCGCCTGGATCGCAGTTCCACCCCCCTCTCACAAGATGCGCCCCGCGTCGTCGACCCCTCGACCTCCCCCCGAGTCAAGAGACCGCGATTGTCTCTCCCAACGGAATCGGGATCCATGTCGCATTCACCAAGCGGTATCGCTGCACTGCAATTGCCCCCTCAGACATCGCAGTTGCTGGAAGTGTACTTTGCCGTCACCCACTCTTGGTTCCCTGTCATCGCCAAACACAACATTCTCCGCGCTTCCTATCTCTACGCCAATGCCCCGGTGTCAGTGGCCAAGATGGCCCCGGGGTCTGGTGACCACGCCGCGCTCTGGGCGCTTCTCAGCTATACTATCTCCCAATCGTCCACCAACCCGCCGGACGGGTCCGCGCTGGCCAAGACGAAAGAGTATTACGCCATCTCCCGCAGCTTGATTCCGCCGGAGACGGAGCGATACGAGTTGGGCCACGTCCAGGCTTTGCTGCTGCTGACTCTGGTGAACATTGGCCTGGAGGACTGGACGGCCGCCTGGCTGTTGAGTGGACAGGCCGTGCGCATGGCCATTTCCATAGACCTGGGGACCGGTACTGATATGCGACGATCGGAAGAACTGCGGCAGGGGAAGGCTGTCTTCCTCGGGTGCTTTGTGATCGACTCGCTTCTCTCGTTCCGGATCTCTCGCCGGCCATGCATGCATCCTCGCGATCTCGCCACGGTAGGTCTGATGGAAGAGGATGGCTTGGAGGAGTGGAATTCGTGGGCGGATGTTTTGCCGCCGACGGGAGCCGCGCAGAAGAATCCGCCTCGTCGGGGTCCTCTTCTCGCCCTGAGCTGCTTCAACCGACTGGTCGAGCTAGCCAGCGTGTTGAACAAGATTGCTCGTGATGCCACCGGGCCGAACTGCCATGTGTTTGCTCAGCAGTTGGTGTTGGAGCTGAAACAATGGGATGACCGCTTGCCACTTGGATGTCGGTTGATTGGTCCTGAAAGCATTTACCCTGAGCGCCACTCTGCTCTACTCCCTCATCAGACATATCTAGGGTTGACATATGTTGCAACCCTGCTGTGGCTATACCTGCGCATTGCGCCTCACGAGCTGGGACTGCATCGTTCCCAGCGGCCGGCTATCGAGGGCGCAAAGAAGCTCCTTTACCGCGCCCTTCCCATGCTTTCGCAACATCTGGAGAACTTCCGCATGTGCGGACTGCCTCCGGTATTCGAATTCTCTTTACGCACCATCTCCGAACAAGCCTTTACACTACGCAACAAGATCGAGTCGGACTCGTTCCCATTCGGTCGTTGGGAAGAAGCTCTCCTGCATCGGACCATGGAGCTTGGTCCGACGTGGCCGGTATACCGCTCCTTGTCCTCGAAGATTGACCGCTGGTACCATTCCAAGGAATTGCCCGACAGCTCGTCGCCATCATTCCCCAGATCAAACGATTCGACCCCCAGGCCTGTCCTCTCGACCACTCCCTTCCCCGATATGGTAGCGCGTCGATCTCTGACCGACTCGTCGATGCCTTTCAATAGGAGGATCCCTAAAACGGCCGATTCCGACTTCACGTCCTCCATCATGGGGATTAGCATCCCAGTGGATGGGCAGTACATGACTCCGAAAGACACCACCATGGAGAACACCGATCTATCTATGATGGATGCGTCTTTCCACCCCCCGTCGCAAGCCTTGGACGGCTCGGCTGATCCCGCGAGCGCACTCGATGCCATGCTCACCCGTACGCATCCCCATCCACCCACCCCCGACTCATCCTCGAACACGATGGTATCCGCGCCGTCCAACGACCGCTCCGTACTATCAGGGGAGACGTCCGGCGGGGCCCCGGGCGACCTCGACTCCATCTTCAAAGACCTCGCCTATCTGGACACGACGGAATGGGCGACGAGCCGCGAGGCGGGCTTGAAGGACTTTGGCTTCATTGACGACAGCACCTTCCAGGCCTTCTGCCATGACCCGGACCGACTGGCCGGCTCGCAGCCTCTGGTGCATCCCCCGTCCATTGCCGATATCTGGCCGCCTCCGGGATTTTTCCCGGAAACATTTCAAGAGTCTGATGATGCAATGGAGGGGTAGCTTCTATTTGTGCCGATAGGCTCGGTTATTATGATACCCAATAATGTATGTATATATTAATTCAGTGACTGCATATGCTGACCCGTAGTCAGATATCTTGTACTACGTGTGTATAGACCTACTCTTACCATGTACATAGTCCAGGACATAAATCACCTATTCATAAATGTACTCGGTCTCCGGACACGAATCCACCCGACTCACGACGCTCTCGATCCGCGACGCCATCCACCCCGACTGCACACCGCGTCGACGCACCCCGCGTATGGCAGATGGCGAGGTCATGCAGGTGCCATTGCGGAACGAGAACTGCAAGCAGGTCGGGTTGAGGTCGCACTCGGCCGCACAGTCGTCGAACGAGGCCACCCGGTCTGGGACGAGTTCAGACGCACGATTGTCCCAGTCGTCCTGGCGCTGTGCAATCCCGTTGAACAAGAATCCCTTAAACACGTCCCCGTGTAACAGCACGCCGTTTTTTTCCTGCATCAGCTCGCCTTGTCAGTCGTGGCCACCACGGGAAGGAATGCGCATGCTCACATCTCGAAACCACTCCTGCTCAAACGCCCACATCGCCTCGATATCCGCCACCGTCATATGGTGGTACGACACGGCCGGATAGCACCACGGCCCATCGTCTGCGCCTGCACCGAGTTCATCCACCTCCCACACCCGCTCCGTCTGCAACATAGGCGACGCCCAGACAAGCGGCACGCCCGCATCCGCCAGCGCGCGCCCCAGCACCGCATCCCCAGCCCAATGCGCCTTCGTCCGCTCCTCCACCTGCCCCCGGCTCTCCTCTACAACCTTCCTCACCGCCGCCTGCGACAGCACAATCCCCGCCCCGCCATACCCAAACACCTCATCGCCACTCGCCATCGGCGCAGCCAGATAGTACGCGCGCTCGGGGTCCAACCGCGCCAACCACGCGGCCAGGTTCGGCCACACGACGTACGTGTCCGCCTCGACGAACACGAACCAGCGCGCCGTGGGCCGTTCGCGCAGCGCTCCGTCCAACATCGGCAGGAACTTCCATTTGTCCAGGCGCCAGCCGGCGTTGTCCTGCTTGCCCATGCCCATGCCCGCGCCCCCATTCTCATTCCCCTCTTCGTTTTGATGATCGCCCTGCGGGTCCTGCAGGAGCGCTTGACGCCCCCGTGCCCGCAACCGCCGGTACAGCTCGAACTCGGGCTCGGCGACTTTCACGCGCTCGGCCAGGTCACGCAGGATGTCGTGCGCGCGCACGCCGGCAATCCGCTCGTCGTAGTCGGAGAACACGGCAAAATGCGGCACGCAGCGCAGCGTCGTGTTGAGGTGGACGGGCACTTTGGTTTGCGATTCGGTCGCGCCGGTTTTCAGCACGACCAGCACGTCGTCCAGCTCGGGCAGCGGGCAGTGTCTGGTTCCCGGTTCTGGGTCTGAGGCCGGTCGGGGGGTGCGGCGGCCGGCTTCAATGCGTGCGTAGACATCGTCGCACGGGAGGAACCCGTACACCAGTACCAGGGCGATCACGGTGAGGGCTGCTGCGGTCCAGCGGCGGGGGATGCGGCGGGAGGAGGGGGCACAGAGCATTGTTTCGCTTTCGCGGGTATCATGTGTCGTGTATCGTGTATCGTGTCTTGTGTGCGTGGTGCTGCACGACCGACCTGGTCGTCGTACAGGCGTGGGTGGTACATGGGGTGCAGGTGCAGGCGCACCTACACCTGCAGGGCAGTCAATGACGCATGTGGAATCTTGATATCTGTATGCGTATCCAAGGTTGGTTCCAGGGTGCATCCATGGAACCGACCGATTCCCGTTGCGATGGATCGTATGATAACACTCGGGCGTTGTCGGGATGAGTCAGTTCGTGGATGTGGCATGAGCAAAAGAAAGCCTATGCTGTACGATGTGAACGGTTGGAGATGAGTGCCCTGGCCTGGCTGTCGACGTCTCCCGATGATGACGTCAGAGATTGTACTTATCTAATCGTTCCCCATACTGTACTAGGGACTGTACCAACTAGGTACCTAATCTACCTATACACATGGACCAGCGTGAAGTAACAGTCAAAGTAAGTTAATTAGTCGTTATTCATCATTGCTCGTAGCAGCGCACAAGCGCAGTACATACATGTTTTGATGCCAGTAACTCCAACCGTAATATCATGCCATACAATCAAACAAGGAAAATCACATCGTATACCGTATAGAACAGCTCAGTGCCAACGCCAGACCGCCGAAACAGATCTCGCCAGAATGCAATATGTAGATGAGGTATGCTACCGCCGCCATCCCACGTTCCAGATCACATGGGCTATGTCGCGGGCCGTGTTGACGGTATCGACGACTCGGTCGAAGATGCCGAGATGCGACGGCTCGCCGTCGTCGTAGGGCATGAACATGCCAGAGGAGGAGAAGTGGAGATATCGGTCCAGTTCCTCCTCGTCTTCCGGGTTGACAAACCACGGACGGGTGCGGTCCGTTGGCTCGGGCGCCCGCGCGCTCGGCTCCCAGTTGAAATCCACATCGTCTTCTTCCGCGAGGAAGAAATTCGACGACGCGTCGGACGAGCGCAGGGTTTCTGTACTGGCCGACGTGGCCGGCGCGGCGGACGACGAAAAGTACCCCGACCACCGGTCGATAATCGACGTGCTCGGCTCCGGGGTGTCCGCCCGGTATTTCAGAGTGGTGGACGGCAGCGGCGCGATCGTCTTGTTCTCGGTGTGGGTGCCCCGTGGGGTGCTGGACCCGCTGGGCGAGGCGGGCTTGCGCTGCATCATAATCACGCCATCATCCGAGGATAAGTCTTCGTCCAGGAGATTGGGCCACGGGTCATCCTCGTCGTCACCTTTTGCCTCGACGGCGATACACTGCACCACTTCGTTATTGAAATGGATATGACGACGTTCGCTGGGCGAGGAGATCCCCGACGACGAGGGGTTGGTCGGCGTGCCGTTGGAGGAGCTTTGGGTCAGACCATCCGAAGAGTGATTCAGCATCTGGCCAATGTCGGACGGACAGCGCGAGAAGGACGGTCGACCGCGGTGGATCTCGGCCTCTTGGGCCTTGAGGATGTCGCCGGCGTGCTGGAGCAGGGTATGTTGCGAGAGGGACCGTTGGAGGATAGTTTCGGAGGCCGTCCGTTTCTTCAGGATGGGTTTCCGGTCCTGGTAGGACGTTGGGGTCTCGAGACAGCTCGGCGGCGGAGACGATTTGGACCCCTTCTCGCGGCGCTTGCAGGTTTTCAACGGACCATACAACCACGTCACATCACAATCTTTCAACCTGGAAGGCGTTAGCAGCGTCTCCTGCGTCGGACAAACGGCGACTCACCAGTTGAGCGTTTCGGGAGAGACGGTGCCGCGGTTGAGTTTGACCTTGGCCCAGGTGCGCCAGGAGGCATTCTCGAGGCGGGCGCCATTATCGTACACGTTTCGGCGGGCAATGACATAGCGCCAGGAGGCCCAGATGTCCTCCTCCTCCCACTCGTGGGAGAGGTAATCCACATGGCGCGAGGGTTCCTCCTCGAGGGCACTGTCGTCGACGGCGGGAGTCTGGGAATTCATGCGTGGCGGGTCGGGGACGGAGGCGATGGAGTCGTCGCTTGGGGGGTCAGGTTCTTTGGCCCCGGGGGTGGTATCATAGGCCGGGAAGAGGATGTCCTCATGGTCGAGGGGATCGGACAGGTCCAGCGACAGGTTACTCAGAGTGGTGGGAGTAAAGTTGGGGGAGGGCGCGAGAGAGGAGGGAGCGGAGGAGGTGACGGAAGGAGGCGGACGGGAGGGAAGACATTTGGAGGAGGAGACAATGTCGGAATCATCCAGAAAGTAACGTTGGATGGTGGGCGAATGCGAGGGATAGGCGAAGCGCATGCGCCGATGGGCGGGCAAGACGGCGGTCATCTTGCCAGGGGAGAATTAGGGGAGATGTACGATGCGCATGTTCAATGGGAAGAAGAAGAAGGGAAAGGGGAAGGGAGAGGAGAAGTCAAGGAAGAGAGCGAGAGAGGGAGGAGGAGAGAAGAGGAGAGGAGAGGGAGGGAGAGGAAGAAAGAGGGAGAAGAGAGGAGATGTATATAAGAGAGAGAGAGAGGGATTCGACGGAAAGGCTCTCCAGGTGCCACAGGCGATATGAAACCGGGCGAGAGGATCGCACCGAGAATGGTCAATGGGAGAGTTTTAATATACTGTAGTATTATTTTTACGATAATATTTTTAGAGTATTTTCCTCGTTAGTATTTATTTAGTAGAATAGAATTTTGATAATTAATTCTAAGAGGCAAAGTGTTATCGGGAGAATCAGGGAAAAGAGCCAGAATCCAGAAAGTTGCCACTTGATGCGTCTGGGTGCATCGAAGTACATACAGGAAGTAACATGGGGGTCTTCCTATATAGTCTCCGGTTTTTATTTTATTATTTTATTTCATTTTATTTCTGTTCTAGATTTTATATAATAATTATTATTTCTATTTTGTATCACTTATCTCTATCTTCTATCTATTATATTCTCTCTTCTCTCTTCTCTTTCAATTAGTATTCTCTCCCTGTCTACTAGGTACTCTAGTCCAACTCTTGCTTTGGTGGCGCTCCACCCGGTCGGCCTAGAAACCCCCCCGGTCCAGGCTGGCCTCGACTTATCTATAGTATATCGTTGATCCTATCTTATGGACGGGGATATTCCTCTTTAATCTATTAGTTCCAGGAAACCGGAACATTCTATATCGATATAAATATCTATCTATCTATCTATCTATATATTTATATAGATGTCTATATCTCTATCTCTAGCTATAGACTGATACTATACTGACCGTACTCCGTATACTCCGTATTCCTCCACTATCCCAGTCAATGCAATGCACGGACGTTAGTGCCAGCAAATGCATCCGCCCTCACTAACGTACGCCCCAACTGTTAGTCACTGTTAGTCGAACGATAACACCCACCAGGCGATCCGAGCACGTTGCCATCGCTGTCATATCCGCATTCCTCCCTCCTCTATGGTCCCAGTCCACACGGTCTATGCATGCATCTAATAAGACCTGCGTCGACAACCACAAACACAATCACAAACACACGTCTTCCCGGTTCGCGGAAGTTCTGTCCTCTTCGAGCCGAAGGCTGTACATACTTCCGTTGACTCGGTATGACAACAACATGATCCCTTCCACTCGCTCAACGGCCCTGCTTCAGCCGATCCCGAATGGCCCCCAATACCGTCCTATCACTACCCAGAGGCTGAGCGGAAATTATTCCAACCAAGATGCAGGAGTCTGTTTCATGCACGTCAGACAACGGTTACTGACCTTGTGGATCCGTGGATACTCTGCGTACGCGCCGCACATCTCCTCCTAGTCCCTACCCTCGTTATCATAATACATACTTCATCTCTCCTCCTCTCCTCTCCTCCTCGGGTCCAATCCATGTCCAACCGGGCGAGTCATGATGACGTGCTGGCCAGATAGCAAACCGCCGCAACAATCAGCTTTGCATCCAGCTGCACGCAACCAGGGTTCAAGGAGGAGATCCCTTCCTTATCGCGGCTACTCAATTCCATCCGCCGATATGGAACTTCGGAGGCCCGTGTCAAGCCGACTCGACTAGCGGTTCCGGATTAGCTCGTCGATCAGTCTCGGCTCCCGCGGGGTATCGCCGTCCGTCTCGCTACGACTGCGCGATTATCCACCGCCGTCGCAGTGACATTCCTCGGGGGAGGAGATGGCACCAGTATTCGTAATAGCGGCGCATCCATTGCCCATCCGCAGTCTACCCATCCCCCGTCGCCACAGAGACAGAGCATGCCCGACGCCATACTCCAGACCCATGCCATCTGGCGCCCGTGCTCTCGTCTGCAGGTTAAGGTTCGTCCTTGATATCAGCGTGCCGCCTCCATTGGCTCCCACGCCGTACCAGCTGTCAATCCGAATCTACCTTTCGTCGGAGACGAGGTCTGGGCGGCCTGCTCCTCATCCTATCCGCTTGGCGAACGGTCGAGGCAGGGTAGATATAGTGGGCTGGCCTATTGTCCGGGAATCTACCTTGCGGGTATCTTCCCCTCTCGCCTGCGATCCTTGTTGACCGTGCGGTGCGACCCATGGCTGGGTCTAGAACGGTATGCGCTGTTGAATCAGGATGATGCTACCGTCAATTGGGGTTATGCAGTGATATGATGTTCTAGTAACGTCTGTTCGCCATCTGTACTGAGATATACCATACGATGGGCCGGCCATTTCGTGATCTACGCACGTCCAGATGTTGCATTTATATACCCATGACAAAAGCTGGATACATTGCGTGAACTGGGGCTGTCTTGCGCATACCAATTCCATTCCAGATATGGGAGATATGATGGCAGCTTGGGAATCACGAATTGAATTTACTAATTAGCCATGTAGAACAGTGAGGGAGCTTGTTTCCTTCAGCTCTAGGTATTCGCCTCACCTGCGTCTAATTAGGTAGATTGTGGTGTAGGAGATTTATAGAGCTGTCCGATGGTGAAACGTCACCCCCACGTCCCTACAACCTACACAGCAGTCTAGTCTCAATTAACACTCATGTCCCATTCCCCAATGCCTACAGCCTACCTACCTACTCCCCTAGATCATTAACCACCCTCTACTCGAACAAGAGTATGCAATCACATGACCCCCCAAACCGGTTAGCGCCACAACCCCGCGGCGTATCGACATAGCTCCCCTCAGCAACAATATCTTCTACACTATACACCACCCCCATCCAGCCACAAACAAAACGACGATCGCAGAAATGGCTGACGTGGCATCCGCCCCCGTGGAATCCCGCGCCCGACATGTCGTATACTGCGGCGGTGAGTATCCCTCCGACGGTCTGAATGAATGTCTTCTAACCGCCCGATGCAGTGTGCACACTTCCCCCCGAGGTACGCTACGCCACCGTCCCCTAAGCCGGGCCGGAGAGATAAGTAGACGGACGACGCTAATGCACCGGCGGACAGTACTGCGAATTCGGCGGCACGGCCAAAAAGTGCCAGGAGTGGCTAGAGTCGCACCACCCCGATCTATTCCAGAAGCTCTACTCGGACGGTACGCCGCCTACCTACCCACCCTTCATCTTCATACAGGCATCCTGCCGTGCGGCATGCTGATGATGGCTACATAGAATCCCTCAGCTCCAACCTCTCCTCGCTGTCCGTCTCGGTGCAGGAACGCGCCGCCCGCGATGCCGCAAAGAAAGAAGCCAAGGCCGCAGCCGTGGAGGCGCGCAACGCCGAGCGCAAGGCGTCGTCGAAGGTGCAGATCAAGCGGGTGGAGCGCAACAAGCGCAAGCATGTCAGCGTCGTGACGGGGCTGGAGATCTACGGGCTGGAGAATAAGAAGGTGGCCAAGGAGCTGGGCAAGAAGTTTGCGACGGGGTCGTCGGTCACCAAGTCTGCGTCCGGGACGGAGGAGATTACGGTGCAGGGCGATGTGAGTGAGGATATCAAGGACTGGTTGTTGGAGGTGTACGGGGGAGAGATTCCGGAGGCGAATATTGAGCTGATTGAAGATAAGAAGAAGAAGGGGGCTGCGAGTTGATTTTGCATTTGCATTCTGCGGGTATCATGGTATTATATTAAATGAGCAAATGAGCAAACCTGACTGGGTAGAAGCAATCAGAGTTCGTCCAACATTCGTAGCGGATCTGGGCTGGGCTCCGACGGACGAGTTGTCGACTCGGGATTGTTGGATCGATGCAACGAGCCCTCTGTCTGGTGGCTATCCCTCCACAGCGTCGATCGGTTGGCCAACTCCCCGGCCTGTGCAAACCCCTCCGGTCCAGATACTGTAGTCCAATTCTGAATCACCAGCGCAATGCCAGCTGTGAGAATTGCCGCCGCAACCACGGCCCAGAAGATGCGCAGCCGTCGATTCACCCGGGTCTGGAATTCCACCTCCCTCTTTTCCCAGCGGTCAATCTCCGCCCGCATCGCCTCGAGCCGGTCGCTCAGCGCGCTGGCCCGCGTTCTCCCGGCCCGCATGCGTTGCTCGAGGTTCTCGATCCGCTGGATCTGGGGCTGGAACTCGCGCAGCTCGCCAATCTGCTTGCGTACATCCTGTTCCAGGCTCGTAGTTTCGCGCTCAAAGTCCGCCAGGAGCGTCGTAGTCGAGTCGGACAGCTCCTGAAACGACGACACGGTCGTGTTCAGCGCCGCGATCTTCTCCAGCAGGTTGTAGTACGTGTAGTCCAGTCGACGGGTGATGTCGGTCGCGAGCGTCCCAATAAACGACAGCGCAGAGCGCAGGAATCTACCACATCCACATCAGCACGTCGTCCCTATCACACGGCAGCAAACTCACTCCTCGCCCTGTTTCCTCCGCTCCCGCACCTGCTCCAAATCCTCCACCGACCGGATCTCCTGCGGCCGGATCAACCCCAGCTTCGTCCCCGCATCCATATCCTCAAACAGACTGCCCTTCCGACTCCCCGTGCCAAACCCAACTGTCGACTCGGACCCCCACCGCGACCGCGTCGTCTCCCGCGTAACCGGTCGGAGCAGACCGTTATCAGCGTCGTTGTCTTTCTCGCGCCCGCCCGACCATGTCGGGAACAGCGCTTTCGTGCTGCCCCCGGCCGACGAGGCAATCGGGTTCATGAGGCGCGGGAACCGGCCGTCGCGGGACTTGCTGTGCTTGTGCTTGTGGCGTGGTCGAAGCCGCCCGGCGTCTAGCGCGGCGGTGTCGAAGATCAGATGGCGGTGCTGTTTTTCTTGTTTGTCAGGTTTCTCTTGCGGCGGCGCTGCACTGGCGAGGCCGTCCCGGTCATTGCGGTCATGGCGGGAGAGCTGCTCGGGGTTCTCGGGGTTGGACGGGGTAGGTGTCTGGTTCCCAGCGGCGGGAGACCCACGGGTGAGGGGGAGGGTGGCTGATAGCTGTTTTGCGGGTGAGAGAGGGAGGGAAGACCAGGCGAAGGAATCCATTTTCCTTCCTTTCCTTTCTCTGGCCCCGGGAATTGATTAGATTAGGAGATCATGATCATGATCGTGATCGTCTTGCATGTGGACGGAGGTCAAGAGCACACGCCAACGCCAAGGCTGATCATCTCGTGATGTTCGGTTTCGGGAAGATGATTCTCCGCATTATTTCTGTCGTGAATATGTACAGGATGTGGATGCCCACTGTAGATGCAGATGATAGCAGGATAAAATCATAAAGAGCACCATAAGAGCAACCCAAGATAATCAATCGGACATGTACCCGTGCCAGAACTCCTATCGCCGTAACCATCCTAGGCCAAGCCATCAGCCATCGAGCCACCCAGCTATCCAGCCATCCTAGGATCTCCTTCAGATATCCAGCCTGTCTGATGGCCTTCTATATCCATCCTACGTCGCTAATCGTTCGAGCGGAGCTGGGACGGAAACAGATCGGTAAGAGGCGAGGTGGACGCCGGAGAAGGGCCGAAAGACAATAATAAGGACAGGCGATCACGAGTTCAACAACTTGTTGCGCTTCTCCCGTCTCTTCAGTCGCTCGACCCGCTTGCGATGCATCTTTTCGGCCATCTTATCATAACGTTCCTTCTCCTCCTTGGCCGCTCGACGGTCCTTGATGCGTTGGATGTGTGCCTGCGTGAGTGAGTACAGAGGTCATGCAGGTAGGACGAATATATCCTGTATCATCGATCTCTTACCTGCCGCTCGGCCTCCTTCTCCTCCTTCAATTCCCGTTCATGTTCCTTGACAGCCTCCTGGTGTTTGCGGGCTTCCAGTCTCTTCGCATACGATGTCATACCCGCGGTCGGGCGGAAAGGCTTCTTCGAATCATGCCAGTTTTTCCCTGCGGGTCCGAAACCGTGAGCGACACGAAAAGTCTGTTGTAGGCGCGGAGGATCAAGTGGGGGTATTACATACCGTTTTTACGCATCCCTTTGACGGGCGGCGCGGACGGGGCAGACTCGGACGCGGACATGCCGAATGCAATATGGAAGAGGATATAATCGAAAAGTGGGAGGATCCAGCACGACGCAGCCGATGAGATGAGGTTAGGCTGGTGCAGATGAATTTTTCGCTTTTGCCTGGAAAAAAGTCTATCCTTAGACCGGATCAGATAAACCGGGATTCTCGGCAGAAGGTCGGCCAGGCCGAGGCCCACTTTGAGGCATCCGCAGCATGAAGGGATTTGTTCCGACAAACGATCTTCTTGCCCGAAATCGTCGTCCTCCCCCCCCACTGCTCGCCCTCGTTTCCTGTCTTGGCCCCTCCCCGGACTCTGCAAGCCATGTCCTCGTCGAGGCTCCGATTGTTCGAGCTAATTTCTGCGCAAAGTCTCGAGTCGACCTGTGAAAATCCCCTCCTCTAGCGTTGGCACACCGCCCCTCAGGCGTCTTAAGAGCGACACCCCTCCCACCTCATCGATTCATACAATGCTCTCCCGATAGATCTCATCTCTGCACTCCTTCCTTTGCCCATCGATCATCGACAACCGGACCATCGGCTGGATTATACCTTCTTCATGGCGGCGGCAGATCATGCGTTACCCATCAAGAATGAAATCCCCATGGAGCTTCCTACCTTCCCGCCCAATCAAGCCTTAGAGGCTTTTAAAGATGTTGTTTTTGGATCGGTATGACTCCCGCTTCCTCGTATGCAGGCTTCCTGTGGCAATGTTTGTACTGACGGTTACGTCTTCAGACTGCAGGAATGGCGGGAAAAGTCATCGAGTACCCCTTCGACACCGTAAAGGTCCGGCTCCAATCGCAACCCGATCACCTCCCCCTGCGATACACCGGCCCCCTGGATTGTTTCCGCCAGTCCCTCCGTTCGGATGGTATCCGAGGCCTCTACCGCGGAATCAGCGCTCCCATGGCGGGGGCGGCCATCGAGAACAGCTGTCTGTTCTGGAGCTATCGCATGATCCAGGACCTGCTCAAGGCCACCTACTACTCGTCGACCGACCAGCTACCCTTTGCGGCCTTGTTATTCAGCGGCGCGGCGTCCGGATCCATCACCTCGCTCGCGCTCACCCCGGTCGAGCTCATTAAGTGCAAGATGCAGGTCCCGCTGGAGGCGTCCGTCGTGAAGGCCCCCGGGCCGCTGGCGCTGATCGCCACTGTCTTCCGCCAGGATGGCATCCTGGGGTTCTGGCGCGGACAGATGGGGACCCTCATTCGCGAAACCGGCGGCGGTGCGGCCTGGTTCGGTGGGTATGAGGGTGTCTCGGCGCTGTTCCGCACATACACATCCACGCCGGAGTCGGCCTCTCTCCCGCTCCACCAGCAGATGGTGGCCGGCGCCGCTGCCGGCATCAGCTACAACTTCCTGTTCTACCCGGCCGACACGATCAAGTCGCGCATGCAGACGGAGGACATCACCCGTGTGGTCGCAAACGGCCGGCGACAAACCTTTTTGGGGACGGGGAAGGCGCTGTGGGAGCAGCAGGGGTTGCGTGCCCTGTATCGGGGCTGCGGGATCACCTGCGCGCGATCTGCGCCCAGTTCGGCGTTTATCTTTACTGTGTATGAGGGGCTACGGAGCTATTTTGGCTAACGTATCTATTTTTTCTCTTTGATGTTTTGTTTCGCGATGATGATACCTTGTGTTTTTTTGTTTTGGTCATGATTGGTTTATTAGATATGTCTGGCGGTGACCAATCCGGCATTGGTGTTGCATTAGAAGTGATGGAGTTAGAGGGCTGAATAGATAATTGATCAGGCGTAGAAGGTTGCAGACTATCAATCGTTCAGACAAGACGCAGTCGCTTTTTTTCCGGTAGTACGCAAGAGCCGCAGGCCCTAATGCCTGTCCTGCTTGATATGTAGAGACCTTTGTACTATGATATTTGCTGGCGTCGAAGATGACTGGAGAGCAGTGTTGGCTATATCAAGTTATTACTTGATTAAGTGAATATTGTCTAGTGAAGTCATTGTCTAAGTTGTCTGTGCTTACTTCCTTCCCTTACTAAGATATCTCTTCTCCATTCATCTTCTTTCCCTGCCCACTCTCCATTGTGCCGCCAGTTTTCCATACCTCATCTCCTCCCTAGAAAAGGCCAATTGTGTTAAGAAGCTGCGCTCTTGGTTCAGGTCGATCCGCCCTCCTCGCAGGATCCAAGAGGACCTAGATCAGATCATACAATCTGCTGTATACGGCAGCGGACCTTTATGGAGTCGAGCTGGACCAAGTATGTATTCTCTCCTCTAATCATGTTATTATACTAACAACATCCAATAGTCTAGTCTTTAATAATTTCTCGGGGATTTACCAAGGATCACTAAAACAACCCAATCATTTCCTTTGAGTGACAAGAATTTATACCTACAAGGCAGTGCATCCGCCATCCTAATGACCCTGCTTAAACGCAGCAGAGGCAAGGGCACTGCTGAAATTTGGCGTCGATATACCACTGGCAACCTATTGACTACGATGGCGATTGTCTTCCTATCCACAGCTACCTTGGCCTTAGAATCAGATGATAGAATTTACGAAAGGGGAGTTGTTCAGGCCAGCGTTGCTAGGTCAAGCATCAAGAATTGCACTCTATAACCGGATCTAATCAACGCCCTTATAGAGGATCATCAGCAAGAATGACTTATCAACTAAAATCTTAGTATAGAAGTGGGATATGCTTCAAGCGTTATAGTGTTAAGATTGTACCTTACTTTAACACCCGCGGTCACAGAAATCCTTGATAAGTTAGTAATGATAGCGACGCTATTTTTCAAGTAACAACTGTCTAGTAATGTCTCCAGGATGTCAAGGTGTTAATTACTCCTAGACCAATATAAAGCGTGGACATACGGAGTAGAGGTTGAGGAACTAAGACCAACCGACAGATAAGAACGGAACCACATCCATACCTACCTTACCTACCCCTCCTCCACTCCTCTCCTCTTCAATACTACCTCACCTACCTACCTACCTACCTACCTACCTACCTACCTACCTACAGAAACACAAAATGGCCACCCAAACCCCAACCCTCTCCGTAGAGGAAGTCCACACCCTCTCCTCCAAGGCCATCGCAGCCAAATCCCTCGCATACTGTCTGTCAACCCCCACCTCCATATCCCGATGAAATTAACAAACGCTAGGCCCCTACTCCAACTTCCGCGTAGGCGCCTGCATCCTCACCCAGTCGGGCGAGTACATCCAAGGCGCCAACGTCGAGAACGCCGCGTATCCCGTCGGGACGTGTGCTGAGCGGGTTGCCTTTGGGACGGCCGTTGTATGTGCCCTCCCTGCGCCCTTGGAGCAATCAGTACCGTCGTGGCGTGAGGCTGATCATAACATGAACGCAGGTAGCAGGTCACAAGCATTTCAGGGCCATCGCCGTCGCGACGGATATCGCGCCGCCTGCGTCGCCGTGTGGCATGTGTAGACAGTTGTATGTTGCTTTTCCTCCGGGGGCGTTGGCTGCAGGGCAATTAACTAACTGACTGATTAGTATGCGCGAGTTCACGGCGCCCTCGTTTCCGGTGTATATGTATGACAAGGATGGGAATTGCAAGGTCATGACCATGGAAGAGGTATTCCACTCCCTCTTCCTCCATTTGGTTGCAGTGTCTAGCTGCTAATGTCTGCAGCTTCTGCCTAATTCTTTCGGGCCTAATGACCTTCCTTCTACTGGGGCGTAGTTGGATTTTCTTCTGTTTGTTGCATGGTGGTGCATGGTGGTGTCGTTAATGGTGTTAGTGTCTGCAGTTAGCATAAGGGGATAATCTACTCAGAGCATTGCCAATGATTCAACTACCCAATCAATCAATCAATCTAACCGCTGCTATACGTACAACGCGGTACAGACAATTCTCATAATATAACATAATGCCGGGCCACGCCCAACTAAAGACCGCTCGCTAATTTTCATCATCGTCTTCATCGAGATCCTCCACGCCGAGAAGCTCGTCCTCGTCCTCCACCACACTGCTGTAGTCGCCGCGGCGCGCCGCGAACGACCCCCGAGACGCATACGGCCGCGAATACCCCCTGCTACCCCCCAGACGGACATAGCCGCTGGCGCTTCTCCACATACTCATAGCCAGGAGGGGAAGTGCCCTCCCCACGGCGACCACCCCGGCAATGATAGCGATCGGCACAGTGACCAGCAAGGAGTCGCGCGAGAGCCACTCGTGGGAGCCGCTGGTGCCCTCCCCAAGCCGGATCTGTCCGAATTTGCCATCCCACCGGGTGTACGCGTAGTAACCAATTCCGCCAGCCACCGCGATGGGTATCACGATGGCAAAGAAGAGGCCGACCCCGCTGATGCCGTGCTTCTTTTCGTACTCTTTCTCCTTGTGAGGACAAGGCTTCGTCTTCACGTGGTCAAACTCGTCGCCTCCCATGCACGTCGACTGAGGCACACGTCGGTATCCCGACGGCTCCCAGTATTCAATCCTGTCGGGGTCGGCTCGGCAGATAGCCTCTGCGTCGGGGAGTGGAAGCCCCGGCACCAATTTACAGCTGCCGTCACTCTGGGGTTCAAAGTTATAATCACTAGCAAGGTTAGTCATTTTCATGCTGCAAGGGTAAGGGCAAAGGGAATACCATTCAAAGTCAGCCCTGGTGCAGCTGCAGTTCTTTCCAATGCTGTGGACGTGCGGCTCACGCCAGTTGTTCCAACAAGCTGCATCCGGCTTCTTGCGGTGGTACTGTTCAACATGACCAAACAGACAGTTGTCGGTCTGGAACGGATGCTTAGGCTCCCACAGACGATAGTCGTCGTTCGCATGTCCATCCTCGTCCAACTTGCACTGCCGCGAGCGAAGCCCACTGAAGTCGATATTGACGGTGGCGATCTTCTTGCCCGAGTCGGATTTCATTTCTCTGCCCCAAAGAAGGAAGTTCTTCGATGTGTCCGAAGGCACGGTCGTGATGTCTTCAATTTGCATTTCGACGTCCGAAAACCGATACTCCTCCCAGCTGTCGCCTTCGTCCACGCTGTAGTAAAGCTTATCCGTGGGTACATCCTCCGGGACAAGTACGATCACCGACCCGGCATCACCGTATTCCCACATATGTCTTCCCTTCCGGGCGGATTTCCAAGTAATCCCACCATCATTGGTGATAAACGTATCCGCCTCACTGTCGGACAGATGATCCCCAACATTCCCAACAGCTATCATCATACCAATAGCAGAGCCCGAGGAATACGTGTCGCGCTCGTCTTTGCGTTCCGTGTAGCCGTGGAGATGCAGAGAACAGTCAGGCGTACCTTTTCCTTTGGTGACCGAGCAGCCAAAAGCCTTGCCGTCGGCATCCTTTTCCGGCGGGGGCAGTAACGCCCACTGCGCGCCGTCGTTATGGCTGATCATTGTCTTGAGCTTCTTCTTCGCTCCCTTTGATACCTCCTCAACGTTGCCGACGACGTTCACCACAGCCACTCCCTCCAAACCTTTCATCTTCTCGAAATCGGCAAATCCGGCCCGGTTCTCGTTGACCGCGTCCAAGCTGAGTACGTACGAGGTACCATTGCTGTTACTCTTGATCAGAGGCCCATACTCTGCGGTGCTGCCAGCCTTGACATGGAGGAAAATGGCATGCGTAGTGCTCTCAAGCACAGTATAAGCGGTCTTCACTGGGATGTGAAGGTTTGGAGGAAAGCGTGCCTCCGCAAACGTCTTGCCGTCAACACTGGTCGTGGCAACCAAGGCATCCGGGTTCTCGGGGTCTTTGAAGGCGGCGATGATGAACTCCGACATGGTAGCGTAATTGACGAGATCGGTGTAATGATCACGGCTGTCAGCGAAAAAGTTTTCGCTGGACAAGAGATGCAATGGGTTGGACTTGCTCTCGCTCTCGTGCTGCTCGCAGAAAATGAGATTTTCGCTGTCCGGCCGGTTCTCGCTGGCTTCGAATTCGCATCTCCTGACGTAGCGGAGCAGAAGTTCCCAGCTTTCGCCACGGTTCTTGCTGAAATAGGCATCATCATGGCAGTCCCCGGAGGTAGAAGAGCAATCAGCAGCACCCGTCCAGATTAACCAATCCTTGTACTGAGGGTGGAATGCAAGAGGTGGGAGGTAAGTCTGTTGGGTTGGCGGAAGAGGCGTTTTGAAAGGCTTAAAAGTATATCCCCGATCAATCGTGTAATAGCCTTCCTTACCCTCTGTAAGAAGAAAGGCGACGTCGTTGTGATAAGGGTGCAGGACAAGTCGGTTCACTTTTTCGCCCTTGAGTGGCTGCTCCCAGGTCTTACCGTGGTCGTGTGAGATGAAAAACTCGACATTGCGAGTAATCACAAGAACCGTCTCATCGTCGCCGGAGTTGCTCGACTGACGCTCCATATACCGATAGACGACGGGCTCGGAGTCAAAGAACTGCTTCGTCTGCTTGATCTTTCCATCCGTCGGAACTCCCACCTTCTCGCACGATCTCTCAATCTCTTCGTCGAGGTTTTTGCCTCCCTCTCGCTCGCAAGCGTTACCAGGGATCAGCCTCCAACCTGATGGTCCTTTGAACGTATCTGTGGGCTTCTTGCATTTTCCTTCCGGTGGCTGCAACGAAGGCGGGAGCTCGCAGCCTTCACCATCCTCGCTGCGCTTGTATTCGCATTCAAAGTCCTCCGCGGTACATTTGCAGGGCTTGAAGATCGGTTGCGGGTCCTTGAACTCTTCATCAATGAAGCAGTCGGCATTCGGCTTTCTGCGCCTGAAGAACTGTTTATGGCCCATCAGGCAGTCTGGCTCGCCGTTTTCATCCAAACGGGCTGGCCACTGTTCGTCGAAATCATCCTTCTCGCACTTCCTTTCGTGCAGTCCCGCAAAGTCCACTGCATACGTAATATAGGTGCCGTCGCCGTCGTGTTTACTGGTGGAGCCCACGATCAAGAACTTCAAGCTGGTTGAGTCGGGGGTCGTTGTGACCATGATGGGGTAGATCTTCTTGTCCAACTCAACCGACTCCCAGCTTTTGCCATGGTCGATAGAGTATTCAAGCTTATTCGTTTTCTCATCGTCCCGCATCGCGATGACCACCGCACCCTGATCTCCAAACTCATATTTGTGAGAGTGCTCCAGGGCGTGACGCCAGGTCACGCCGGCATCATCGGAGATGTAAAGGTCGCCTTCAGAGTAATCCTTCAGGTGATCACCGGTGTTTCCAACGCCCATCACGAGGCCTGGGGCTGGGCTGGAGAACACTCGACCAATGTTGGCGTAAGACGTCACCGAGTGGAGGTGCAGCTTCTTGTCGTCAACTTTGAGCGGCTGGAAAGTCCGCCCATCATCGAAACTGATTTTGCTGACGACTCGTTTGTTCTTACCGCCGTTTTCGACTTCCTTGGGATTGTCCACCACATTCACCATCACAATCCCCTGGATATTGGCGATCTTTTCGAAGTCGACGGTGCCCCGCATGTCACGGTTGGTATGTTCGACATTGCGGGTGAAGTAAGTCCCGTCCGAATTAGACGTGAACAGTACGCCCATGCCGCTCTTCGGACTAGTCAAAACGTCCACCTGGAGGCTGTAGTTCGTGCTCTCCAGCATCGTATAAGCATCTTCCTCCAACCGGTGGCCGCCGAACTCTGCCCGGTGCCAGTTCTTCGTATCCACGGTCACGTACAATGCGAGTTCATCGGTCCCCCGGGATCTCGCCGCCGCAACGAGGAACTTCTTGATGGCCGCAGTACGCATGACACCGGCAACGGGCCGGCCTTCCTGCAGTTTCACCTCCGTGCCCTCCTTGTCACTATTGAAGTAGCCGTCGGAGTATACAAGGCGGTTGGCGTATGGCAAGGGCACCTTCAAGCCCGGAACAACACACAGCGTGCGGTTCTGTATTTCCTTGGCCAAATCCGAGTCTTCGGCAAATTGTGGATGTCCCAGGGCCCATGAGCAGCCCCCGACACTTTCCCGGAGGATCTCGGTTGTCCTGAAGTCATCGTCCGTGTAGTATGATCTCACGATGCAAAAGCGGCCCACACAATCCTCGCCCTGGAAGATGACCTTGCTGGGATCTTGCCCGTGGAAGACGAGGGGAGGATTACGCATCGCCGGCAATTCGTCGAGGGTGAACTCTCGCCATGTCTTAGCTTGATCGGTCGTGATCCAGTGGTGGCCGTCAATTCCCAATGCGTACGCCCGGTGCGAGTCGTACGGATGCTGCAGGAGCAAGGCGACCTGGTGTTTCATGCGGCCGTCCTCGCCCTCGACGATTTCCCATTCATTCCCACCGTCAAATGACCGGTGCAGATCACCGTTTCGGGTGTTCACCAGCACGGTCTCGGTATCCTCGAAGAAGAAGAGGGCGTTCGGTTTGTGGTCGATCTCTTTGAGTGTCCATTGCGGTTGGCTGGATTTTTTGGCCGCGCCGGGCTGGGCAATCAATGCCAGCACCAGGCAGCTCACCAGGAGGAGCCATCGGGGGATCATGACAGCGAGACGTGGGACATTTGAAACGAGGCAGTACGCAAGAGCATAAGCTCCGGAGAAAGCCGAGGTGGGACCGTACTCGGTGTGGTGGAGAGCTGTTGAGCAGCGGGAGAGACGGGAGAGAGGAGGGTATTAATGACCGGTACGATCAAAGGGCGAAAGGGTTCGAATCGACGCGACGAAGGGATGCGAAAGGAATGTATCCCGGCGGTGGCACCGGTGATAACGTAGACAGCTGCGTGGTCTCACAGCTCACGGTCACGTGCGGGACCTTGCTTATCGAAGCATGTCGTAGGCGTCAGCATACTAATCTCTCCCCACATTTATAGTCCAGACCATGGGTTCCATGGAACGAGTCTACTACGGGGATCTACAGGGACATCGGTGCTTCCAAAATTGGATTGACATAAGCTGACGAAACTAGCTGGGGTATGTAACAAAAACAAACGAACGACAGATATTAAGATATCAAAAACGCATCATGAATCATGGGAGAGCCAGAAGAATGACGAGCTCAGCTACCTTGGCCCCGGATCCTACGCCATACCTTCTTCATCAGGCTCTGATCCGTCTTGTCTGTTTCCCATGTCTCCATGCCACCACTCGCCGGCGAAAGCTCTGGCTTCATTGGGTCGACCGCGGGGGGCGACGGACTACCGGAGTCGGTTCGTAGATCCGGTCGGGTCAATGTCATTTTCAGTGTCATTTCACGGTTCTTCGGAGGTCGGTACGCGGTAGAATTGGCCGTCGGCACCCACGTCTGTCTCTTGTTGGCCCGGAAAGGAAGGTCATGCGAGCTCGGGGTACCGCTTGTGGTGTATGAGAAGCGAGAGCGATCCGCATGGCTCTCTTCGTTGTCGCTGGCGATTGATGTATCGTCATCCTCCAGGAACGTGCCGATAAAGTCATGGCATTTCGGCTGGTAGTCACCAGGAGCTCGTTGGGGCGACCGGGTCTTGTCCCCCAACGCAGGAAACCCAAACTCAATCGCTTCATCGAACTTCTGCGGAGATGCCAGGTAAACTCGCAGTTTTAGGCGCGCCTCGGGGTCCTGGTAATACTGTGCGGAGGGATCGATGCTGGACGTGGAAGATCGAGGCGCATGATAAGGCTGTCTCTGTCCGGACGGTGGTCGAGTGGTCGACCCACGCCCGGCGGCATGCGTCAAGGCGGAGGGAACGTTCGAGGACTGACTGGAGCCGGGGACTTTTCTCAGAGACACGGACGTCGACATCCTACGACTCAGGCCGACCGAGTTCAGCGAGAGGGTTCTCCTGAAAGACGGTCTTTGGCGGGAGGGCAGGTCTGAGGTGGAATTGCTCACATGCGGACGATATTCGTCCAAAGTCAGGTCGAGCTCCCCATCCTCGTCCAGCCACCGAAAGCTGTCATAGAGAGACGCATCCATGTCGTCCTCGTCGTCGGATGTATCACTCGAGAAGTCCAGGTAGGGGATCGATGAAGGGGATGTAGGCAGAGTCGTCCCCTCCAAAGAGAGAGCGTCTGCGGGCAGGGTCTGCTGGGACTTGTGGAGACGATATAATGCTTCGTCGGCCGGATCCAAGATTTCCGTGTTCCTGTTCCAGCAGGCTTGCCTCAGTCGGCGACGTTCTTCTGCTGAGAAATGCTTCTGTTGAATTTTAGGCGGAAGGGCAAAGAACCATTCCACCTCGGCCTGTGTCGCGAGACAGACGGTAGTAGTGGTGGGCAGGGGACGGCGGGATTTGCGGAATTTCTGCACGGGGCCCGACAGCAACGGCTTCTGGAAGGGTCGTTTTCTACGGGCGACCTTCGCAGAGGCTACTGGCGAACCACGCCGACTCCGGAACGAGCGAGAGTGGAGGCCAGGACGTGCCACGTTGGAGGGATAGTCGACGCCATCGGATGGATCGCCCTGGGCTAGGCGGATGCGCAGGCGTTCGGCGTTCGAGAAAAACTACGAATTCAGGGGGTCGAGTCAGCAACCAACGTGAACGATTTAGCGTGGCTCCAGGGAACGCTTTGTGAGGGCAGTGGCACCATAAAGCAGGCGAACCCACCGCCGACGTGATAGTCAACAGTCCGAGCTCGTTAGTGCGGGCGATAGTGGCCTCCATCAGCAAATGAACCGTTGACGGTTCAGGGGTAAGTTCCCACCATCACCGAAAGGCGAACTGTGGGTCATCCTTTCTGCTCCGATAGTGTGTGGACAGTGGCAATCATTGGGGGAGGGAATCTGAGAGCTCGGATGGGACGGAAGGGTAGGAGTACGGAGTAGATGAAGTGGTTGGATGTATAGAGAGAGTGTGTGTGATTCCTCGAATCCTTGTACAATATAATAATATGCCAAGCAATCCGTCTCTCAACGGCCACCACGCGGGATGGTGCCAGTAGCAATTGATGGAGTAAGAGAAATCAATGGATACAGTAAAATAGAAAAGCACTCACTTTTCGCTGGACGATAGGGGGGAGCGACTCGAAATCCACTTCCAAGTCGGGGACGGTCTTTGCTTTCCAGATCTGCATCTTCAGGAGGCAGAGAGAGAGTGTGTGTGTGTGCGTGCGTACTCCGTACGGGGCGCTAGTAAGATGACGAAGCAAACGGCCAGTGCTTGTCCCTGACGAGAATAATGTCCGCCTGAACGGAGTGTCACGATCGGAAGATCAATCAATATACCTGTCCAGAGTACAGAGTCGACGATGCAGACAAGGACCGGCTGGTCCTGTCCTCTTATATGCGAGGGCCGTTCTTTCAGACGCTCGCTCCCGTCCAGACGCGCCTTTCTTTATCTCGATTCGGATCCATATTGGTCTGGCGGAAAGCCCAAGTTTTTGTCTCGCCTAGAGATACTCCGGTGGATGCACATCCTCGAAGCACCCTGCATGGACAAGGGCCCCGTGCTGCGTTCCTGTTTGTGAGATTAGCGCTCGATCGAATGCCATGTGGGCATCCTGTCATGGACGCCAGCCAATACGAGACCAACAACGATATGACAAGTCCCAAAATTAGAGACATCGTCAGGAACCCCTCCTCGTTCTGCGAATGGCATCCTGGTTCCCCGTCCGCCACTTTTGGGATGACAGCGGACAGCTTTCAATAATTCTGCCAATCCCGGTAATCCACCTGGATACTCCCCCTGTCAGGGGTGAATTGTCGCCGTCCAGATCGAAAGGAGTTCTTTGAGAGAGAATGTGTGTGTGTGTGCGAGAGGATCCCGCAGTCGATATATCACATTCCATCACTTGGAGGGGCGGTCAGCAACGTGTCATGCATCGAGGGGTATGCATTCTTCAGCAAGGAGAATCCACGAACTATATGGACTGAATATTATTATGATGGGCGCTCTCTGTCCTCTGTTTGAGGCACTGACCGGGTTGAACCAGCTCATACTTCGTACATCACTGTCGTGTCTTCCAAGGCCTCTATCGGCGATCCCGGGTTCCATCCAAAGTTCAGCCACAGAAGATCCGTCCAACTAACTCGAGCTATTCGTGTCTGTCTGATATTTGATCTTTGTTCTCGTTGCGGGGAAACCCCCGAGCTGTGACGAATGATTAGGGAATATCTAGAATGATTACGAGTACAAATTGTGGCTCCTCGTGTCATATCTCTTTGATAACCACTCCCTCACTCATCTGGAGAACGGGTGAGATTGACCAGACAACTATCGTCAAATCCCGCATCAATGTAGTCAACATAACCAATGCACTCAATGTGAATTACATAACCTCATCCTTCGACTTATACCTCATAGAGTGTTCAACACGTTCTGCATCGCTGCCGTATTCGAGTCCTCTCTCCGCGACACATATGTGCGCACATCCTGCACACTCAACCCAGCTTCACCCGCGCCGCGACCTGGACTACCGCCAGCACTATTGCCCGGTCGACCACTAGTCGCACCAGCTGCGCCGCCACGGACTCGTTCCCGCAGAGCCTCGGAACCAATAACGAAGAGGTTCCCAACTTCCAGCAGTACGTCCAGCGCACCACTCGGCCCTTTGACCTGCTCATCAATGTCCCAAGATTTCAGCACATCCGTGTACTGCGTCATGTCCTTGGTCACCATGAGTCCACCCGGTCCGTTGACTGCAAACCGCTTGAAATGCTCCAGGAGCAGATTGCGCGTGCCCAGGGCGATCTCCGTCAGCAGCTGGGGAAGATTGGAACCGCTCGTCGGCAGAGACGTGACAATGTTGTGGTGCATCCGCTTCAAAAAGGCGCAAATGGCAGCGCACGTCTAATACAATCAGTATATCATTCCAGCCAGCCAGCGCCGTCATTCATCACTCACCGGGGTTTGCAGCTTCTCCAGCCACGCCGCGGTATCTCCCTCCTTCGGACGGAAGTCGTTCTTCTTTTGGCCGGAGAGAAGTTTGTTCACCCATGCCAAGGCGGCATCGATGACCTTCTGTTCGATCCCGTTGACTTTCTCTTCGATTTTCATGATCGTGAGATTGGTCCGCTTTTCCATCTCACGGCGCACCGTGAGACTTCCCGCTGCCAGAGGGATCAGCAACGTATGGATGCACATCACCATCAGATTTGCAATGCCTATCGCATTTTGAACCGCCGGCAGGTAAGAGAAATCAGGCTCCACTTTCCCCGTCTCTTGTGCCGTCGCCGACTCCAACGCGGCATCCAGACAGACTTCGATATAACCCTCACCCATCATCGAAAGCAGAAGGCCCAAGAGTGTCATCATATCCTTGGGGACCTCGCTGCTCACACTCAGCTCTAAGCCTCGACCCACCCCCTCAGCAAGCCACTTCAGCATGCGTTTCGCGTGAGCGATGCTCGGGAGGCCGTCTTCTTCGGTGAGCTTGATCTCGCTTAGTCGTGTCAGGTCGCTTGCGTCCGTCACACCCGCAACTTGTAGCAACATCTTTCTCTGCGTGGCAGAGAACTCGGACGATTCAAGACGACTGATATACGCGTCCCGCGAAGAAGAGAGTAACTCTGTGCCGGATTTGGAGAGAGAGGCCATGAATGTCGTTGCGGCCTTCTTTCGACGGGCATGATAGGTCGTAAACTTGAATAACAGGGATGTGTAAAACTCCTCCAACGTCTTCTTTTCCCGCTCGATGTATGAGGACCCCACAAAGTAAGGAACGAAGAGGTCCTCCAGCTGTTGATCCAAGACCAGCGCAGTCTGGGCGGAAATCGGATCCGGTGCCTCGGTCAAGCCATGGGCTTTCAGGTCATCAACCAGCGCACTAATGTAGCTGCGCGAGCTTTGCAAAGATCGCAAGAACGCCAGAGACGAGATCCCATTAGCCTTTTCTAGGACCATCTCCAATCTTTGTTGGATAGACTGTTGGAATACTCGCTGGAGGAATTTCCCCAGAACTTGCTCGTAGTAGGGAAACGCTCGTCTGATAATAGCGGATTCCTCCTGTACCACCGCCTTCACTTCGTCAACCAACGACTGAAGACTCGATTCCACCTTGGAAGGCTCCGAGTCGGGGTTGGCCAGCTGTTCCCATGTCTCGGGGTCTCCTCCCACTTCCTCGGTGACAAGCTGGCTCCGATCGATGAAGAACTGGTGTTGGTTGACGAACAGCGCAATGACACTGGCACCCCCATTGAAATCTTGAAGAACCGTCGCGCAGTCTTTCATTCCCTCGAAATTAGCTTTGCGATAGAAATCGTCAAACTGCTTCAGGAGATCCTTCTCCAAAGTTTCCGAGAACTTCTCAATGATCTCCCGCGTGTTGAGTTTGATTTCGTTGGTCGATTCGCTGTTGTCACTGTCCACAACTTTATCCCCATAACCATTCGATTTCCCGTTGGAGTCACCCCAACTCTTCGGGTCAAGCCTCTGGCTGATACGCAGGAGCTGTCGCGCAATCTGTGCCGAGCGAACCTTGGCTTCTCCCGTCCCAGATCGCCTCAGGTTCTCCAGGAGTGTAATATCTCCACGGTTGCTCACATTATCCCAGCATTCGAGGAGGAAATGCGCGTCCAGGGCGCGACGTCTCTGCCGATCCAGCTCCTCTAATCTCCGACCCGTTTCCACCGCCATATTCCCGTTCGCCCCGACATCGCTCGCGGATATGCCGGCGCCATTCAGAGACGTATCCAGTTGCTGGAAAGACTCGATGGTCTGCTTCAGCTTCCTGCCCAGGGAGCTGATATTCTGCGAATGCTGGGCCTCGGCCCGCCGCACCGCAGCAGACAGCTCGTTCTCCCGGATCTCCAGGTCCCCCGAAAGGTCTTCGAGTTGGCGTTGCGCATGCTCGAAGGTGCGGATGAGCGGCTTCGGATCGAACAGCTGGTTGCCGCCCCCGGGAGGCGCCCCGGAGCGACGGTGCGAGGTTGCGCTGTCGGAAAGGGACTCGATGAATTCCTTCACGATGAAGTCGCGGCTGGAGAAGTCGTCCAGAGTGAAGCTGGGGCCTTTGGGGAAGACCGATCGCGACGAATGGTTTGTTTGCGAGGTGAGGGACGCATTGTCCGGCATGTTTGCGGCCGATGGCAGTCGCCTGCCTGCATTTGAGATGGGATCGGTGGTTTCTGTGGGGGTTGTAGGCGGTCGACTCTACCGGCTCGGTGGGCTCCTTAGACGTTGAATTGTTCCAGGCAGAACCGCGTGAAGACCAGAGGGGATCTGGTTATTCGACTTGGGTCTGGGGAAAGTGACAACGTATCGATCGGCTTGACGGAATGCGGACGCACCAGCCACAGGAGGGCATTTATCTTATCTGCTGTACTCCGTACAGTCCATACGTTATTGTTCGAGCTAGAGTCAGAAGCGAGAGGAGATGCTCAGCTTCTTAGATGCTCAATATTAGCATACAATTGACTCCATGCCTAAGTAGTGTCGCATTTTTTTCCCTGTCTGTTGTACGTGGTATTCATACGTCAGTAGTCTTGTAACTGTGGCGCAGTCGCGGTCCGACATGATTCTATTTCGGTGGTGGGGATTTTGAGCTCAGATCTCCAACAATCCAGCTGCCTGGGACAACGCAGCCCTCCATTTAATCGTCCAGATCGCAGGCCTTCATTCAACTTCATATGATCCTTGGACCGAGGGACCCGTTCAACCGCTCTCCTCCCGACACACGCTAGTGCGGCTTCTACAAAAACTAGCTACCGTCCCGCCTCCGGAGTCTCGTCTCGCCTCGTCCATCAGTTCCAGCCATGGTCTCCCAACGCGAAAGAGAACTCCTTCGAGGAGACATCCGTGCCCGGGGATCCAAGCTCACCGCGGCCGAGCGAGAGGAACTCCTGAAGCCATACCTCCCCGATCCGGCCGAGCTGCGCAGTCGGCCACGCCGCAAGAAGACACCGCCGCGGAAGACGCCCATTCGCACGTTCCTGAAATCCCAGCTGCATCAGCTCGTCTACACCATCATCCATATCTTCTTCGGGATCGCGACGCGCCTCGTGCATACGTATCATGCCGTCGTGGATCGCATCTTCGCCCTCGTGTACTACCACCACCGGACCCCCGAGTTAATCCGCAAGGACGTGAAGAACCTCGACCGGCTGCCGCAACACCTCAGCGTCATCCTGTCCCTCCGGAAGGAAGACGATGCCTTGGCGGTCCTGATGGATGAGGTGGCGGAGCTGGCCGCCTGGAGCGCCAGCGCGGGCATTCCAGTGTTGAGTGTCTATGAAAGAAGCGGTGCGTGGAGGTGATCCCCTAGTTTATAGAAGACTATTACTGACGGTTGGTTTAGGACTTCTGAAATCGTGCATCCCGCTCCTCCACCAGATCGTCACGAAGAAGCTCTCCTCCTACTACGGATCTCCCTCGCAGCAACCGACGTTACAGCTGTTCGCTCCTCATCATCCCGTCTACCAACCGCAGGACGAGCCCGATCGGTTCGCCGAGAAATCCAACTCCCAGACCCTGACCCTCTTGCTTCTTTCCGCCACCGACGGCCGCGAGACGTTCGTGGACCTCACCAAAACCCTGGCAGAAATGTCGCAGAACGGAAAACTGTCCCCCGCCGACATTACGATGGAGTTGGTCGATGCGGAAATCAGCGAGATTACGACGCAGCCGTCCCAACCGACCACTGAAGGTCCGGATGACGCCGTTCCAGCGGTGGCTGTGAAACCCGAGCCGGACCTCTTGCTGGTGTTTGGGCCGATCTTGAAGCTAGATGGGTACCCGCCGTGGCATATCCGTCTCACCGAGATGTTCTGCACGGGCGACAATAGTAGTAACATGAATGGGTCTGGTGGAGCGGTCGAGTACCAGGGCTTTCTCCGGGGGCTGTGGCATTATGCAGGGGCACAGATGAGATTTGGTCGTTGAGTTCGCGATTACAGTGTTGTGTTGTGGCGTAGATTAATTTCCGTGTTAATATCCCTTCTGTCTCTTTTTCTGTTACTTAACTCCATTATGCATGTGATAGAAACACCACGACGGTGGACTGGATACGAATGTATGCTTTCATGATATCCCACGCTAAGAAAATGATCTATGTACAGGTTCCTTTGTAATATTCCCAAACGCATTCCTAAGCCTACTCCATGGTCATTGCAAACAATCCTAACGTCATTGTCGGTATACGGTTTACCCCGCCCTACTGGCCAGAATGCATAGACTGCCAGCTGGATATATGGGTCCGCATGCAGTCAAGGCATCTGACGACTTCCATTCCGTCCTCAGTCATGCCTTCCACCGCACAACATGAGCAGACCTTTCTGCGACGTCTGGCCATTTGGTCATAATCCATCGCGTCCGCCCCCGGTGCACCTGCAAAATCCGGGGACGGCTCCAACCCCACGATGGGATTGACGGAACCCACACAGTCGACAGCATCGCATTGTCGAAGACATATATAGCAGCTTCGCTCGCCACACAGGTCGCAGTCCGCGTAGGCGTCAAGAACTTCCCTCGTCGTCGGTCGCCGATGACAGATATGACACGGCCTCAAGCAGGACGCCGACGTGCAGTAACTTTGTTGAAGAGGATAGGAAGGCGGAACCAAGGTCTTTGGGGAGATCGGGGGAGAGTAGGTATCAGAGGTGGCGGTGACACAGAGGTTGGGCGGTAACAGTTTGGTCTGCGTGAGATTGGCCTGAAACGGTTGTGCATGGTTGCTGAAACACGACTGAGGGTGCTGCGTCTGGTGGTAAGGCTGCTGGATGACGCGTCGCTTTCGGGCAAAACTCCGCGGACGATGTGACTCCGCAGCTTCCTTGGGTAGATCCGAGTATGGGAAGAGGATCGACGGATTCAAGTGATGGAGGGACGAAGGGATGAATTTGGTGCTGAGAGGTGTTAGCAAACTGGGCGAGTCAGAATTTGCCTCCTCGGGCACCTACTTCTTGGTTATGTTGATAGCATCTGGCGCAACATGATCTCTCTTGCGCTTTCTCAAGCTCGCATTGGCCGACGAGTCATCATGCTCCGGTCCATTCGCTGGGAAGCCTGATTGAGAAGACGCAGCAGAATTAAAATAGTTGGATAGATTCATCGGGGCACAGTCATCCAACGTTCAGGACGTGGGTGACCGAAGGGGCTTTAAAGAGGCGACGCTATGCAATGCAGAAGGCGAACAATCGATGGGAGAATGGGAGAGGCGGCTCTAGGCGATGCGAAGAGAAGTAATATGCAAGTTCAATGACAAGGAAATCCAGCCTGAAAGCAGAGAAAGGGTATCATGAAACAAAGAGGTGGGAAGAGAACGATGGAGGTTGTTGCTGTGGTAAAGAAGAATCATCGGGTTGAATCCATTTGATAAGGGAAATCTTACCGTTGGTGCCTCAGGCAGTAACGGTCCGTGTCGGGCAGCTGCCTCGGAAGGATTGCCGTGCGGACCTTGATAGCTACAGTAAAGTATCTTACTTGATAAGTAAGACCTTTAGGCTGAATAATAGTATCATGTAACTCAGTATAAGAAAAGAATCTTTGAGTATGAAGCTGTTATCGCGGTGAGGCAACCAGATGTTGGAGAACCCCCAATATACACAACCGTATACAACTAGTAACAGCAATCAGAGGGAGAAGAAGCCCCACATGGCGGTGGAGATGAACCCTATCTGTTTGTGTGTATTTTATTTCTTTACCCCTGACTAACCACTCGTGCTGGATGAGGCTCGATCAATAATGGACACCACTCGGTCCCATAATAAGGGAATATCTTCGAAGATCGCATTTCGTTCTTAACATTCTCATTATACTGACAAAGCAATGAACTCCGATTGTGATGTTGAAATGATCAGAGTTCCTTACAGCTGATCCAATAGTCCGGAGGCTTCTTGGCGTCCTACTAATTTCCCTAGTCCACTCCCCTCAGCGTTGGTCCAAACCCTTAAAATCACCTGGGGTGTAATGCGGTCCATGTCCTCCATTGACGCTCGTCCAACGGTCCTCCCGTCGCCTCGCTAAACGACTATCAACTTCCTCCATGCCAATCTCCCTCCGGGAGCATTGGTCACGCTATTCGAACCGAGATCCTGATCCCCTCCCCTCCTTTTCGCGATGGAGAGCAACATTGCCGAACTAGTCGAGAGACTAGGCAGTGACGAAGATGCCGTGCGCAAAATGGCCGTTTTCAAGCTCCAGGGCAGCATTGGGGACCCTTCCTTTGCCGATATCTTTATTGCGGAGGGTGGGTTGACCAGATTGCGCTACCTGACCCTACACGCCAGTGGGAACACATTGGCATACAGCCTGACGAGTTTCGCCAGACTGCTGGAGGTGGACAAGGGTTGGGAGTTTGTCGACCAAGAAGTCGTTGAGAGAGTATGTTTCGACTGCTACATTTAGCTCCCCTGCAGGGAATGCATGCTGATCGGTCTTACGGGCTTATAGATTGTGGAACTCATCGTAACGCACCCCTTGGTCAATATTCTACGCGGCGCAATGTCCATCCTCGTCTCCATCGTCTCGCATCCATATACCGGAGGACGGTCTTCTCAGAGTGGAACTTTCGGATTTCGGGCGTTGAAGCCGGCGATTGCGATATATCCGCAATTCCTGGAAATGCTCGTCAGTAGACTTTCATCGGCCGACCATGCGCTCTGCGCAAACGCTCTCCAATTAATCAACTCCCTCATGCGCGACTCGATTACCAACGACGTGGAGTCGGAATGGCCCAAATTCATCCAGAAATTGCAGGACCTGGGAGTGATCAGGGCGGTTTATTCTCTCATGCAAGGCTCCACGTTGCAGGACCATGCGCACCCACTCATTGAGTTTCAATCCCTCACCAAGGTCCTGCTCCGAAAATGGCGGGACATTCCTTTGGACCTCGAAAATCCAGAACATAGACGAGCGCTAAAGGGAATCCATCTGGCTAGTAACCCGGACAGGAATCAACACAAAGGCAACGATGATCCGAACGACGTGCGTCGATCGAAGAGACACAATCCGGAGAAGTGGAGACGGCTTGGATTCGAATCAGAAAGCCCCGTCATGCAATTCGAGCATATGGGCTTTCTGGGCATGATGGACTTGGCCGATTACGTCCGAAACCACCAAGACGGATTTCAGCAGATCCTTCTCGAGCAATCGACGAAGCCATCCCAGTATCGCTGTCCAATTGCGCGTGCATCGTTATCTGTCACGTCCATCCTGTATGAGCACTTCGAGGTGGACAAGTCTGAAATGGAGGACGCCAAGAGTTATCTGATCATGGAGTCGCGCTCGAACCTCGACAAGTTGTTCAAACCCCTCTTACTACACTGGACGCGGTTGCATGTTGCAGGCCTGCATGCGTTTTTCCGTCTGTGGAAGGCAACCGGCGCAGAGCTCGAAGATTACGACAAGATTGTCGAACTAGTTCGCATTCTTATCGAATCGGTCGTTGGGGGAGCTCCCCGGACGAAAGATGTACAGGATATCGAAGAAGAGCTGGCAGACTTTGAATATGGCCGGCTTCGCGAGCTTCAGATGGAAATCCTCGAGCTGACTTATGAGGACTTCTGGGGACAACACCTGCGCCAGATCCGCGAGGAATTGCACCATGAAGCTCTTCAGTTTGTCAAGGAACAAAGGATTCGATGCCTGCTACAGGGTGCCTGGTTCCCCAGTGGAAACCAAGGGAAAGATGGGGTGACTTCTACCGACATGGCGTGGAAGTTCGTTCAGCTTTCTCACAACCGAAGATACCTGCATTTCGGGCACTTCGAGAGCATGGGTGATGGACGCCCAGACCTGGATGCTCTCCCAGAGAAAAGTGAGTCTACCTCTATCTCAGCCCTGCTGCATTCTTGTTCCGTTTATACTGACATCCCTAGTCGATTTGTCGATTGTCTCTTCCGTGGTCTCAAATATCTCAACAGCACCCGACGACGCCTCGTCCTCGACAGTAAAAAGTGCATCGCAGCCTGTCTCTTCGACGAAAATCACCATCCATGGCTACTCGACGACAGATGAATCCCAGCGTACTAATACTTCTCATTCCAATAAGACGCTTCAAAAGGAGAATGTCCTCCTAAGCCTTCGGCCACAGTCAACCAGCATTGCATCTGAATGGCTGGATGGGCTGCTCATGCTCCTGAATCAACAGCCTATCACCGCGGAAACGAGCAAATTGATCACGTTGGTGAGCAACTACGGTTTCAAGATTCGTCTTTTGAACATTCGGTTTGATGACGGCTTGTTTGCCGGTGACGCCCCAGTGGTTCCTTCGCGAGAAGGTCTTGATGATAACTACTACTATGATGTCTTTGGGGGTAATTAGGGTATGTTCTCGGGAAATGTAATTATACGAGCCTGCTACATTCCAGACTTCTTTGTTGATGTATATATTCTGGCAGCTCTGTTGGGCTTCTTTATTTTCGGTTTCTAATTTTGAATATACCCCATGGTGAATTTTGCAAAGATACTCACGTTTCCCTGCGGTAAAGTATTTGATATACCCACGCAATGCAATGGCTTGAGGCGTATGGAATACAACGTGATATATGCCTCTGCTAGGATGACTCCTACAGCAACAATTATCTGTATAGGAGAGACTTCAGCTACATTTTAATACAATTTACAGACAATACTGTCCAGAAGGTGCGTATATACATACAACAATGCAAGTTGAAGACCTTGTGAGGGCGGCTTATACTTGCTCTATGAAAGCTGCAATTACGTAGTGAGCTTGGCGTGGGGCGATCATTCGGGTACCTAGAACTTCTTCCATCACTCCAACAAACACGACCCGGCTGGTCTACGCGTATCTATCAGGCCTAATTGCGCACAGCTGACCTGGCTGAATAGCCGGCCTCCTACAATGTCTCCCTTTCATGTCCATATTTGCTTTGCATAATGACTACCCGTTCCAACAAGCGGCAACGAAGGTCAACTGTCTACCTATCCTCCTCCGATGAATCTCAAAGCGAGAGAACAAAACGTGTCCCAAGCAAACCAAACAAGTAGGTCGATTCGTGACCCAAATGGAGATATGTCAATAGTTATTCCGAGTGACTTATCACCCCTTGACACAGGCACGACCTTGATCAACCCGACATTCGCAGCCGACCCTCGACCACCTTTTCTGGCAAAAGGCGGAGCCCCGACGTACCCTCGACGAAGACATCCACGACTAGCAAATCCATCCGCGGCTATTTCGAGTCTTCGAATCCGGAAAACCAGCCGTCATTGCCTAAGCCCGAGAACAAACGAATTCCATCACCCGCGATCAACGGAATTGAAGACGACGATATCATCGACGATTATGACTCCTACGACGAATTGTTTAGCAGCTTTGCAGGAGAGGACACCGCGAATGGGAGTAAGCCTGTCGCCATCTCGAATACTCAGAGCCTATCCCAGTCCTCGTCTCGTACGAACTTGAGCCGCAACACAAGGCAGAGTAACGCCCCGAAGCGCTTCATAGTCCCGCTAGCCACCGATCGAAGGAAGACATCACCACCTTCCACACAATCGCCTGATGGTCAGCTACCCTGGACACAGCGGTATCCTCCGCAGGACTTGGATGAGCTAGCGGTGCATAAAAAGAAAGTTGCCGACGTAAACGCTTGGTTGAAGGATGCCCTCGCGGGAAACAGTAGACGTGTAAGACTGCCACCGTTACGGTCTTCCTTTGACATGAACTAATCCTCATCACTGACAACTGATAGAGATTACTTGTTCTCCGTGGGCCGGCAGGGAGTGGGAAGACAACCACGGTTTCCTTGTTGGCAAAATCACTGGGCTTCGAGATTGTGGAGTGGAAAAATCCCCCAGTCTCTGATTATGCCTCAAGTGATTATGTATCAGTCGGGAAGAGGTTTGACGAATTCCTCGACCGTGGCAGTAGCTACGGAGGTCTGGAGCTCGATTCGGGGGCTAGCCCTCGTGAAAGTGACAGTGACCATGTCAACACCACGTCTCGCCGTGTTATTCTAATCGAAGAGTTTCCTGCTCTCAATCGAAATTCGCCAAGTCTGGCCGCATTCAGGCTATCACTCCAACGGTGCCTGGCCACATCGGGCATAGAAACAGGTTCAAATCCGGAAACTCCTATTGTCATGATTGTATCTGAAACTCACTTGAACTCGGACTCCTCATTGGCCGACAACATCACTGTATATCGACTGCTTGGGGCGGAGATTTGCAGACATCCCAGCACAACGATCATTGATTTTAACAGCATTGCCCCGACATTCATGTATAAAGCTCTAGGGTTAGTCCTGGACAAGGAAGCCCGCTATTCGGGACATCATACAAAGCCAGCACATGCGGTGCTCCAGGCCATTTCCAAAACAGGAGATATAAGAAGCGCGATCAACTCCCTGGAATTTCTTTGCCTCCGTCCCGAGGCAGCTAAAGCGCTCAAGACCAATGCCCGCAAAACCAAAGGCCAGCGTAAAACAAACGCGTCGACACTTCCTACCGAAGAACAGACACTACTGTCAGTTTCGCAAAGGGAAAGCAGTCTTGGGATATTCCATGCTGTGGGGAAGATTGTGTACAACAAACGCCACGAGCTAGATGCTGCCGCCGCCCATGGGAAACAACCCTCGCCGCCACCTCACTTGAGCGAACAGGATCGGCCAAAGCCCTCCCAGGTTTCCGTGGATGAGCTCATCGATGAGACCGGAACTGATGTTCAGACGTTCATTAGCGCTCTGCACGAAAATTATGTACCATCCTGCGACGGCGCATCTTTTGTAGACTGCGTCAATGGGTGCATCGATGCCTTATCAGACAGTGATTTACTGTCTCCCGGTACTCGAAATGGGAGCTCTTTTCGACATGCCGCTAAGACCGTCAATACCAGAGGCAGCACCGGTCTTGACGTATTGCGACAGGACGAGCTCAGTTTTCAGGTGGCAACGCGAGGGATGTTGTTCTCGCTGCCTCACCCTGTGAAGAGGTGCTCCAGACCGACGGGCCATTCCGGCCGCAGAAACAACGCACACCAGATGTATTTTCCGGCTTCCTTCCGTCTCATCCATGATACGGAGGAAATCGAAGATCTTGTTAGCATATGGACGAAGAAGTTATTGGATCCATTCAGGAGTTTGGCTACGAGATCCAGCGCAGATTCCGGAACTGCTCCAGGACCGACAAAGGACGAGGAGCCCATAACTGTAACGATGATGTCGCGCAGTGATCTGCTTCTCTACCAGCTGCCCTACATGACAGCGATATCCTGCGACCAAGGGGACACACGGGAACTTCAGCGAATCACTGGCTTTTACGAAACCAAAAGCGACGTCCTGGAGGGAGACTCAGATGAACTCCAAACCGAATTGGTTGAATGTTGCGCCGACCACAATACTTGGAAGCCATTGAAGTTGAAGTCTTCTGCGCTCAACCGGAATGTTTTTGGTCCCCAGTTGCCGATAGGTCACGACGACCAAGAGGAAAAGCTGATATTAAGCGATGACGATATATTGGATGATTGAAATACCCGTTACTTTTGGACTCTTGTCCGAGTATGATTTTGGATAATATAGATTCCCATAGATAATTTGATTGATGCGACATCTGTTGTATGCAATTCTTGACTAAGCCGATCCCGGAGCCTTGGCTACGAGCCTCCGCAACAACTGTCATATCTGTCGCGAAACATTCCCTCCTTTCCTGCCAATCCGCCCACTTCGTGTACACTTTTGTTGTTTTTGTTGCTTTGTCTTCTCGTGTTTATATTATTCTCATTCGTTTGAACCTGTACCACTCAAGCCGCAGCGGGTTCGGCATGAAAAATGGTCCGCAACGATGTCAACATCATGAAAGCAAAGCCGCGGAGTTCAACATCGAATGGAACTGTACACAATGAGACCGACGACGCACAACCGAAGACTGAATCGCCAGAATCATCCAGCCCAGCCAGCGTATTAGCGGCAGTGACTCACGCATCCATCCCCAGTTGGACCAGTATCGTGTTGATGGTCTCGTTGATCTTTGGTGGCTGTTGTACCAATGTGGGTGGTCTATCAACAGACAACTTGTTCAGCAATTGACCTGTGATTTTAGGTATACGCGCTTGAAGCGATTATCAAGTATGTGTCCGTCCATCTTCTACGCACTAGAAGTATACTAATCATTTGGAATGAAGAGAGCAACCTAGTTCCGGTATAGTCCACCACCGTTTTCTCCATCCTCGAGTCCACCTGTCCTAATTGACCCAAAGGACCGCTCATCACATTCGCTCAATTCGTCCTCGCTGCACTATTCACAGCTCCAAGCTTCATATCCCTTTCCGCCGGCCCCAAGTCATTATTCCTCGCGCCGCGCGCTATCCCGCTAAGATCATGGATCATCTATACCGCATACTTCCTGTCCGTGAACCTCTTAAACAACTGGGCCTTCGCATACAAAATATCGATACCCCTGCATATCATCCTACGATCCGCCGGGCCTGTCGCCTCCATGGTGATCGGCTACATCTACAATGGGAGGAGATACTCCCAAGGACAGATACTGGCCGTCGCAATGCTGACCGTAGGCGTTATGGCATCGGCCCTGGCCGACGCCCACGAGAAGGGCCAGTCCATCAACCTCGTTAACAGTGGAAATGATTCCTCCCTCACCGATTCGGTGATCGGGTTCACAATCCTCGCGCTGGCAATGGCGCTGTCCGCGTTCCAGGGCATCTACGCCGATCGACTCTACGAGACTTACGGCCGGAATAACTGGAAAGAGGCGCTCTTCTACTCGCACACGCTGTCTTTGCCGCTCTTCCTGCCGGCGTATACGCATATTGTGTCGCACTGGAGGGGACTCTTCGCGTCTGCGTCGTTGCTCTCCGGAATTGAAGGTATTTCGGGGACGCTGAGCCAGGCGCTGGATTCGACTGGCATCCCAGCGGCAGAGTCTTCCGTCGCTTGGGTCGCCAACACCGTGTCGGAGATTCTCACGAGTCTCACAAACTGGAAAGCTCTCTGCAGCGCGCTGGACCACATCCCAATGCAGGTGTTCTACCTCGTGATGAACGCCTTGACGCAGTATCTGTGTATTCGTGGTGTTCATCTGCTGGCTGCTAAATCGTCCTCGCTGACCGTCACCATTGTGCTGAATATTCGCAAGTTGGTCTCGCTGTTGATCTCCATCCACCTGTTTGGGAATAATCTCGCGCCTGGTGTCCTGCTGGGCGCGCTTTTTGTTTTCGGTGGGGGTGCGTTGTACGGGTTTGAGGGAGCCCGTTTGAGAAAGGCGAAGGTCAAGCGAACTTAGCCACTATATGCTTACACGGGGTTTTGTATAGACTTCTAGACTCCTGTGAGTTGCAATAGATTGTTAGAATATCTTAAGAATATTAGCATGACTGGCCAGACGTCGACTTGTAGTGTACGGGTCCTAGTCGTACAGATAGACAGATACCCGTGAAAGGCTGCCCAAGAGAATCACACCAAACCCTGGGTAGACTAGGTATAAGCTCTAGCATACAGTTACAAACGCAAATACAATTGTATACATCGCCATAATACAGCCCCTCGCGTACAGTTCCTTGTTTTACATGCCATCATCCATATTTGAGACCTCGCCAAGAGGTTACAAGACTTCACCGACAATCTTAGCTGCCTCCTTGTAGGTCTCCAGAAGCTTTTCGCACTTCTCCCTCTCGGCCTTGATGCCGTCGTCCTCGTAGAGAAGCTCTGCGAAAAGGTCTTCCTTATAGAGCTCACTGACAAGTCTGTTCTGCACGACGTCCTTGCTGTGGTTCACCAGAAGGTGCATGATAGCCTTGGGCACCTGGTCGGCGATCGTCTCCCTGACAATATCGAAGTAGGATGAGATCAGCCGGCGGATGAGTTCAGTCTCCAAAATCTCGCGGTCAGACAGAGTCGGCTCAGTGGAATTATCCTGTGAGACAGCGTCAGCGGTGAACTCCCAATGAGCAGCGCTGTGGGGAGGCGAGCGTACAAGGGAGCCAGCGTCGCCACCATATTCAGCTGGGGCCGTATAATCCTCTGTCGGCATGACAGGGGAACGCATCTCCATCCGGCGGTTGCTGTGGTTGATGTTCGTTTCGATGGCATGGCTAGACGGTTTGGGTTGACTGGATGGCTGAGGGAAGGGCGCAGAGAGCTGCGCGCCATCCTTGCCAAAGAAATAATTCAGGAACGAATCGCGAGTAGTGTTGGCCCCGCCAAAAACCGCATGAGGGCCCGACTGCACCCCGTTAAGAGACGCGGCAATACTGCCCTCTTGCGTCTTGCCGACATGAGGAGACATGCTGCGCGTTCCTCTGGCCGATTGGCTTCTGATCGGGAGGGGCTGTCCTTTAGAGTCGACATGCTCTTCCTCCTCTTCAGGGGAAGCGACATTGCCGTTAACGCCTCCGAGTTCCTTTAGGCGTCTCTTCTCACGCTTCCTCCTGTCTTCTGCCAGCGCCGCTTTCCTCTCCTGCTCTTGTTTATTCTGGATGATAGACGACATGGCGGCCGCCGCGCCGAGGAAGTTCGGGTGATTCGTGTTGATGTAGGCTCTTTGAATGGAGATCAAAGATTCAACATAGGCAGAGCAAGGACCCAAACGCTCACGGAGAAGGTCAGAGACAACTTCAATCAGCTTCCCCTGGAGACGCGGGAAGCGCAAAAGCTCTTGCGAACCGCAGGTATGACAGATCTTGATGAGCTCTTCATAAACTAACTCGACACATCTCTGGCTGGGGGCTTCCAGCATCTTGATCTGAGGTTTCACCAGAAGGTCGAAAGCAAGTTCCGGGACAAACAGGCTCGGTCGCGGGCCAGTAGAGTTTCGGATCGCCGTCCGAATGTCGGAGACGGTCAGGTTATGCGTGGGATCAATGGTCTCGAGGGAGTTGCCGAAGACAGAGTTGAAAATATAGTAGATGCGAGCTCCTCCACACAGTTCCTTCGTAGAGATCTCGGACGAAGTTCCATCAATGGAGGAAATAAACGATGAAGCAAAGCGAGTCATGAGCTGCAGGATCAACGACCCGCGGTGTTCCTTTCCACTAAACTGTTTATTTCCATAGCTGGCAAGCTCTTGTTGGGTCTGCCCCATCAAAGTGTTCAGGCGCGCTTTGATGTCAGGCAGTCGATCGCGAATGTGAGACATTAATGTCGAGTTCAGAGTCTTTGCCAGAAACTGCGTGCCGCATCTGTTGGCCATGTTCCGGTAGGCGGGGTGGTGTCGGAAGAAATCAACTTCGGCCTGTAAAGCCTCTGACAGCGACTTTCCAGACTGAATGTCCTGCTGAGACCGGTTGACGACACCAATAAATCCAAGCTTCAACGGATACACGCGACCCGAAAGAATATCCATGGCGTTGGTCCCATGATCCATGAGGTCCAACTTTGTCAACACACCGATCGTTCTTCGGCCCATAGGGTCAACTTGACGAGCCAGCTTCAGCGCTTCTGAGTTGACCAAGTCGACATTCGCAGGGGAAACGGCGAGGATGATGCTGTTCGGCTTCGCTATATATTCCAAGATCAAGGCACGGGTCTGCTTCTCGATGTCCGATGGCTGGTCTCCGATGGGCACCTTGGTCAATCCCGGCAGATCAACCATGGTGAGGTTAAGGACGTGCGGAGAAAATATCTTGAGGTTGATCGGTTGTCTATTGATTCCTTTATTGCTTCCAGCGATTCTAGCGGTCTCGGCTTCAATCTCCTGCTTCACAAGCGCAAAGTCGTCGAATTTGCGACCGGGGAGGTGGTGGAATTCGGCCCACTCATTCTGTCCAGCTACACTGGCAGCGGTATGAGGTACATGGACCTCATCATTCGACGGTCTATCGGGGCGCTCGCTGGGGATATTGATAAGCTGTAGAATCAATGGTCGTCTCGTGACAATACCGCTGCCTCTGGGCAAGAAGTCTCTACCGACGATATTTTCGAGCACAGAGGACTTTCCCGACGACTGGGATCCGACCACAACCTGCAACGGTGTAAGCGCTCTCCAACACATCCACAGAGGGGGGCGGGACACAGGGGTGGACGGACGATCTGCGGTAAATCGAGAGAGTCATTCCCAATTGTGTTGAAGACCAAGTCTTGCAGCTTGTTGACCGTAACGAGGAGATCCTCACTAAGCGAGGCCATGTTGTCGAACGAAAGACTGCGGTCTTTGGCCGAGGTGGTGGAAAGCGCAAGATATGATGTCCGAAGGGTGGCTCAGATATTGCTTGTAAAAACGCGTCGATCCTGATCACGGAGACCCAGGGGAAAAGCGAGACTCCAAGTAGGAGGAGTCGGCGTCGCTATACGGTCGCTATGCACGTTCAGGCGGCTGCTTTCACAAAGATACACGGCGAAGCGAAGCTCACCCTCTTTTCGTCTGGCCTGGATCTATCTCGGAGGAGAGCAAACAATCCTAGGCCCTCCGTTAATCTACCACGGTCACGTGATATTGCTGATGTAATGGTGGCTCCGTTGTGCCGGAGAATTTCGGGCTTTAATTGTAGATCTAGAATAGTATACTCTTCGTATCCGTAGATAGCGCTACTCCGTACTCTATCAAGGCATCTTTCAACTTTCTGTGTATATCTACCGGGTAGATTGAGACGACCAAGATCAGCATTAAAAGTACAACAAGGTTCAGAGATTAGGACGTGGAATTGACTAGTTGTGGCACATCCAGCCGGGAGGTTTTGATCTTTACAGCATAGAGAAATGCCAGATCCATTTGGACATGCGTAAATACTACGAAAGCCATTGAACAGTCCCGGTTCCGATCATTGATCTCCCAGTCGAGGGAGCCCATTACTTGTCCTCTTCAGCTCAATATCACCACGAGTAACTTACTGTTGTTGGTCATTGGGCTGTTTTCGGCTCTTCCACATATTGCATGTACTCTGGATGACTATCTCATTGTTCCTGCGCTGGTTGGTAGAATTTCCGCCTGGGTAATTCATCACTAACTCGTCTTGTGCAGATTGGAAGTCTCGGACATTCGACGTTGTATATTGTGTGTACGGCATCATCTCTGCTCTCACGAAGTCTGTCAAGTTGCAGGATCAGGCTACCATCTTGGATATGTTCAGCAAACAGCGCCTGAGAAACTTGTGCGCCTGCGAAAGGTTGCTTCCCTTATAATCAATGCCTGGAAGCTCGGGTGGTTATTGGTCTGTACAAACAGGGCCTCTTCGCCTCGCAAATCATGATTTACCCTGTCTTCGTGATGTTCGCAAACCTTTCCATCCTGCTTTTATATACCCGGGTCTTCCGAACCTCCAGATACCAGGAATTATCGTACTCCGTCGGCTCGATTGTCGTGGGCACAGGAATGGGTGTCCTCTTTGCAGCAACTTTCCAATGCTCACCCGTGCAATTCGCCTGGGATTTATCACCTCGCGGTTCATGCATCAACCAACAGGCTTTCTTCCGTTACATGCTGCCTCCACAGATCTTCACTGATTTCATGGTTTTGGTCATGCTGCTTCCGTATGTCTGGAAACTGCAGAGTCGCTTGACGAACAAGCTTGCCCTAACTGTTCTTACTCGGAGAACTGTAAGTACCGGGTTTATTGGGCGAACAAAGCATATTTGATATGCCTCCTCTGTTAGGGAACTCGTAGCAAACATCCTCCGCATGACAAATTTTCTTCCAGGAAGAGATTATGAACGACTTGGAGGTCTTCTTCCTCGGGCTAGCCAAATGAAACTGAACTAATCATACTCGAATGTCGACAGGGGTGTTAATCAACTTAGCGTATTGGAAGGGGCCATCATTATCATCGCAGCCTGCCTACCCCCCGTGTGGGCGTTATTCGTGCGGTTTCCACCGGGAGGAGTAATCTAAAAGTGACATGGAGTAGGCCGAATCGCGCATTGATGGGTGGGGGGCTAACCAGTGTCCATCTTGCATGGTGACCGTCCAGAGGCTTCCAAGTTGCAGGGTAGTACGTAGCAGGCTAAACCACGTTTAATAAATCAGTTCATGCGTACCTAACCCCCGAGCGAAGCCTATGAATTTGAGCCATCCTGTATCTGTTTCGCTTTCCGAATCTACTTGCCACTTTTTTTTTTGCATCGCAATGTCTAGCTCATCGTTGAAGCACGATATCGTTTCTATCGTCAAGACAGCTAGGCTGACAAGAGAGTCTCTGGATGAGAATTCTCGGGTTCAGGCTCTGAGCGCCGCTCGAGAGCTGGTCCAGACGCTATCGTCTCCTGCTGAGACTGCCATCCAGGATGTGTCCATGGTATGTGAGGGTCTTATACTGCATACGAGTGCGAGGGAACATACATATTAACTGAGCCATAATGCTGGAAGAATCTTGCTGTTCCCTTAGCCCTTCGCATGGGTGTCCAGTTGGGGGCTTTCCGAGCGATCTGCGGTCAGAGGAAGGGGATCACCACGCATGAGATTGCAGCGAAATGCGGTGCAAGTCCAAGTGTTCTTAGTACGTATATTATAACGGCGTGCAAACTTCTACTCACATATTCTAGGCCAGGTTTTGAAAGTCCTCGTAGCCACAGGATACGTCCTTGAGGCCGGTGTGCAGCTCTACACGCCCTCAGCTCTTACTATGGTCATGGCAGATCCAGTCATGGAGGCCGCGACTAGAGCAGCGTGAGCTTCCTCTTCTTCTAATCAGGAGACTAGTTGTGGCAAGTCTAACGAGTATTACAGCTTCGACATTGGGCACGCTTGCGTGACCCTACAGTCCGGAATTCTTCCGCCGAAACAACAACCAGGCTCCAACATCTATCGAGGATACGCCCTTTCAGCTATCAAAGAACACCAAGCTCGGTTACTTCAGCTGGCTCAGCGAGAACCCGTCGCTGGCAAAAGACTTCCAGCAGTTCATGTCCATCAAACAGCAAAAGACCCCATCGTGGGTTGACTGGTTCGATATTGACCGCGTTCTTCTCGCTGGGTTGAATACGACCGAGGAGACCGTCTTGTTCGTCGATGTTGGAGGTGGCGAGGGACTGTATACACAGGCATTCAACAGCAAGTGCCCTCCATCTCGCACGCCGGGCCGACGAATCCTGCAAGATCTGCCGCATGTATTCTCGAATCTAGCCAATACACCCGAAGCAACCGAATTAATGGCTCATGACTTCTTCACGCCACAGCCCATAAAGGGCGCCCGGGTATACTACTTACATTGGGTGCTGCACGACTGGGCTGATGAGCGGGCGCGCGATATCCTACGACATATCGTTGAGGCGATGGAACCGGGGTATTCGCGCCTTGTGATCAACGAGAACATTATCCCCGATCAAGGCTGTGACTATACCTCTGCATGTCTGAGTCTCCTCATGATGGTGCAAGTTGGAGCGCTGGAAAGAACTGAACTGCAGTGGCGCGAGCTGCTGAATTCAGTTGGCTTGACGGATTTTGCTTTCTATCAACCGCCGGGGGAGGGGGAGGGAGTTATTGTGGCTACCAAGTGAACTAAAACGATCGTCAACATGAGTGATAGAAAGAGCTTCGCCCCTTTAGTGCGTTATTGTATCATTGGTGGTTGCTTGAGCTTTAGTTCTAATACTCCTGCGCCTCCAACTACGCTTACTATACAATCTTCCCAGCCAGTCATAAGTCTCATCGACAAGGGCTTCAACAGCTTCAGTCTCCAGGGTAAGCGCGCAGATGATCGCGATCGATAAAGTCGTCCCTACTCGTAGGGACCATTCTAGCTCAAGATACCAAACGTTACTCCGTGCATAGATAGTTGGATGTGTAATGTCGACAATGATTATGATCCGTGAGGCTGGGGGAGTCGGAGCTGAAGACATGGTCTGCCGGCAGCCTTGCCATTGCCTTCACCAACCACGAGGTTGTACTTGCACCATGTGAAGCGGGTATTTGAGCGGGCATAGGCAACTTTGAGAACAGTCGTCCAACGTAGTTCTTGAGCTACCTGTATATAAAATAGACGGGGGTGAGCGGCTCAGTGAGTTCACTTGACCGCTCATGAGCAAGGGCTGAGATCCATGACATGAACTACTCACTCAGCAGAACCCTGAGCGCTGTCACTAAAGCGGCGTTATCCCGGAGAGGAAGTCAATGGTCGTCCTAGAAAATCAGGTACGTATAGATACATATATAACATATAACAATTCACAGGGATAGCCAAGGTTATGTACAGACTTAACCCACCAGACACAGATCTCAAGGACAAACACTATGCTTGTCCCTTTTGCTTCAGTACTGGAAAGCGCTTTTCATACGGAGTAGACGATGCCCTCTAAACCCAGATTGCTCCCTGCTACCTCGCCTCCTACTTGCGCAATTCAACATAGTTGGCGGGGAAGAGACCCTTGCGACCATTGTATTCGCCATACCACCAGTCGTCATCGGGGAACGTCTAAGTAGCTTGGTTAGCAAACGGTGACATGAAATGGAATTGTAGTTCACTTACGATGTTTGTAATCTCGGCGTTTTCCGGGAAACTGAGCTCGTTGTCTTCCGCCGCTTCGTAGTCATACAATGCCACGGCTGAAGGTTCATCTGCCGCACCTGGAGCTGCTGGAGTTGGCTCAGTGGGAGGGGCAGGTTCAGGGGCGGAGTGCGTGTTTGTCGACGGGTGTTCCGGAGCGGTCTCGACCAGCTCAACATAATTACTGGGGAAGAGTCCCTTTTCCCCACGAACGTTGAAACCCAACCACCAGTCCTTGTCAACCATTTCAATGTTTGTCACGTACTCGCCTTCCCTGAGGTCGATTTCGTTGTCTTCCGCCTTTTCGTAGTCAAACTGGACAAGCGCCTGGATCCCTTCACCGGGATGGGTATGTCCAGCAGTGGCCTCGGCGGTTGCTCTGGCTACGTCATGTGTCTCATCTTCCAGATCTTGTTCCTTCGGCACTGCTTCACTCAGGCTCTCGGCAGGGATGACCGGTGGTGGCGAGTGCTGTTCGTCGTGGGCGTCCGTGACCGTCCGTCCAACAGGCATTGCAACACGGATCGGCGAGGTTTCGCGGACTGGCGGCGTCGGGGGCGTTGGGGACCGAGGCTGCGGAGGCGGACTTGGTGCCACCTGATGGGCCTCAGGTTCCACAGGCTCGGGATCGGCAGCTGCTGTGGGAAGGCCTGGCAGAGGTATAGTATGGCCCCCGGTGGGGATATCAGCAGGTCTCTGAGGGACAGGCTCTGGGTTCTGAGGCTGTTCACGCATGAGCTGGTCGCGGATGGCACTAACACTCGCCGGGGGCGCCTGCGATTCGGGTTCGGGTTTATCGTCAAGAGTGTTCGCTGGGGGCTGAGACGTGTTGCTTCCAATGGATTTGCCGGTGTGAGTAGTCTGGACAGGAGCCCATGTTTTACCGGTATACGAGCTCTTCCACTCACTCCGGCCACTGAGCTGGTTCTGGATCGGAGCAGTTGAAGTACCGGTTGGTGTGCTAGGAGCTTCTCCCCTCTCTCTGGCTTTCTTTTCCGCCCAGATCTGTGCCGGAGTCTTCCCTCCCTCGTCGGCAAAGGTTCTGCTCGCACCCGCAACTGGTACAGCCGACGCGGTGGGTTTTCCCATAGGCTCGCTGGGAAGGGGAGGCTTGGTTCCGGTAAACGCTTGGCCCCCGCCGAACTTGTTCGCAACCTTCGGCTTTGGTAAACTGGTCAACCGACCCGAGTCGAGTGGAATGGAGACACGATCAGCAGATCGGACTTCCCCAGAAGGCGGGGCAGGCGCGGGAATATCGGCCGCCGGAGAAGGGCTGGGTTTTGAGACTGGAGCGGACTGTTCCGGGTTCTGCGCTCTGGCCCGAATTGCAGCAATGTCCACCTTACCGACTGGCTCGTAAGCGCCTTTCACAGGCTCGGGCCTCTCATCCTTGAGCTCGCCAGCTTCACGCGCTTGCCGCCTAATCGCAGCGATGTCGACCTTTCCCACAGGTTGGTAGCCACCTTTCACAACTCCAGGCTGTTCCTCGGCAGCAGGACCAGCATTTCTTGTGGCAGAGGATTGTCCAGACCTCAGTTCTTGAATGTTGACCTTCGTCGGTTTATAAGCTGGCTGCACCTTCTCTAGGCCAGTTCTGGTGACCGGAGGGGCGTCGGGACCCCAGCCATCATCCTCGGCAGCGGGTTTAGGGATGTTCCTGACGGGAAGGGTTGAGGCGACGTTGGAAGGAGCGCCGCTCGCAGCCCGGGATGGGGTAAAAACGGGTTTGCTCGATACCGGAGGCTTGGGAGCCGATGGGGCTTGCGGGGCTGAACCAGGCGAATATTTAGAGCCAGAGGCATCCCCGACTTTCTGTATGATGCCTTCCGGCGTCAAATCTCCGTCCGCACGTGCAGTGATCTGCACATGGTAACCCTGATAGATGGACTTGTTAGAACCGAAGGAAGAAGATATCTGTTGACTCAGGAGCTACTCACATGCAGTAGCTTTGAAACGGCAGCCAGATGGCTAGTAAAATAACCCTTGGTCCGCTCAGGGACTCCCTCACCACACCAGGCAATGAGAACGTTCTTGGGAAGTCCAGTGTTTGGGCAAGTGACTTTCACAAACGCAAACTGGATCTTTCCTTCCGAGAATTCGTCAATCAAATCAACCAATTCGCCCTCTATAAAGCTGTCTGTCAGTCTACCTAGGTATCCATCTCCAGAACCGTTCCTTCACTCACCTCCGGAGCTCTGGACCTTCAGAATGCTCTCCTTGTTGCCCGTATCACGCTGGAAGGCGTTGACGAGTGGGGTAGAGACGGAGAAGACGGCCCAGTGTCCGTATGTAGAGGAGCCCGCAGCATTGTTACTTGGGGGCGGGGAGTTGACCACAGTCTGGTAACTCTTTGATATCGAGGGCCCATTCGATGACAGGTTGAGAGTCGACATTTCGGAGGTTGGGGGCTCGCTCCTGGAGTCATCATTCACATCAGCAGCTGTAGACAAAGATACTCAGGAGCACGAGGGGTTGTCTGGCACAACAGGTATCTCACCGTCAAGAGTCCGACAAAAGCAATGGGTTGGATACGATCGGAATTGAGGGATGTGGGGGAGCAAGGGGGAAAAGGACAGAGGTTTCAGGCTAGAAACAAGTGAGACAGAGGGTCGTAAAGGTATTCTTGCGGATTGGGAAAGGCACCTGAAAAGAGGAACACAGTCTATTGCTGTCTTGTAGAATGGGGATGAGTGGAGGGAGAAGAACAGATCGTCTACTCCGCGAGTACAGGTAGGCACCACTGGAATAGGGAGGTGGTTTAAGTTACGTAGGTTGGGGGGATTTGTTTGTATTAGCCTCGTACCAGAGTACGTCATTCGTCGGGCCGGAAAGACCAGACAGGAAGGCGGTATGGGTGTCGGTCTGGGTATTTCGCGTCTCATGTACGTGTAAAACCACGTATCGTCCATCCGATCTTCTAGAACCAGTCTAGACCTGCTGCCTCCCACGCTATGGGAATCGATCGCGGTCTGGATAATAAGGATAACAACTTTGACCCCAGACGCTCATAAACGTCCTTAACGTTCCCCTCGATTGTCGGGTCTCTTCCTCCTTTGGAATGCAGACCCTGTTCCAGAACGCCCCCAGCTTCTGTGCTCTGGTGTAACGATACCCAATACCATGATCTTCTGTAAGATCAGGTAGAAGAGTTCGTCTAGATCACCTGCGGTGAGTGCTTTGGGTCGCGTCGACCGACTCACTCAATCTCAACCAATTGGTCCAGCAACACCACAGGATAAGGATTGAGCAGACTCATACACCCAATCCATCGTGTCCTGTGGGCTTCTACCCACTCATGGATTCCGTACGTTCCAGTGCAGACGCCCAGTCCGGTTCAAATTCCGGCCTGGGTGTCAACCTTCACGATGCCTCCGAAGCCCCCTTGCAAGACAACGGTCCGTCCCCCGAGACGCCTACCGGGGATCAAGAGGCAGACCAAGCCTTTCCGGAAGGCCCTACCACCCCTCCACACGACATTCTCCCCAGAGACAGGCAACTCCGAACTCCTACCTACGACTATGCGTTCGAAAAGTCAATGAGCCACGCTGAAGCAAAGCTTTTCTATCAGCACCATCAGCTGGAGTCTCGAAGTGCCCCTGATGGCGAGCAGGCGCAAACACCCGCGATGTCGAGTCCTTATGTGGCCCCCAGTCAGACGGAAGAGGTGCATGACAACGTACCACCCACTGCGAAGCAGGAGAGGGGTGAACACCAAGCGGCCGGCAATGTTTCAAACCGTCCGATAGGACAGTATCAGAACTCGGGGCTCGAGTACTCGCCAATGGACAAGCGCAATACTTCTACCGATGACCAACATCTGCCGAATGCTGGAAAGAGTGCGCCCTTCGGAATGTCCAATGCTCGGGACAACCTCTTGTCTGCGATGCAGTCGTTGCATGATCAGCCAGGGACAGCACATGGAATGGTGAATATTGCCGCGGATAGCAATGCCGTCACATCGGAATTACACGCCATATGCCAAAAGATCTGGGGCTTGCTTGACCGCCGGTCCAAATACATTAAACTGTCGCTCCAAGGCCCCGAAGATAACCCAAAGGATCGGGCCGACTGGAGGATCTACCCTCCGCCACCCGAACCAGCCTGGGAAGGTGGGAGTGGTCAGCTCAATGATCAAGTCCGCACGGAACACACCAAAAGGAAGATGGGCGAGGACGTTGGCGAAGATTTTGATATGGCCGAATGTCTGCCTCTTCCGGACGAATCCAGTTGGGCGTTTAGGCTTGATCAGAACAGCGTATATCAAGTGTATGAGAGCGACGACGCAATGGCTGCTCATCAACCAGTTGTCGATATTCCTTCCTTGAGAGATTTCTATATGGACCTGGATGCCGTTATCGATGTCTCAACAGACGGCCCCGCGAAAAGCTTTGCCTTCAAGCGACTCTCCTATCTGGAGGGAAAGTTTCAGTTGTATACTCTACTCAACGAATATCAGGAGATCGCAGACAGCAAAAAGGTCCCTCACAGAGACTTCTATAATGTGCGGAAAGTTGATACCCACGTCCATCATTCGGCATGTATGAACCAGAAACATCTTCTTCGTTTCATCAAAAGCAAGATGAAAAAGTCCCCGGACGAGGTCGTCCTCTTCAGAGATGGGAAGCACCTGACGCTGAAGGAGGTTTTTGAAAGCATCAACCTGACAGCCTACGACCTGAGTATCGACACCCTTGACATGCATGTGAGTAGTTATCATGCCTACTAAATGCTAAGTTAAATACCCATTACTGAGACGTTGCAGGCGCATACGGATTCTTTCCATCGGTTCGACAAATTCAATCTGAAATACAACCCAGTTGGCGAGTCCCGCCTCCGAGAGATATTTTTGAAAACAGACAACTATATCAAGGGTCGCTACCTGGCCGAGATCACAAAAGAAGTTATTTCTGATCTTGAGTCGAGCAAGTACCAAATGGTGGAATGGCGCATCTCGATCTACGGAAGATCCATCCAGGAATGGGATAAACTTGCTGCATGGGTGGTGGACAATAAACTGTTCTCGCCCAACGTCCGCTGGCTCATTCAAGTGCCGCGGCTTTACGATGTGTACAAATCAAGCGGAATGATGGAGAACTTTGAGCAGGTCATTACCAACGTTTTTCAACCACTATTTGAGGTGACAAAGGATCCCCAGAGCCATCCTAAACTTCATATATTCTTGCAGCGTGTCGTCGGGTTTGACAGCGTCGACGATGAGAGCAAAGCGGAGCGTCGTCTTTACAGAAAATACCCAATCCCAAGAGCGTGGAACACGAAACAGAACCCACCATATAGTTACTGGATTTATTTCATGTTTGCAAACATTGCATCGCTGAATTTCTGGCGAAAGCAGAGGGGCTTCAACACTTTTGTGCTGCGGCCCCATTGCGGAGAAGCCGGAGATCCGGACCATCTTGCTGCTGGATTCCTCTGCTGTCACAGCATCAGCCATGGGATCCTCCTCAGAAAGGTCCCTTTGCTGCAGTATCTGTTCTATCTCGATCAAATTGGGATCGCCATGTCTCCACTCAGCAACAACGCCTTGTTTCTGACGTACGACAAGAACCCATTTGCCAACTTTTTCAAACGTGGTCTGAACGTGTCGCTGTCGACCGATGATCCATTGCAGTTTGCTTTCACTAAAGAGCCACTGATCGAAGAGTATTCCGTCGCTGCACAGATTTACAAATTCAGCGCGGTGGACATGTGTGAACTTGCGAAACACTCTGTTGAACAGAGTGGCTTTGAGCTTTCGCTGAAGCAAAGGTGGCTCGGATCGAATTGCTATCTTCCTGGGGTTGCGGGAAATAATATGGCAAAGAGCAACGTCCCTGATATTCGTGAGGAATTCAGACACGAGACTCTGATGAGTGAGCTAGCACTGTAGGTCTCTCCCATACAATTCTCGCAACTATGCACCGAGTTCTGGCCAAAGGGAATCCGTACCAGGCAAGGCTGACAATACTCCAGGATCGAACGATATATCGACGCACCGGATCCTCAGTTCAGGCTACCGGGCCCAGCCGGGTCATCCCCTGTCCCAGACAAGAAGCGCACGAGCCAGAGTGAGTGCCAGTGGCTATCAATGAAAAAGAGGATCACCATCTGACCAGCAGCAGGTCTACCCGAGAGGATTAGACACTCATCCGCTCTTCCGCAGAATGCTAGTGACGTGTCTACGGCTAGCCATCTTGAGGCCTCAGTCGGAGACAACGACAGAGTCGGCAAATCGCCAATTCTATTTGCAAGTAATCTCGGTTCGAGCCTAGGTGATGCGGTGCCGGATGAGATGTCTGGCTCCATGACGAGTAACAATGGCTCCATGGGGTTGACCAGCAGCGTGAAATCGGACAGTCTGCCAGAGCAGAAGATCTTCCCTGGGATTGTGCATGAAAGGGCACACCGGAGTAGTGCGGCGCCTCGGGCAGTATCGGAAGACGAGGAGCAACCGCCCAGATAAGTTCATGTATGCTGGTAATTAAATCAGTGCTACATAATAGTTGAGTCTAATCCTGCGGGCGAGGCTTCTCGAGACCCTGCTGTGGCGTGTTTCTGTCAACGATCGTCTTACCATACCTTATAATCAACATTGACCAAGTAATATTGTATAAGGTAGGCGAATAACAGGCTTCCGATAATTAAATCCGATTTGGTGATATCACTACAACAGTACCTTATTCTGTAACTAAACTGCTTGTAGTCGATGAAAGTCTCAGCAGTCCATTCCCTATGCTTTTCGTGATGCCCGTTGTGAGAATTGAATCGAGATATAGGCTAGAACGACGATATAGCCCATTACTAAATTACAACTAGATATCTACAGGTAGGTAAGCTGATTTGAACACTCTAAGGTCATCCTGCCCAACTGCCGCGTCGTTCGCGCACACCCCATGTCTCAAAGCTGCTATCACACTCGGTCACTGTAGGGTGTTGTCTCGCCCATTGGTGTATGTAAATGCGCAAAGCTTTCCAGCGCATACACACGCTTCCTTCAATGTCTCCACTGGTCGCTGATCCCTTGGTAACGCCAACGTACCCTTTCGCATCAGTATGCAGGTCGTCCCGTCGGAGATCAGACACGGGAATGCCGGAAACCTTGCTAAGCTCATGGTCATAGTAACGCGCAACGCAGGGATAGCCCAACGACAGATAGTTATATATCTGCGTAACAAAAGCGTCATCAAACTCCATGCTTAGATCCACCCCAACTTTACCGCTCCCCTTGTCCTGCGCAGCGTTAGATACCGGGACCGGCTGGGGCTCAAATTTTGAAGGCACGGTATTCCTGGGAGTACGGTGTGCGTCGATATCTTCAGCGTAACGCAAGGATGATGGACGCGATCGCCCGGACACGGAGTCTCGACTGTTCCTGCCATGGCCGTTGACCTTACATGTACCCATCCAGAGGCCGTTGTCGTCCGCAGAATCACCATGCCGGGAGCTTGCATGCCACAACCCAGAGGCACGGCGAGACCCATGGTTATGATCCTGATCATTGTTTGATTCGCAAATGGATGTCTGAGGGGATAGGCTTTGGGGGAAGACGAGATCGCCTCCAAGCATCGGGGGACTCCTCAAATGCTTCATTTGTGCTGCGTCTTGATATCGCCGGTTGTTGCCAAGATACCTACCACCGCCTGTTTCAGGTGCCAGAGAGGCGGGCATAGCATTGTGTGAAAAACGCGTGCCTTTGGTCCCAGCCATAGCACGATCTCTCATTTCCGCCTCCTCTTTGTGTTGTCGCATGTAGTCTAATTCCCATGACAGGTCGGCCGACGAAGCTCGTCGGTACCTGATCTGGTCCTCTGTCCCCTGCATTATTTGGTCTACAGGGCTGGATTCCTCCTCCTCTCGATCGATAGCAAAATGGTCCACGGGTTGGTGAACTTGTTCGTTGGGAAAGGCCGCCAGAGCTTGCTCTTGCAGCTGCATCTCGGCTGCGCGAGCAGCCTCAAGGGAAAGCAAATAATCTGCGAACTGTTCGTCACAGCTTTCTCTGCGACTTGGTCCCGTTGAAGTACTGCTTGTGACCAGTTCAGGTCTCGGGCGACGCGGTCTGGTTGGCGGTGGTGAGTGGCCTGACTCATCAGAAGCCTCACTGCAGCTGGAAGGTATGGAAGGAAGGTCCGGCACGCGAAAGGAATGCCTCCTCGTCTCCTGACGCTTCAGAAGATTGGAATATGAGAAGCGAGACTCAGAAGGCATACCACTACTGGAATCGGGAAATGTATCATCGTAAATCGATCCGGACCTTCTCGGTGATGATTCCTGTGACGAGGAATCTGGTAGCGTCTGCCGGCGAAAGGAGCGCCTTCCCGTCTCCATCAGCTGCGGAACGAATCTTCTTCGCTCATGACGGCGTTCAGCTAATGACGAGTTCTCCGCGGGTGTTGACGGTTTGATCTCCGGGACAGCCGTTCGCCCTGCAGGGGCATTTTTTGAGCTGCGTGAGGATGTCTCGATGGGTTCGGGCAAGAACCGTCGGGGCTTGTCTCGGGGTGGAACCATCATCGAGAACCGGTATTGACTGGAACTCCAAGATGAGTACTGCCGCTTGTTCCCCTTGTCGTTTTATCTTTCGTCATCACTTGCCCCAGCCCGCACTGCCAATACCTCCTCCTTCCCTCCCAATGAACAATAGCAAGTGTGTTGAGCAGATATCCCGTAAATAGTTAACAGATCCGGCTGTCGCTGGGTTCTCGGGAAGACAAAGATGTCAAAGATCGGGCAACTGGTGGTTGCAATCGTCACTTAGCCTCCTTCGACGTCTCTTTGTTCTGTGATCATGACCAAGACGCATGGACACGATTATTGGGATCGTAGGGAAACTGGGAAAGGGAGGGGGGGTTGCAGGATCCTGATATAGGTTGGTGGGGGGCCGGACACACCCACCAAGGACGGGAGCACACCTGATAAGAAAGAAACGGTTTGGGGTTTTCAAGCTAGGCGGTTTAGTCAGACGGCATCGTCGTATCATTGTCCGTTCATTCTACATACCCTTACACCGACATTCTCAATTGCTTCCCATAATACTTAAGGTTGTCTGATTTCATGAATATTGTACACTAACAACCTGGTCATCTGTCACTCCCCAAGGGGGCGGAAATATCGACGTCATAAGCTGATTGCATGAGATGATCGACCCCGAACCGAGCTTCCACAAATCCTTGTCTTGTCCGACTTCCCACACAGATCACCACACTCGAACATGGACCAGGGCGAAAAACGAAAATCTACCGAACCTATAACTGAAGATGCCGACGACTTAGCTAGCAAGCGGCGCAGGGTCATTGGACCCTCCTTGCCATCACAAGAATCAGACGCGAAGCCAGAAGCTGCTGCAAGTGAAAGCGATAGCAGTGACGACGATGACTTCGGTCCGAGCCTACCACCCGCGGACAGTGCTGCTCCGGACACACGAGGGTTAACAAGCAAGCAAGCCGAAGCACCAGTTTCGGAAAGGGAGTCGTCTGAAGCAGGACGGTCTGCGGACGTCAAAAGCCAGAGGGACGACTGGATGTTACAGCCCCCCGGGGCGACAGATTGGGCACAGCGGGTCGACCCGACCAAGCTAAGGAATCGCAAGTTCCAGACTGGCAAATCAGCAACAGGCCGTTCGGAAGGTGTAGACTCGTCCTGGACAGAAACCCCCGAGCAGAAAATGAGACGTCTACAAGACCAGGTGATGGGAGTAGCGTCGCATTCTTCATCTGGAGGGAGAGGGCCCCAGACAACCGGATCATCGCGAAATATACAAGATAAGGTCAAATCTTATAAGGTTCGCACGTCCTTGTTGCATGATTTGTATATATGTCCGTTGCTGACGGGGTGATACGAATACAGGAAGCAAAAGCAGCAGAAGCAGCGAAGGTGGGCACTTCGAAACGGCCGCAGTTCGACAGCAGTGGGAAGGACGATGACGATCCAAGCTCCCGAGCATTTGATAGAGAAAAGGATATGTCTATCTCTTCGACGATAACGAATGCCCAGCGTCGCGAGGTCATCAACAAAGCTGCCGACTTTGGCTCCCGCTTTACAAGTGGGAAGTTCCTGTAACTTTTGGTGTCCCAAAGGCGACTGGCTACCTACCTAGGTACTAGTGCAGTTGCCTTGAATACAGAAGTAATTTTCTCAATTCCCAACCTATCTCCTATTCTATTGCCAAGGAGGGAGGTATATCCTACTATATCTCTGCATCTCTTTCTTGATCATAGAAGTGTAGTGTGCTGCTAGCTATGGTTGTTAGAGGCGGTAGCTAACGTGCTAGGAGGTAGAATAGGTGGAAGACTCAATGGTATAAGGGATAGAAGTAGTAGGAAGACTCTTTAATAGCTAGATATACGATTATTTGCTAGTTTTTAGAAGGAATGACGAATAGTAGGATATTAATGTAGTCTAAGATTACGTGGAACAGCTACAGTAGTTTATTATTTTTTTTATAGAATAGAGGTGCTAAAATTCTTCTTTTTTCTAATAGCTATAGTTTTATAGCTAGCGGTATTAGTATAAAATCTAGTTAGTAGTAAAATTAATATTAGGTAGTCTAAAGTTCGGTAAATAATCTATATAGCTGGCTTAGTAGCTAGTTTGTATATAATATAACTATAATAAAAATCTAAGACTTTACTATTTTTTTTATAGTAGTTCTATAATTCCTATATAGTTTTATATTATACTAAAAAAAGTTAATATTATAGTAGTTAGCTATATTAATATATTTATTATAGTTTAATACTGTCGAACTCTACGAGACTCAGGCACCTCGGATGCCTTAGGCACTCTAGGGTTTCCTAATTGGGGAAGTCCCTATAGACCTGACTAGGTGAAGTTAACCAATGAGAGTTGAGGAAATTGACAATTGAACTAGATGACTAATTGGATCTAGTAAACAATTCTGGTTGACTCCAGCCCGGAACCATAGGTTAATAGGCCCTATTAATAGTATGGTCCTAAAAGCCTAGAGTCTTCTAGAAACAGGTAATTAATAATTAAAATTAGAAATAATGTAGGAATACTAGAAGATGATGCAAGCAGATGACGCAATAGAATCAGAAGGAATAGGTCAGAACAAAGGAGATCAGAACAATTGGTCTTTAAAAAAGATAACTAGTAATAGAGTATTAATATAGTCTCAAATTATATAGAATAGCTGTAATAATTTACTAACTTTTCTATAAGATACAAAATACTAATACTATCTCTTTTTTTTTGAATAGCTATAGCCCTATAGCTAGCGATATTAATATAGAGTCTAATTGATAGTAAAATTAGTATTAGATAGTCTAAGACTATAGTAGATAGCTAATATAGCTAGCTTAGTAGCTAGTTAAGAATATTATATAGCTGTAGAATTAGTAGTAGTAATTTAAAACTACGGTAAATAGTTAGTATAACTATTTTAGTAGCTAGTTTAAATATAGTATAGCTGTACTATAGTATAGTAAAAATCTAAAACTTTACTATTTTTTTATTGTAATTATATAACTTCTATATAATCTTATATTTTACTAAAAAAAATAAATATTATAGTAGTTAGTCATATTAGTATATTTATTATAGTAGTAATTCCTATTACTAGTAGTATTAATTTTATATATCTATTTTAATATTCTGCGTTTCTCCTTGTATTTTTAACTATTCTTTAACGGGTTTTCCTACTAGAGTGGGCAATGGCTAGGTAAGGGGAGGTTAAGGACCTCCGGCATAACCTAACCGCAGGTTAACAGTAAGATTAAGTATCTTATTTTTATCTAACTACGGTATAAAAAAAAGAGATTAGATTAATCTGATTAACTGTTCTTAGCGCTAAAAGTAATATATTTTATCTATTTAGATCTAGTCTAGTTAAGGTTCTAATTAGATTAACTGTATTAATTTTATTAATTTTACTATTTCTAACTAATTTTCTAAAAATCTATAATAGAAGTATTATTTAATTTTTAAAAAAATATTAAAAATAAATAACTATATTTTTTATTTTATTTTTATAAAAATATTTAGACTCTAGTATAGCTAGTAGAATTCTTATTTTTCTATAAAAACTGGTATTATCTAAAGATATAGTATAGAAATATATATTAATATATATCTTATTTTCTATTACTAGTATTAATAGTAGATTTTAAAGATAATCTCTATTATAGCTATTATATTAATTATTTAAAATAATAGTATTCTTATATATATCTTTATTATTAATAAAAATATTATATTTCTTATAAAATATTCTTTATTTCTAGTATTTTTATAGTAATAGATACTAATAGTAGCTAAATTATTATAGATTCTATTCTAACTACTACTAATCTTTATTAAATTTATTATATTTTAGTAGTAATATAACGTATTCTCTTTATTAATTTACTAATATTATATCTTTTAAAATTTTTTTTTTATTTTCTAGTATTTATATTATTAATAAAATCTTACTATTTATTATAGTATACTAATTCTATCCTCTTAATCTATATTTATAGAATATTATTATACTATTTTTCTTTATCTTCTAAGTCTTTACTAATAGCAATAATTAAACAGAAATTAATATCTATTCTATTTTCTCTCTATTTCCTAAGCTTAATTTTTTATATCTCTCTAAAGGCCGTAAAATTATTTAGTATCTAACTAAGTAAAAAAAAATTTATATTTTTAAAAAATAGTAGAATACTACTATTTAGGCCTAGAAATAGAGAGAAACTAAAAAACTATTAATTTAATTTAATTTTAAAAAATACTTATCTATATAAAATAAATTTTATAAAAATATATAATTTTCGGATAGGACTTTTTATATTTTTTATATTTTATATTCTTATTTACTCTAATATCTATTAATAAAATATACTAAAACTAGTTTAATAGCCTATTATATCCGAAAAGACTGCCTTAAAAAGTTATTTTTTATATTTTCTAAATAAATAATAGCTTAGATATTGAATAAAAAACCGGTAGAGTATCTATTTTTTTTCTATTTATTTTATACTAAGA